GTCGATTTAATCGCAGCTTTCAGCTTCCTTACTTCTCGTAATAACTCCTTTTCTACTTTCTTCAATCTTCTTCGGATCGTTTCGTTGTATCATCGATCCTCTTTTCTCCCCTTTTTCATTCGGCGTTTATTAAAATTTAGTAATGCGTTCCCGTGAACTCCTCGTGTTGTTAGTAGGACGTAAGGAAAAGGGAAAAAGGAGAGCCGTCGAGGACTTACTTCCTGAGACGAGAGACAAGAAGTTAAATATCGCATTCTCCCGAATGACGCGTTTAGAATATAAAACAGGTCAACGGAACGACGGAAGGTTAAAGTAGATGATAAATGTAAGTGGAAACGAATTGCCCGGAAAGTTGTCTGCTACGACCATCGCGTACGGTCATAAACTTTGTAACCGCGTATGTGAATCGAAGGAATCACCCCTGGATCGAGAGGTAAAACTCGGAGGGAATTCGCGCGAATTTGGCTTGGTTTCCTTCGACGATCCGAGATTGATGCACCGATAGAGAACGTGGAATAGAATTTGTGACAGCTTTCTTTATCTAGGATTTCCTTACCCCTTTGATACGAGTTGCAAGAAATTTACCGAATACGATACTTCGATTTTCTCGGCCGATGTTGCAAAGGTAACAGTGATGTAAACTCACAAATTTCATCATTTAATATTATTTATAAAATGAGAAATGATTTTCGTGGATAGTTCATCATTTTTTAAGCAGGCTGTTAATAGTAATAAAAACTATAAAGAAATATAACGGAGATGGGGCGATCGATATTGGTAATCGAAAGTTTCACTTATCGTATAGATTTTGCGGGTAACTGTTGGTACGTATTGATTCATGTAATTTCACGAACTTTCTCGTACGATACACGGATTTAAACGTCTGGTTCATGCATACTGCATAAGCCGTGAACGATTTACAGAGGCAGCAGTGACGTCAACGGCGTTACACCTACGCCAGTTCACCCTGATAGGTGGTGCTCGTTCAGAATTCGAACAATGGGTTAAGGAAATGATCCTTGACTCGAAAGGTAGTTTTGGAAAGGTTAATTAACCTGCTCATCTTGGCTCCGTTCGAACAATATTAGCTTCTAAGAATAGAGGATAGTACAGCAACAAGTTCTCTCTTCGTAATACCAGCACCATGGTTTCTTCGGTTATACTGTTCAATGGACCTGTAACTTTTAATAAATACTTGCTATTGTATGCACAAAATTTCCTTCTTATATTTATTTTTTTTTAAGTAGTAATTTTGCGAAGAAACTTCCATAAGCTCGATAAACTCCTGCCTTAATAATTTCGTTCGTAAAAAATTGAAAGAATCCATGAATCTTCCAACTTGATAAATCGTGACACGTTTCTCTGTTCTCTTGATTTACCCCCCAGACTCGAGGAAGCTTTATTTTCGATTCGTTTCTGTCCATGAGATATATTCCCGTTTTCTTTCGATCATCTTTGACCAGCTTTATTCGAACGTTTTAGGTAAAACGTTGCATTATTCATCCACCTATGAGTCATATGATAAAACACGTTTCTCGTTAAACATCGTTATTCGATTCGTTCTCTTTTTCCTAAAATTCTTGCGAGTCACTCGCGCGACAACTTTGACATTAGAACCAAAGTTGGAATCGTAACGAAATTTAGTTTCGAACCGAATGACGCTTTTGGTACAGAGAAAATCTAATTTGAACTTTTTCGCCTCGACTCTGAGAAATGCTATATCTATCTTTGTCGACCGTCATTTTTCGTAAATAGGTCTTCGGCTTGTTAACGTGGGATGTATGTGACCATACATCCGACAACGATGTGATCAAATTTTAGATTTATTCTTCTTGTATAGGGCGTTTCAAAAGAAATGTACATTACAGTTATTCAGAAGACACATATGTGCTCTTAAAGTATTTTGAGATCGATCAAGTTATTGTCCATTAAGGAACGAGTCTCATTGATATCCGCTCATATTTTTCTCCAGGGCATCTTTTCGTTATAAAACGAATGAAACATCTTCGATAAGATCATAATCCGCTTTTAATAAAGTGGGCGAAGGGGATATTTCTTAAGAAGTTTTTGAAATTTCTTTTAATTGTAAGTCTTATCTTACTTTGGGTTCAGAAAGGAACGATTTCTCTCGAATTAAAACGACAAGTAGACCCCAATACGATGTTCTCGAGAAAATTTAGCAAGTTTTATATTTGTTTTAACGATGAAACTTTGCGATGTCTGGCTGTAGAAAAACGAAATAAGTGACCGGGATCACGTTAAGCTACCGTAACGTTTTCGTTGGATCACGAGCATAGAATTTCAAGAAGTATCTTGGCAATTTGATCGAAGCTGCGCATTAGTTGTGGCAAGAATCTGTGATCGTGTAATTTCTCGTACGTACGTCGCAGAAATTTCGAAAATACATAGTTGGCGAAAAGTGTACACGAAGGTTGCAACTACTCTTGTTGCTTAATATGTCTTATTACGAGGCGCAACCCGTTCAAACTTCGTCGCTGCTTCATCTTACGCGTCGACGAAACCATTCCGACACCTGTATTAACAATGTAATTACCGTTGCCAGACAATGCATGCAGCTACCTCGGCAACGTGCTTTTCTCGACGCTGTTTAAACTTCAGCTAGAAGTAGGTATGGAAATACAACGCCTCTTGAATTGTTAATGACTCGAAATTAAAATTATTCTCATTATTCTCCGGTTAAACTTTCTACTTCTCTCTGTCGTTCGAGGATAAACTAAATAAATTCGTTGGAGAAGTAAAGCTCTGCTAACTCATTATTTGGTGCATAAAATCTACATCTTCCCTAACCGTAAAGATAACACGAAGATTTTTTATCTCGTTTGCAATCTTTCTTTCTCGTCTCAGTCTTTGAGTAATCTTCGAACGATTGCGCAATCCTAAATTCACGAGCACTTCTCCTTATAAGTTTGCAAGGGTATAGGCGGATCTTACCGTATTACTTTACATTTTGTACTTACAGGTTGTCTCAAAAATGCGGATTTCGCTGCTGATTTAGCACGGTACTATTCTCTGCGCTTCGATTCTAACTTCTATCGGTGCAGAAGTGTATAGATTTGGAAATGAGAGAATCTTCTCAGTTCCATCAGTCATGAAAAACATCTGATTCTTAGATTACGTGATTTCTTTTGAGACATCCTGTGTACCGGTGTATAAGGGCGTTAGCCTCGCAAGAGGTTGTCACGAAAATTCCTCATTTGTATGCGCTCCCTTTATCAGGCGACAAGAAAGAATTTATTTTGTCTCTAGAAGCGTCTCGTTCTTAATGAACGCCGGAAGGAATGGAAAGGGTTCGTGGGAAGTGTTCCTTACAAAGTATCTGTCTGCCCGTTGACCGAAATAAACATGTTTTGCACCGCCGACGAAATTAATCGATGCATCGACAAAAAGTCGGCTCCTGCAACAAACATCATCAGAATTTTCTTCATTTTCGCAAATATTCCCGCAACGTTCGATATTGATTGAGTAGCTTGCTCTTTGAAACGTTGCAAATCGAAACTTTGAAAGGCTATTGTTTTCATTATTTTTTGCTACAGGCATACAATGTGCTTCTATTTGCACTTCATCCGCAAACACTTTCAACAAATTGATATATGTGTTTGGTTTGCAAATGCTTTCGGTAAACTTAATAACTTTGCATCTCCGCGAAAATTCAACTGCATCTACAAATAGTTATAACGAACTTTCGTACGATTTATGTACGAAAACTTGAAAAAAATGACAGGACTTACGGAAGTCTGAAAACGGAGAGCTCGGTGTCGCTTTTTTCCTTTAATTAATATTCGTGCTCGGTGAAGATAACCAGATGATTACTTGCTCGGTTGAAAAATCTGAATGTAAGATAAATGTTTGACGAAAACAAGCAGGTAAGATCAGATTTAATGAAGGTATTTCTCGTCGAAACGAGACAGGTAGGCGACGTAACATCTGGTTGTTTGCTCTCGTGTGCTTCCTGAAGTGCTCGAGCCGAAAGGAAAATGTAAACTGCAGCGAAACACGAATGTAACGGAGATCATTACGATTCTGAAGTGACTCGAGGGGTTTAGGCAAGTAGTTTCATGGGAAACTTGACGAGATCCGTACTCCTGTCGTTCTATCATCGACTCTGCGTGTTTCGCCACCGTGCGATCAAATTTGTTATCGTTTTGATTCCCGACAATATGGATACAAACAAGTACTAACTTATACGTTTGTTCGTGCGCTGGTATTAAATTGAAAATTCGTGTTCGAAATTCAGAAACAAAATACCATATTTATGTAACTGTACCTAAAACAACGCTGTGCACAGGTAATTTCATTAAAAGCTGAATAAATCCGTCCTCGAGGAGATTAAACTCGTTAACGTTAAGAATCAAGAGGAAGCGAGTGAGTTATGAAATCAATCGATATCTTTAACGATTACGGATAGCTCGTAACTACGAAACGAATCCGTAAGTGGTATTCGAATATCGCCAGGTCGTTTCGCAAGAATGGCTCGATTTCTCGAGAGTCGGGAGATCAAGCTTTTGTTTGCCACATAATTTTGCAATTAACCTCCTTTCTTCGAATAAAAGAAAATATTCTGTTAGTAGAAAAGTAACGACGCTGAAAGCAGTTTCCAAGTAATGAATTTTAAGAATACGGAAAATGAACGACTTCGCTTTTGATACATGGCCTCTTTAATTAATCACCGTAGACCGAACGCGAATATTTTTCCTATAAAACTTTTCTTCCTCTGTTTGCTTATATTATAAATTGCCGAACCGGGTCAAGGAGACGCGATGGAAGGGAAGAGGTATGCCGAGAATCGAAACTAGAAATTCATCTGACATCGGTACACGTTAGTTGAGACTGTGCAAACGAGCCGTTTAATATCGATTCCATAGATTAATTTACATTTCGCCGTCAATCAAACGTATATCGAAAAACTACTTCTATCGAGCGGTTCAATTTTTTAAGATTCCTTTTCCAATATTTCAATTATATTCCTCGCAAACTTTCGATTCCGCGACTAATCTTCTCGATAACTACCGACACATCGAAATTGTTTCAACTGATTTATTGCATTTAATCCCTTTTACAGTATTTCAATTACATTTTCTAGACATTTACATTTTTTCGAATAATTTTATTGGTCATTACGACCGTGTCAAAATCACGCGTTACGTCAACTTTATCATAAAATTAGTTTACTTCGTCCAAACATGTTCCCATATCGCATAACTATTTTACATTACATTTGAATTATGTACAATACAAAACTGTCTAATCTCCGTACATCGTGGAGCCGAACATTGTCGTAAGAAAACTATCGCATCATTCCACATTCGTTATACATACATAGTAATAACATACGACGCGTTATAATTATCCGAATCACTCTCTCCGTCATTCTCGCAACCAATTTGAAGAGAAACTGTCTGCACTTCAGTCTTTTCGTCCGAAACTTCCGTGTTCGCGTCCTCGACAGATGCACCGCACTTTTTTCCGCAATTTTCACTGTCCACTAACAACCCGGAGCAAAGAAAATCATCTAAACTAATAAATTCTGTTACTTCGTTCAAATAACGGATAGAATCCTCGCTGCATAAATCAACGGCCGATTTCGACATCCAGGAATTTCTTCTCCTCCAGTTATTGCTTCCGATCGATCTTGACTCCTCGTTTTTCTTGATGACGCTTTTCAACCGATCAAATTTGCTCGAATGAAAATTTCCAGAATCGTTCGCCCCGTCTACGAAACATTCGCCAGTTTCTATCGGAGATTTCATGAGACTTGCGACGCAATTCGCGGACTGACTTTTATTCTCCACTTCTAATCCCGTAGCAGCGATACACTCCCGTTCTCGATGTCTGGTGGTACATTTGTCGCAGATTTTTATGCAGTCCGAAGAGCGATCGATTTTTAAACTCTTTGCTTCTTCCAAAACATCCGTTTCGTCGCTAAGCGAGTCACTTTCGGTTCCGCATATACCAGAATCATGGAAGAAAGACGATTTGTCGTCCGGAGACGGAGAACCCTCGATCGAAATGCTTCCAGGATCGTTGAAAGACAACGACATCGGTTTTCTTCGAACGATCACTCCGTTGTTCTCCAATTTCGATGACGCTTGCAATGGATTCTCGGCTTTTATAATCGGCGAAGACACGACCACAATATCATCTTCGTTGAAAGCGACTTCCCTGCTCGAACCGGAAATTTGCAGATACTTCTTCTCGTGATTGTTGGACGACTTCTTTCTGAACGATATTCTCTTGTGTTTTAAGAACGAAAGTTTGTTCGTTGATTTTCTACCAACCGACAACTTTGTTTCTTCCTCCCTGAAACTATCCTCGATCTTATCCGTGGAATCGTTCAGAAGACTATTCGTGGAATCGTCCAAAAGGCTGTCCGACGATTGATTCTTCTTTTTGTTCGTGGAAATTTCTTTCGATTTCTTTTGAAATACCGAGATCAGTCTTCTCGAGATTTGTTTCTTCTTCGCGGAGACGTCGAAGAATTTCTTGACGAAAGATTCTTCGGAATCAACGTGTAACGAAACTTCGAGATCGGTCGTCGAAGAAAGGGAGGCGGTCGACATCCCATTTTTCATTTCGATTATTTGACGATGTTTCATCCAATGAAACATGGTATACGCGCGAGGTGGAATTTTCGCGAGTTTTGAATACAAAGAGAATACGACGAGAGAAATTACTCGAGTGTACCGAACGGTGTCTCATTAATTCTAAAGAGACTGCTAAAGCGGAGGGCATTTTAAAGGAACACGTCCTACAAGAGTGGAGGGGATTAAGGGTAATTCAAGGAACAACTTTTACGACACCCTCTGTCTTCGAGTCTTCGTAAACTGGACAGAAAAATTTCAGAAAGTGTACAGAAACCCTGCGTCATAATTTAAATAGAAAAAAAATAATATTTATCTATATAATATACAGCGGAGCAATAGGAAATTATTAAGTCATAATATTTACGTAAACGGATGAAGAGGTCTGTATCAATTCACGTGGTTCTCAACGTTATAAAGTTTAATGACCCAATGAAGATCGAGCAGAGTGGTTGTTTCGAAATCGATGCGTTTGGCGCCGAGACGACCTGCTTCTTCCATTCAAGGCTCCTTTATTTTCATTCTATTCCACCCACGCTGCTCCTTTGGACATAAGCCAAAAGTGGGTCAAAGATCCTCGCATACATTGGTAATATTAAGGCGGAATTTTGATTTCTCTTCAATATTCCCGAGTAATGAAGGGACCGTTTCGACTCGTTTATCTTTTTAATAGCTCTGCGCTGGAACATTTAAGTGAAAAGCAGCTAACGGCACTAATTAAACAGTTTAACCCCATAAATAGATAATACGTTCATTGTCGTTCCGTCGCGAAACTATAGATCCATTTTAACAAAAGCTGACGCCGTTAACAATAAACATGTAAGAAAGGAATGAAAAATATGAGCGAGCCGTTTCGACAATTTCCATTGTTCGGTTTGTCAAAACCACGTAGTAATAAACGTTGTGCCTCGGTTCGGTTCACTGGATGGTTCACTAGCGGTGCATTTTCGGGTCAAAGGAATCAAACCATTCAACTAACCTTATTGTTCTATTGTGTTTGTCGAAGCGATTCAGGATAGAATTAATTTCTGTTTCCTACTAAATGGGTATAATTATAAGCAAGAACTACTATCGGAGACTATTCGTATCGACAGCTATTGCCGTTTCTCATGGATGTTTGTAGCAATTTCGATCATGCGAAGCGGTTTATGCATCACGACAAAAACGATCGATCGTTCTGCTAAACTTTCAATAAATTTATGCCAGCTATATCACGCGCCATGTGTTCTCTGTCTCTTTCGCTGTTCAGTCGATATGGCACATTCGTTTTGTCATTTCTATTCGCTTCACATAAATACTGTCTTTTCTAAAACGCGGTGATGCTTGTATTTTCTCCGTGAAACTATTCCTTCTGGGCAGCTTAATTCTGCATAAAAAAGGATTAGGTTGCGAGACCTTTTCGGTATCAAAACTAAAACGTTTCGTACAAAAACATTTGAAATATCTCGCGAGCCGTAGTTTTTTATTATTTTGACCTGAAACGTTTCAACTATTTGAATAGTTCTGTTGTTTGAAATAAAAATCTGGACTTTACTCTATCTAGTTTGGTAACAGTCACACGTTACCATTAAAGGAGAGTAGAATCACGGGCAGGTCGCCGGAGAAATCGTTTAGATAGAGTCAACTAGCTTCCCTCTCGATCGGGGGTTAATGAAACGATACGAGATATCGATTGCGTGGAACTAATTCGCGTAAAATCGACGCAAACGGTTAACGAGCCGTATAAAAAGCGTAAATCTCATTGGCCTTCCAATAGATACGTGACGCAGAAAGCCTTAATTAAAGTATCGCATTCGCGAGGCTGATTATTGCTTCATAAAAGCGCAGCCCGTTTCGTTTCAGCGCGTCCTCGTCTCGTAAAATACGAATGACAGATTATAACCACGGAACGACAGAAAAATTGCTACATCATTAAGAATATCGCTGACACGTTTACGTAGCAATTTTGATTGAGCTTCAACTTTTCCAAGCGCGATGTACACGTTCTAGTTGTACGAGTTACGTAATTTAGATCGAAGAAAGTTTCGACAAATTCATCGAAGTAGAGAGTTAAGCGACAGTTTGTAACAGTTCCTGATAGTGATTAGCATGTAACTGGCTGTGATTGATACGGATAATCGTGATTTAAGTTAACCGTGTTCCAGTTACGTCATCCTGTTTCAATTACATTCGTTTCTAGTTAAATTTCTGACGCAAACGGATCGGATGAATAAATATTAAAATCAGGAAGAATGACCTTGTTTCTCGTCGTTGCAACTGAATTCTGCTAACGATTACTCGATCGTCGTTTCCCCTCTGTAAGATGGATAACGAGTCTACAGTTGACTCGTTACAAATCATTTCCCAGAGTCGAAGTTCGCTCACAAATTCGTGTCAGAGGTAGGAAAAGCAAAACGGATTGTTTCGATTCGAATAAAAAAAGAGATGCGCAGCGACGAACCGCAAAACCGTACGACGTACGAAAATATAGCGAAGCAATCTTGTTTGGTAGTTTCTATCGATGTTTCTTTCTTTAAGGATACCTGAGTAAGTACCTCCATAGAGAAAACAATCGTCAGCGAAGGGAATTAGGGTAAGAGCAATTCGAGCAACCGAGAACTTTCCCCGTATAAAGCAATTTGGTGAGAATCGGTAACATTCGTCGAAACCGATATACCTGAATTGCGGTGCACGATAAAATTAAACAATGGAGTGATTTCGAGAGGATCGGTGGCAGGTACGGAAAGTATTGTGAGCGTGATTTGAACGAGGACGAATCGGAAAAATAGCCTCCGCCGTGTATCACAGCGGGTACGACAGTAAACGCAGATTAACGGAACGTGTCGAACCTTTTATCCTGACTCAGCTGGTGTAATTATCTTAATCGTAAAGCAAGGGAGAACCCTTCTCCTTTCGAATCGTCCGGTTTTCCTTCTATTTCGTCCTACGTAGGATACAGGGTGCTCGTAAAGAAAACAACGAGATGTTACCGTTATATTTTATATCATTGTTATTTCTTCGAGTTATAGAATATTTTATCGTACCAATCTCTCTGCCACTCGATCTCCGAGGAATCGGATACATCTCTTGCATTAAAACATACGAGTTCATACAGCAAACATTATTCTTTTATTATTTGCGAACAGTTTTCGTGGTTAATAAAAAAAAAGCAGCGACTGAATTACGGTCTCTCGCTTCATCTTTCAATCAATTAACCGACGAACAAAAATTGGACGGCGCAGTTAATTATTTAAAGGTTCAGATATTCCACGAGCCCGCTTGCTCGTATAACCGTTTCGTTTGCTCCTTTTTGCAAATTTCATTTCGTCGAACGGTCGACAGAAAAGCGATATTCGATAGAAATGATATTACGGGAAAATCACGGAAACGTTTCAACAGGTAAATACGAAACGTATACGTAAAAGATAGAAATAGCGCGATCTTTCTTGTGACCAGCGAACCGACTCATCCTTTTTTCACTGATATTTAACCCAACGATAAACTGTATTTCTCGATTTCAGCTCGTTCGTGTGCAATGAGCAGAGACAAGATGCTTGTACGTCGATATCTATTAAACAGCACAACATTCGATAGCTTGATTCTTTTGTGCCGGGGAAACCGACGTATCTTTGTGTCATCATTTTATTGGTTTTCTATCCAATATTTGCTCCTAACAAGGAGAAATTACGATCTGCACCAGCGCTTGTTAAACGAAATCCGACTTCCAGTATACAGGGCGTCTTGAGAATATTGTAAGCTGCAATAAATTGCGCATTCTCTGGCCAGAATAAATTAATTAACGTTTAATAACAGTCTCTCCTCGAATTTTCTTATTAAATCCTTCGTGTAACGTAAATAAGAAAAACGTTATTACGATCAAAAATAATTACGTAGCAATTCTCATAGATTTAATCGAGTGTTATTTTTTCCGCGGGACTAATCGAAATTCTGCCTTGTTCGCTGCTAAGGCGCGCTTTACGTTTGTTCGTATCACTTATACATAGAGAGTCCCGCCGCGACGTCGTTTATCAGAAACGCAATTAATTCTCTGTGCAGGTATCTCTGCATCCTCGTATTTTTTGAATATTCCAAGGTAAACGAAAGAAATTGGCTTTAATTACGGCCGTTTCGCGTTTTTCCCCGCATTTTCGTGGCTTTTCTCGACTCGATGAAGAGCGGAGTTTTTAGCAATGAATCGTTACAGAGGTTTCTAGCAAATACGTTAAGTAATTAACGATTGAGAGGAAAGAAATCTGCTTTATTAAACGATATTTATTCTGCGCGTAGGCGAATTATTACAAACTAAATTTAATGAAGAATTTTAAGAAAGTACGGCCAGAAACGGTAAAATATACCTAGCAACATGTAAATTGTATCGATACCTACATAATACGTCGATCGATTTCGATTGTAGGTAGTCGGATTAACGTTCCCTTACGAGAACAATACATCGTTTGACTGGGAAGTTCCCAAGGGCGGATAAATATCGTTTTATTGTTTCTCGTTGTCGTCGTCGCAGGTAAAGTTGTAAGCAGGGATTGACCGAAACTAAAGTTTTACAGAAATATGCTACGGCGAGCCGAATATTATCGCAGGTAAAAAATATTTTTATTCATAAGATAAATTAACACGATATCTTTGCGATAAATATTATGCACCGATGTTTTCAAACGGTACCATTACCGTGTTTTTCTTCCTCTTTCCACTACTCTGGAAATGTGATCGTTCAGAAATTGTTTGTTGCGATTCGTTGCAGATCTGACTATGGTTAGAGTTATGAAGTTAAATTTGCATTAGAGTGAAATATCACAATTTTATTTTATCGATAAACTTATAGCGGAAAATATACATTTCTCCTTTTTTATCTTTCGCTTTTACATTACCATTTGTACAACACATGACTTTTGATAAATTCAGTGGAATAAGACTTTCAAAAAATCAAACATAAAAAAAATATGAACTATGCCTTTGATATTTATCATATATAAATATAAACAATTTACTCTTTACTTAGTATGTATGGAATTTTGAAGTTATTAACGCGTTGAAATATACCTGCATAAGCGTCGACTGTCCCCTCTCGGCTCGAAATTTCAATTACCCGGTGGTAGGGGTACCTCACCTACCCTTCGATGTTTCGACAGCTACAAAAAGGCCGGTTTATGTCTGCGCCTCCCATTTGACAGTGAAGTTTCAAAGTGTCGATTTTCACCAATTTCATACGATCGAGTAAAACACGTTTCATAGCGATAGCTCAATCTGTATATACTCAATGGAATAGGCGATGTACCGTAATAAAATGTGAATTACGTGCTGACGAGCTTGAAATCGTTTCGAATTTAATTGTAAACGACCGTGTTTATTCGCGAATATAACCAAAACGCTTACGTACATAGCGAATCAACTTGTTAAAATCAGCGCTTCGAAAATGAACGCGTTCTTGCAGAATATGCTGAAGATGAACAGCACCGAACAGGTTTGTTACTCAATCTTTTTATCGTAGTCACTTTTCATTACACTTTGTAGATATCAAAATGAATTAATTTTGAAATTTTGGTGAAAAGATAAAAGGTATTTAATGCGTTTCCTAATTGACATTTTCACGTTGCAGCTAAACGTGCAAAACGAGAAAGAGAAAGACGAGACAAGGAAGAAAAACGAGACCGGAAGGTCAGGTTCGTCGCAAAGAAACTGGATCAGGAAGCTCGGGAATTATTCACAGACCAAGTACCAACTTCCGTCCAACCCCTTGGGGACAAATGCTATGAGACCTCTGGACATGAACAGTCCGTGTAACACCTACAAACATCCGACTCCTACGAAAACTTCCGATTCCCCGAAGACGCCTCCCGAGATGCCGGACTTGGAGAGTATTATCCGCGAATTCGAGACTGGTTTTCTTTCGCCCACCAAGTCGCAGGACATAAGCATCGAGCAGTTCAAGCAGAAGAACTTCGTCAAGAAGATCGTAACAGCGTTCGAGGTAAAGTACAAAAGGTATAACGACCTCAAAGCAGCGCAAGAATCGAAGCAAGAAGACGCCTCCCCGTTGATCGAAACGCCCAAAAGAAAATTCAAGGTGTTCGGTAGTAATTTCAAGACCAGTCCCGAAGAACCGCAACATCGTACGAGTAAATTCGACGATTCAAATCGACGGCAGAACGTTGAAAAGTCGGAAGAGCGGAGCGGTTTAAGAAGATCCGGGATTTTTGGCTCTCCTTTTAACGTTTCTTGCGAAGAGCTGAAAGTTCCTGATTCCGATAAATCTCCTCCGGACGAGATTAAAAATGAAAACACGATATCCAAGGATAGAAGCGAAAGCTCGAAGAACCGTAAGAAGTTTGCAATCTTTTCTTCCCCTTCCAATAGTTGCGGAGACTCGAGCGCATCATCGGAGATCTACAGGGATCCCGTGCATGTCGATTGTCAGAATTCAAAGGATCGCAGTTCGAACAGTTCCGATAACTTCAAGTTCGACAAGGATAAAATTCGAGCATCGAATTTCCTTTTCAGTCCGTCGAAAGTCTCTTCACTGGACGAAACGAAGAGTATGGACAGCGTTGATTTCGATTTGACGTTGCCAGACCCCGAGGAGACTATTCTGTTGGAAGGAAACGCGTTACAGAAGACCAGCACCATGATCAACGATCGTCAAAACTACGACGACATCGACGATTGTTTCGTTCGAGAAATATCCAGCGTGGACAAGACACCGAAGGTAGTTGGAGCGTACCTGAAAGAACCAATCGAAGTGGAGGATACTTCCATCGATTGGATACCAATTACCGGGAAAAAATTACCGCGAAAGAGATCCTTGAAGAAGTTGCTGAACGCCTTGACCGGGAAGAGGACCTTGGAGAAGAAGTGCAAACTGTTTTCGTCCGAAAGGAATTTATACCAGGACTCGCGCGAACTTCAGGATTCGGGCTACGACGATAAGTCCGTCTCTTCGTCATCTCTGAATTCGTTAATTTCGATTACGGAGGTGCTGCTACATCAGGAGAACAGTTACATCGAACGCGAAAGAAGAGGCACTCTTACAACATTCAGACCGAAGAATTTGGAGGAGGAAGAGGAAGACGAGGTGTTCTCTGACACGTATGCGTGCTCAAGGTATGCGTTCAATATTTTAATAAAATACTTTATAGTCAACTGCGAAAGACTTTCTCTCGTTTTACTATTTGTTCCATAAGAAAAACTGTTTAGAACTTTTGAGAACTTTAAAATATTTTTTGACATTAATTTTATGTAATGCGCGAATGAAAATTTAATCTATTTGTGTTACGTTACAGCAAACGAAACAGAAAGAAATTGCTGTTAACCGAGATGCCAAGGGAGGACGTAAAAGTGGATCTAGGACCAGCCTACCCGTCGTCTACAAAATTTATCACGATGTCCTTGGATCGCAAGATGATCTCGAAGAAGACTCATCCGCCTTCTCCGGTTCGGCCAGTGATAACGAGGTTACCGAAGCATCCTTGCCTCTCCAAGATTCCGAAACATCCGTTCGTATCCTTGACGAAGATGGACGAGCTTCAGGAAACGTGCGACGTTCAAGAATCTCGCGACAGCGAGGAGTCATCGGTGATCATTAAGAACGACCTGTACGAAGTTGAATTTCGCAAAAGCTGCATGGACGTATATTCATCGGTATCCTGTCGCAGTTCCTCATCGACCGAGAGCAATTACGATGTACCAAGGAGGTTCTTATCGAAATCTGAGAACGAGCTGAGATTGGATTCGGAGGGAAAGCGAACGGAACCAATTTACGATGTTCCAAAATCCACTGTTCTTGACAGACCAAGATCTAGCGTCTACGAGGACATCGTCGCATCGAGAAGAAGCGTGCAGTCGTTCGAATCTGCACCTCCGAGCATTTACGCGGTCCCTCGAACATTGGAGGTTCGTTGCGCTACTGTCGAGACAAGAAACGGCAATATGTATCTCGATAACAAAGTCCCATCTTTGAACGACTTGACCATTGACGAAATGCGTACTGCTGTTTAAACGACGATTCTTCTTATCGCGCTCGATATTCTTTTAACCCTTTACAACTTAACAAACGATATTTTCACTTTTTTTTATAGAAAAGAAATTTTAAGAGCAGTTTCACATTTTTAACTTCGGATAACTTTATTAGATATTCATGTAAGTTTGCCAAAATTATCTACAACACTAAATTTTTATAATAATTAATTCAATTTATCGTTGCATTAAATACTACAGCCAATATAGATTGCAAAGGGTTAGCGGCGTGTCGCAATCGCATACGAACTGCTTTTTTAGACAATTTTTCGGTAGAAGTTACTGACAGATTTTATATTATACGACAATTTGTTTATACGGAGTAATTTGTCGGGGGACTGTATAGTACAAACTTTATATATGCGAATACTGACTATAGACGCTTAGGACTGTTAGCTATTCATGGTTTTAACGCTTAATCCAGCAAAATACGCTTCGTGTAATGTTTTCGTATACACATCAAATTGTGTACGCGTTATTTTACGATTGTACCGTATATTTTAGCAGTTGCACGTTTTAAGCGGAGGGAAAAAAAGCGTTGCGTGACGGAGTCTCGTATATTTCGCGAGATATATTTCACGAGATCCCGAAACGCTTTTGTATATGTATTTCTATTTGTAGTTTTAATCCACCCGCGTAATGCAATAATTTTGAGAAATAAGCAAGAAATTTTGTAGAAAGAAATTTTCGCATAAACGCGATACGAATAGGTTAAAAAGACCAATGTGCTCGAACGAAAAGCGGAAGTTGCGTGTTTTATTTTTACTTTGTTTAAATGCTCTTACGACAACCGCCATAATTTGTGTATAATATTTTTAGATTTAAACGAGTAAGTATCCTGTTCGTTTTTTGAAAGAAAACGGTAAACGAGGATATAGGACGTGAAACGATTTGTAAACACGGTTCGTTAGAGAAGCGACAGAAAAGTCTCCTATATTTCTGTGAAGAAATATTTGCAGAGAACTCGAGTTTAGTGTTCAGAATTTTACTTTGTGATCTCGTTACGTATCAGTATTACGTGTAATGTGCCATAACGTATGTTTAAATAAGGACAAATTAGGTAAACTAGGGAGCGTAATAATTACACGGTAAATGAAAAGAAAGAAACTGTGCAAATGTAATTACCATGTTACGTATACTGCGTGTATACGAATTAATGTTGTAGATTTTTCTCAATAAAATTTTCAACGATCTTGCAAATTTACATTGTGCTTGCTCTTTTCGCGGGACACCTTCGTTGGAGAGAATCGGTAAGAATATAATCTGTTACAACACCGTAATGTTTAGTTAATTAGAAGTAGGATAACAGATTGTCTCTCTGAATTTGTAATAGCGTATCTGTTCGTGTATTTGCGTATCACTGTTTCCATATCCGCTAGTTCAGTAATTTCCCATCGCGCGTTCGATAGCTAAAGGATCCGATATTCGACGTCTAGATAATTGGAAATTCAGATATCATAACGATCAGAAACTTGACACTGAACAGTACCTATTCGCAAACAGCAATTTCCTTTTACATATCCAGAATATAAACATTTGGAATTTCTGTTCTTATTTTACATAAAATAAGAAATAAAATGATCAGTAAATAAACTAATCCACTGACCAACTAAGTAAGCGATTAATAAAGTATTAAATCAAAAATAAGAAAGGAAAATACCTGCGAATTCGCGGTGTCATAGTCGGAAACGGTCTGCTGACGTAAAAGGTCATATGCACAAGGTATGACGTAGGTTCGAAGCGTGGGTCGAAATGGCTAGCCATTAGTGCATCTCTGAATGTGCAGAGTGCAGTGGGACGCATACGTGCGGAGTACGGGTAGCTCACGGATGTTCGTGTCAAGGGCTTCGAATTTTTGGGTCACTGATAATTTACGATACCTGTCCGCGGGAAACATCGTGAGAAAGAAACAATCAACATTCCGCGTTATTTCCACCCACGGCCGATACAAAACGGGCTATTCTCTTATAAACAGTATTAATACTAAAATTGATTGATCCATTGTTTGTTTCAACGAAGCCATTTAATAGTAAGGGTATTAGCGAAAGAGATTTATATAATTAACATCGTTAAACTTTAAACTTATTACAAATGTAATTTTGCGATACTTTTACGTCAGAACAACGCGCTAGAGTTTTTATTTTTCTGTCCAGTTGAAATAATCTTTCCAACCATTAGCGAAAGCGTCAATAACGAGTCCGTGTAAAAGGTGTTAATTGATGAAGTCACGTACTATCCATCATCTTAAACCGTGTTAATAAAGATATTTTCTTGTTATTTATCGAATGGTACTCCCAACCTCTCCGTCCTGATTGATAGTATTAATTCAAGGTAATTTACGAGTGGCACGGCACGTTAATTTAGCGTAACGAGTTCGTTAACTCTACGCTGGAAGAAAAGAGACCCGAGGCAAGGGACAGCTTGAAATCTCCGATCCTTTGCAGATTGAGATTTATGGAACGTCATTCCGGTAAGAAACACGCGCCGCTAGGAAATCGCTAAAACATCGCTCGAATACTCTCCCTCTGTTTCCGACGAAACAGCCGACTTTAGACAGCGAGGATTTAAATATCTCGAATTAGGTCAATCGTATTAGCCAGCAGTTACGGGTGATTTTCGTCCAGCGAAATTGTTCGAATTCTTTATTTCCTGTTGCAATCTAGCGAGTTTCAAAGGAGATGAAACGAACGTCCGAAAGAAGGAAAGAAAAAGAACCTTCGAAGAAACGTACGTATGATTAGAAAGTTCGTAAAACGCGAAGAGCTTCGTACATTTCGCGGTATTCCCATGGTGAATAAGAAGAGGAAGTAACTTCTTGGAAGGAAGTGGTCTAACTGGATTAACCGGAAACGTTTCACGAGTTCTTTCACGCGGCGCGTCTCTGGCAGAAAAGGCCAAGAATATTCGCTCGATGAATTTAACGCGATTTCAATCGGCCATAATGTAGCGAGAAATTTTCGAATTCTGATAAAATAGGATTCCTTAAATTTTACGTAACGCGACGAATTCTGATGTACGACTCGAATAACTGCACTTAACGCGGAGAAAAGTCTTTAATACAACCAGGTGTGGATGGTGCGGTGACTTTAACGGGCCAATAAAGTTGCTCGCGTACGAGAAAGAATTTGGTATACACCGTTTGGTGGCTGCGTAACAGAGAAGAAAAGAAAGAGTCAGGACGATGGAAGGAAAGCAATTTTCCAGACTGATGACCTAGAAAATTGCTGCAACGCGCCTTCGGTGATCGTGTCCAGTGTCAATGATTTTTTTTATGTCTTCCTTGTACATTGCGCCTTGCTCCTTAAGCAAAAATGTTATTCAACCCTTTGCGCCGTAATTATGTTTCTATTTTGCTTCTAGCCCCTCCAGTATGTCTTTCAATTATAATTTTTCACATTTCGGAAATATATCGCATCGTCCCGTAAGCTTAGAATACGACAGAGAAGGCGGGTAACGAATCACTGGTACGTAGAAAGTCTGGCCGTACTACTTATCGATAAGAAAGTAGTTTCGAGGAGACATGGTCAGACGACGGTATACATTACTGTTCGGTGAAAAACGTATCCATAATACATTATACGGTTTATATCTTTAAATTTATTGCTAATAATAGGTTCAAATATAACGTAGAAAGTTCGACATTTCAATTCATGTTCTACCTAGTATTATATGTAGTGTACTAATTTTACCACTTACTGGAGCATCTTTACCTTAGTCTTCGAGTTCATTGCTCTTGTAATCGATCACTGTTGCCCTACAACGGTTGTCGATAAATAATGGAAGAACGTATCGATTTTACCGAATCTCTTGAGCTAATCCTTGCTTTCCTTTGATTCGTCGACGCTTAAGCCGGGAATTGCAGGAGGATTATCAGATACGTCGACAGCATCCCAACGATCTGTAAATATCAGCAGTAAACAGTTTGTTTGTTTCGAAGAGCCACCCTGTATATCCTACGTTAATTAGTAAATGTTCTGTAAGCCGCGATAAATAACTCGTCGAAAAACAAAATGGCGATCTCGAACGTGCTAAGGGATATACGGAAACGTTTGGTCGGAAAATGGTATAAAGTTAGGAAGCTACCGCGAACTCGTTCACTCGTTTCAACGTCGAAACGAGAGCTTCGGCAAATTGAGAAGCGGATCGCGGAATGCTGAAAGCTTTTTGAGGATGTAATTTGCGGTAGGTACTGTCACGTTCCATAATCATGCTTATTAAACAAAGTTCAAATAATCTTATACTTCCGGTGAAAATGTCGAGTAATACCGCGAGATTGGAAACATCGTCGCAAAGCTACCTTTCCTTCGAGTTGCATCGTGTGCAAAGCAAAAGAAGAAAAGAATATTACGTCTTATTACGAGCACTTAGTCTCGTTCTCCTTAGAGATGGTACAAAATGAACTTACCGAACTCAGAAGCGACAATTTCACGTCGAAAAGACCACCTGCAGAGAAACGAAGACGTCTGTTCAGAAAGTGTAACGAGGTACGAATCGTGTCCTGTAAAGAACGAAATTCGATTGAACAATTACGTTAATTATAACGAAAGTTTTAGCAACGCAGCATTCCGTTAGCTTTCCTTTTCTTTAATTTTCTAATATGACCTCGAATACGAATAGCTTAATTAATAAAAAATTTACGAGAAAAAGGTCCCTCGTAACTAAATACTCGGATACTTACGTCGTATGGAAATCTTTTAATTACTCTGGCGTCCCATTCGACTAGAATCGCAGCCATACTGTTAGCCTAAAAATCGCGTCAAAAAAGTTAAGATAAAAAATAAAGGTAGATCGTGACTGGGGGCATTAATTTTCACCTGTGTTGTAGTGTAATCGCAACCGATGTGCAAAACCAAAAGTTGTATCATAAATACGAGCAACCAAGACCACACGTTGAATAATAGAAGCCAAGTCGAATTGGTCCAAGGAGACAGAATCATCCAATCGATGAAAAAATACAGGCTACTGACGCTGTGCACGCTCAAGTTTATAAGCCAGAACAACAGTGGCCAGGTGTAAAGAGAATCCAGTGCCTCGCCGTATAACATCAGTTCACCGTGAAGATCTTGGATAGTCTTTCTTAAGTAAATATCAAAAAAGTTTTACGTTCGTACACGGTTTTTGTTGCTCGAACGATCGTTGGCTGTTCGGATGGTAATTTAGATAAATCGAGCCTTTCACCTTTCTACTGACGATGCTGCTGTGATATCCGACTTGAGGCGGTAAATTCTCTCTGGCTATCTCGTTCAACTGATGAAATCGTTGCCCAAGAAAAGTCACCATCGCGAAGAATTTGTAGACGGATACCGCGGTGCCGATATAAATTGTCATGTAGCTGATGTTGAACGACCAGGTCTCGTCGAACGCGTACATACCGCTCTGATTGACGACGATCCAAACAATAGTCTGACTGATCAACAGAACCCAACATACGATCTCGGTTTTTGTTTCGTTACGCGGGTAGCCCAGTTGATTGAGCTTTTCGTCGAAATTTTGAAGATCGTTCCAAATTCGGATGAACGATTTCCTGGTTACTATCGTTGCTACGAGTTCGTACATGGCCACCAAATAATTCACGATCACCTGCGAATAAATCGATATTTCGAAGATTTTCATCCCCGGCCACGGACTCTGATTATAGAATGAAAATTACCTTTGTAGTTTCCACGACACCGAAAACTAGTTTCTCTCGTTTAAGAGTAGTAAATCTTAAGTACACGACGTAGATGATGTAACAGTAGATGGTCATGAATGTGAATGAAAATATGAGACAGATGTTGGAGGGTACCATTTGGTCGTCCGTGAAATCGTACGGTGCCAAGCCAAATACTTTCGTTATGCAAACTGAAGGGTAAATCGCCGTGTACAATGGCGACTCTGGCCCATGATACTTTTTCTTAGCGTTCTTTTTCTCGTCGGTTACTTTCGCGGACGTGCTTTCCGCGTCGAACGGTTTCACGCGGATGATGCTCCTCGAGTAAACTTCTCTTCTGGGATGATGCGCAAACTCTTTTTCGAAAATGTTCATTCCTTCGATTAGCTAAGCCTTGCGATCTCTCGTGTAACTACGATGTTCGACTGCAATTTTACAAACAAATTATATCGCGCGATTCGAAATATCCTCGTAAAGATTTTAATTTGCAAGAAGATCGTGTGAAAGAGTAACTTACGAAGTAGATTATAAAACGGAATATGAAACGAATCGCGTTCCTATTATAACTGGCTATTAATCATTGTTTCCTGGTACGGGTGCTATCGATTTGAAATATTTGTTCGACCACAAAAAGAGGAAATTTTCGGCACGAGCTATTGCAAAGAACCCACAAAAGCCATTTCAAGTGTGTAAATTCGTTTTTACGATGATACATTGTCCCATTGTCGATCGTTACTTTGCTAACAATAATTCGAATACGAAACGCTGTTCGCGTTTATTTTCTACGATAGAGTACATTGACTATTTTACGTGTTTCAGCACTCCACTGTTCATGAAATATTAAAAGAAGTACAGCCAACATCCTTATCTTTTATCGCGATTCAATTTCGACAAAGCTATTTAATTGATGATATTATACAATTTGTAGAATTGGAAAATGGCACCCTTTTTCTTAAACAATTTATAACTCTAAATTCTTAAATAATAGTTTAATGTTGTTCCGCTTACGACTTATCTGAGAAAACCGAAAGTGATATGTAACACAGCACTACACATTTTTTTGTGACGTCCTTACACTGCTAATTTCAATTTTTCAAACTCCGACAGCATTATGTTATATTAATTTCTTTAAATCTTTCGAGAAAGGATTGTTTTAGTTTAAACGATCGAATAAATAAATAATTTCACGAGTTACCTGACGTTGCAGAAGGTATACTTCTCTCGAAAGAATGCGGTGGATGGGCAGAAGACGAACTGTGGCCGACGATCATCCTCAACGTCGCCGCAATAAGTGGAATCGAATGTTTCCGAGCAACCATATAAATAACAGCGAAGATTCAGTGGTTCGTGGTTTTCCATCGGCTGTGATAAGGTGGAATGAAAGCCGCCAGGGTAAACAGACGTACGTGGACATACATTTGCAGTTAACCGCGTCAGGACGTGACTGTCTTCTGATTGTCATTTAGACTATGAATAATTGAACAGTCCAAGGAATAACAAGGCAAATATGCGCTCGTATCAATCAAGCGATAAGAACAAAAGTAAAGCGGTAAACGGAACAGAAAAAGCGAGTTAAATGACATATCTAACTCACTCTCGGGCTATCAAGTCATTGAACAACCGTCTTAGACTCTCCCTGAAATTCTTTAGATTAAACCTAAGCTCTCGCTAGGTTTTTTAAGTGGTACGCTAAACAGTTTATTTGATTTCTAGACACAATCGGAAACAAACAATCTGAAATTGTTAGTTGTCGCGTGTTTGTTCGTTAGTTACAGCGTCGATAAAAACAACCGCTCGATACGAGAGTACTCGTTGCCCGTAATGACTCTATTTACCATTTCGCTATTATTCACTGTCACCTGGATTTACAAGACAGATTTTACTGTTTCCTGACGAGTAATTTGTAATGTTTTTTCTAAGATGATTCCGAAACGGAAAACACCTTCAAGAGTGATCCTTCTGGCGTCAGAAGCATGCTTCATAGAAGTGTTACTAATGGCACGGAGAATGCAAGCATCCATTAATCAGATCTTCCCACGAGTGATAAAACTCTTCGCTGGATTATAACGTTCGTTCTTATTCCTTGCAATTGTTCAAACTGTAACTTTTTTTTCTATAAATGGTTATCATTAAAAATTTTTGTTCTCTACAAAATTATTGAAATTCGAAATATGTTTAATTGATATTTTTGTTATACAAATTAGTCTTTGTTACGGTCTATCTCCTTTCAAATCCTATATGTACTATTCCTCTTCAAATACATGGAAATGGTTGTAAAGTAGCAGCGATATACTTTAAACATCGAGCGGCAGAAGCTAAAATACGTATGAAATTATAGTTTTGCCTCAGTAGGTCAGTGATTACAGCATTCCTTGCAGATATGAATCCTTCATCGCGTCGTTCTATAGCATGTTACTATACTATACTTGTATACAATAATTGCTATTGCTTCGGTGCGGGTAGTAATCGGATGGTTAATCTTTCAACAAAGTTTCTCTTACAAATATATATCTAATATAGCGTCGAGAATGACCTCTGTCAGTTATCAGCATTATTTTCTTAGCGTTCTGTAGAGAGGTTTACGGGTGGTAATTATGGTGGTGTTTAATAATGAAAGGGTTAAAAGACGATCAATGATTGGTGTAGACAGGAGAACAGAAAATCGTAAGAAACAGCGAGAGGAAAAACGTGATGATATAAAGCGTGGCGTTCTAGATGAAAATTTACGATGGCAAGTGTCTCGTCAGGACGACGCCCCGGAGAAATGCAATTTAACTCGGCGCGCAGGATGAATGATATTCATCGAGCGGTCAACGCACGGCTCTTCTACCGCGTATATCCCATGAAAATAAAACCCGTTTTTACCCTACTCTCCTAGAAAATTGCTTCGTCGGTAGAATCAGATATTTTTGCATAAATCTCCGGCGTAACTTCATGGCGATTCTCGTTACCGAGTTTGTTACGTCAATCTTTGTTGCGTGAAACGATCGAATTAGTTTCCGCGAAATTCTTCAAGAAATCTAAAAATGACGAAAAATGAACTACAATGTTGGCGAAATGTCGATGAAACGTTCGAGTAACGAAGTTTAAACGCAATGTCCCGCTAATGCCCTTAATAATTGATGTAACCCAAATGTTTGACCCCTTTGAAAATAACGCTGAGTCGTCACGTAATCGAGATAACACAATGCGATGTTTGATCGACAATCGAAAATCGCCAGTGAGTCCAGCAATTATAAAACCTTTATCGTCTTTCCAGCAAACGAAAATCATTATTCTTTCTTTTTACTGTATATGCTAAATTGATCATAAACTTTTCATGTTATACAGAGAGATTTCAGAATTTTCGGAAAAGCGAAAGATGAAGGCAATCAAAGAAGAATTGTTAAGATGGACCTGTAAAATGCATGCAACGAATACTTATCTCGACCGACGTATGCTACGAGAAAAAGCATTTGAATTGTCAAAGACACGTGGTCTGAACGGTATGTAATCTCTTTGACAAAATTTTCTTTGAATAAATGTTTCGAATATGGAGATAGGAACTTCTTTGCTCAACGTTACTTTTTTCTATTATACTTTTTTCTATTATAATAGGTTTCAAGTGTTCAGAACGATGGTTACAAAATTTTTTGAGGGAACACGGTTTCTCTACCGATCTCTCCGATCATACGGGTCCTACATTTACCAACTATCGAAACTGGATCGATTTAATGAGATCGACGATCATTAAATACAAACATAACGACCTATTCCACGTGGACGAGTTAACCATGTATACAGACGTTCCGCCGTCAAGACACGTGTTGGATGAAATTGACAGCGAGTCGCGAAGAAATCGAATAACGATCTTGATGGGTTGCAACTCATCCGGGTCAACTAAATTACCCCTATTGATCTGCGGATCGTATCCTTCGACTACAACGGTGAAAGAACACGTTTATTATAACAGCACGGACTCTTACATCAAGGACGAGCAGTTCAAGAATTGGCTGTCGAACGTGAACGAACAAATGTTTAAAAGCAATCGAAAGATCTTGCTATTTTTGCGAAGAAACAGGATGAACGCGTTAAAAGATTTCGAACCAAGTAATCTGAACCTCGTTTATTTTCCCGAAAATTTCCCGCCTCTATTACGTCCTCTGCGGAAAGATGTTTTTCACTATATAAAGATGATCTTCAGACGAAGGTAAACGATCGATGTAATAAGAAATTTCGAATTAAGCGAATTTGGAATACTGACTAGTATAAAATATTTGTTAAAGGTACGCGGAACGACAGAAACAGTATTCCGAAAAGTGGAACCTCCGCGACATCCTACAATCTGTGATCAAAGCATGGGAGACGATACCTCGCGAGATCATAATATTCAGCTTTCAGAGGACTCACTTCAGAACCGACGACTGTCTTCTTCAACTCGACTGCGATTTTTGGGACAAATTGAATACGAACGTTTCTTTTAAAAGATTCGTGACATTCGACGACAAGCTTTCGGACGAACAACCGTTCAATGGGAAAAGCTATCGATGTTGCGCTTATAATCTGCGTACAAGCACTTGCAAAAACGTGTTACAAATTGACGAAGACAAATCAATTTCGATAACAAACAACGATAAAGAATTAGTGAAAAAAAGTTCTTCGGGGTTGTCGCCCCGACACGATGCAGAGTTTGGAATCCAACGAATACCTTCGGAGTTCAGATACCATGCACATAAAAACTTAAAAGACGAACATCGCGATGCAACAAGTATTGCGACGGAGAACGCGGTAACGGAAAAGAAATCTCGTAAAAGAGTTTACAGTGAAACTCGATCCTTGACGGACGAACAATGCAAGTCCGAAGACAAACGTGTTAAAAGTTCCTTTGTGTCGTGCGATTCGAACGCTACTAATTCGAGATCAATGGGCAAAAAGAGGTTCAAACATGAAGAGGAGTCTCAAAGACAACGAACAGAAGCAGACAGCGCAAGAGAATCCCTGCAGGCAATCGTAAACAAAGCTTTGACTCTAACGTCGTTGGTAAACGCTGAATATACCAAGAAGCTAATCGATAGTTTTAGCGCGTCCCTGCAGGAGATTAGTGCACAGGTCGACACTTCGAAACTCTCGAAATTGTTTAAAAACGATGAAGAAACGAATTGTGCGAGCGAACAAGCGATGAGAATAGAACACGCGCAAATGAAAGAGAATACAAATGAAATTTCTACGAATTTCATGGTCTTAAATAATGAAAATCAGCCATCCACCTCCTGGAATGGTACGAATTCTCTGTCAGAAATTGCGCAAAATGTTACGCAAGAAACAAAGTCTGAATTGAGCACCGAAAATTCTGAGAAAAGTCAGAAAAATACAAAAGTAAGTTTAAACGACGAAAAGTCCTCCGCTTGTCAAGAGACGTCTACTTTTGAGGAAAACAGAAAGAGACCTTCCGAAGACGATCCCTCTCTTGACGAACCGCATGAAAACCGATCAAAAGTGGATAATAACTGGTCGAAACAATTTGAAACTAACTTCGTATTCGGATCACAGAACCCGAATTGCTCTGTGGGAATACGAAATGATGAGAGTACCGTTGATTCGAGTATTTTCAACGCGCAACCATCAGATTCTCCTAAAGAATGATCAATGATTACAGATTTTCAGTAACACTTAGTTCGGCCATACGTGTATCGAAATTAGGCTTGTACATTAAAAAAGGTTAAATAGAAAAATTTGTTAAAAACCAACATGCAACGCGATGAACGACAATTCTAGAATATTCGTGTCTAATATTCTTTCGTTTCCGCGGACGTGGAACACGTATTTTCTCACAATTCTCTCCGCTATTGGAAACGTTGTATCTGCAAGCTAGTAACATATTTTGCGACACCTGCTGTTGCTACAGAGCAATGCAATGATCTATCACATGCAAATGATGTTAAAAGATTTATGAGATACCGCTGTGCCGCCGTAATAATTCACGCTAGTCGTCCTTCTGTTGTTGATCGAATTCAGTATACGCATTTCCACATTTTCAATAATTCTAGGAAATGATCTGATTGGAGTCATTGTTGAACAAATTTTATATATTTTTATCGCTACGCGGAAATTTAGTATGAAGTAAAATACATAAATCTTTTTGGTATCTTCTACTAACTTTTAGTTTCTAAGTAATATATTATACTCTTTTTTTAATCTTTTAAAAGATATTTAATTTGTTAAGTTCTTTAATTGTAATCATTGGTTATTATAGAACACAAATTGCTGTGAAAAAATATATTATTGTCCGCAACATCATACACTGACATAAACACATAAAAATAAGTGCAAATGATATAAGACGTCGCGTGAACGCTCCACTTCTATGACTTTACGTCACGATACACATTCTTGTATGCGTGAACACGATCGCATAAAGTGCATTTTCTCATTCGCTTTTCAGTGTTAACGTTCACGAGAAATTTCCATTTCCATGTATGAAGTACATTTTCTTCTAAGACGGAAATATAGTTTGATTGTAAAGTACAGTGCAATAGCATCTTGTATGGAAATGAAATAACTTAACATTTTTTATTATGGCTCTATAAAAAGATTTCATTTTTGAACTGAATATGATAAATTTTAAATTGTAATATAAAATACAGTTAATAATCAAGGAGGAGGCATATACAACATTCCTATGGGTAAATTTTTAACTTTTTGTACAGTATTTAATACTTGTTTTAGTACTTGGGAATGAATTTCTAATGTTTCTCCATTAGCATCTATACTACTCCATGTTTTTTCAATCAATTTCTCATAGTTTAAAGCAACACGTTTCTGAAATTCACTATTTTCATAACGTTCAGATCCCCAGTTACTGCGTGAACACTGAGTTTTTTCTGAAACTTTAAGTAAAATCACCAAATCTGGAGAAGGTAATCCTTTATCAGCTTCTTTGCACCAAGTTAAACATTTACCGCTCAATGCAGCTGTATAAGCAGCACCTGAACCTGCGTACCTGCAACAATATCAAAACAGTTAAGTAATAATTGAATCGTGTAAAAATATTTTATAATCACTCACAACTATTTTATTGCTTACCTATCAATAATTACAGTTACACCGTTCTGTAAACTTTTTATTATATCCTCTTTAACTTCCCAACGGTTTGCAGAGAATAATAAATGTGTTGTTTCGGGAGGCAGCTCTAATTTGTTACACAAAAAGTTATTTATCAATGTTCCAGTAGGCGTAGTTCTATCTGTAAACATACAGAAGTATTATATACTTAAGCTCATAACCTAAGAAACAAACTATTCGATAGTGTAATCGATAAATATTAATAATTTGTATTTTAATAATTGTTGATAATTGTTCTGTTTACACGAAAACAATATGCGTTTTACGCATTTAAACAGAAGACTATGTCCAATTCGAATATTCAGTTATTTTGAATGAACGTTTATCGATAGAAGTATAGAAGAGATTTACTATATTTACCTGGGAAAGCTCGTGCTTCTGTAGGAATGTTTCGTTTCTTTAAAGCTTCTATTAACATTTTCACTTGAGTAGATTTTCCTGCTCTATCACATCCTTCGAAAACTATTAAAGCACCTCGTCCTACAGACATTTTTCAAATAATCCTTGTACGAGGATTTTTTTTTAATGCTACTTACACGTGGCAATATCTTGTGTATATGTCGGTACAGTAAATTCTTGATATAAGCGAATCTCTCCGGTTTAAACTTTCCGAGACTTTATTGCATCGACAAACTTAAATTAAATTCTTTATTTTATAGAAGATCGTACTTTTAAGTACGAACGGCAATATTAATTCCAAAATAAACCGAAAGTGTTAAGCTGTATTAATCTTTATTGTAATATTAATAATAATGAGGATAGTAGTAATATACATTATACATTTCTTATCATCCTTATTTCCCATAAAGATACATAGAACATTTGAATTGTAAAGTGCATTAAAGATATATGCCATTAATATGTTACATTCGTAAACCCCTTCCTATACATACATAACGTACAATTCAATTAATACTATTACTCATCTTTAACGTTTCGCCTTAAAATAACATTTCAATATTTTATTATTTCACTGCAAAATTAAAATAATTAAATGTGATCTTGGACTAAATGAAATTTGCAATACATTATTCGATAGCATATCCAAAAAAATATCTGACATTAACTTTCAATGGCCTGTCTCAACCGATGGAATGATACCGGGGAAAAATTGAGATTCCAGTTTTTGTCCTATTTTTCCTATTTAGTAACGTACAAAAATTCTGAAAATATTCTGAAACATTGGAGACCTAGTAGCACATATTACAGAATTTTTTCAGATTTTTTAGTTGAAAACTATAATTTCAAAAAATGAGAAACAGTAAAAAATCGGAAAAATACAATTTTTTTATTGAAAATGCAGGAGCACTATTTTTCTATTACTATGGCTAAAAGAGATTGAGATATATTAGAAACAATTAGATGACAAATTCAAATGATAGATTAATAATTGCAACATAACTTTCTTTTAAAACGAGAAACCATATACTCATTGAATTTTATGGCCCTTCTTTAACGACTCCTACTTGAGAACAATTCGACGAGTTAATCCTAACATATTAACATACGAATTTTTCCGAGGAGACTTATTCCGATATATATACAAATTATAAATTCCATTATGTATTTATATATACGTATATACATGTAACATACACAAACACGCGTTTCATATTATTAATATACTACAATTTATGCGTAATATATGTATTAAAAGCATATTACCATGTCGCGTGTATAAAACCGAATAATCTAATAATTGTAGTCACAAACAGAGGAACCCTTTACGTGCTTAGATCTTATATCGTTCTCGTTTATTTTCAGTCTCTCTGCACACACAACTCTTCTCACTCTATTTTCAACATACATGCACATCCAATTTCTAATTGTGTACAAATACGCGTGAGTGCATATTCATACACAAGAAACGGATTCGTAAAATATACGTAAAGGTTCCTCTGAAAAGTACTGTATCTAATATATTTTACAAGAATCGACAAACTTAGCTTCACTTCTATTATCATGAATTTAGCCAAGGAGACAGGAAAATGGTCTTAACTTTGTCGTAGAGGACAAAAATTGGATCTTCTTGCACCGATAACCCGACTACGATCATGTCTACTATGATTAGTGGCCAAACAGAATATCGCGTTTCAAAGTGAAATGGAACTGTTTTCTCCTTTCATTTTTTTTCTCAAACATTAATAGAGCGCATTTCAATATAAACATTATGGACAAACGATCTTTCTTACTCTCATACACATCTTACTTGTTTGACGCACACTTTTAATTTTCGTACCTCTTTATCTGGTTTTCGATAATTATTGAACTGATCTACAAAACTTGCTTTACCGTTTTATACATTGCCTAAACGTTACTCTCTTTTGTTAATCGTGCTTTCTGAATTCATCACATAATATAACTGAACGAACCTTTCTCAATTAGGAAGGTTTATGCTCATAAAAAATATAATATGGAATACATCACCGAGAGGAACATATACTTCCAGAATAATTAATTACCCTCGCAAAATATTTTCTTTCTCGATTGATCTTATCACTTCGAATGCTTCAAAAGCACCAATTATCTTACATTTGATAATGAACTATGCACCTTATGTTAAATTGAGGTTTCAAGATTATTTGAAGAAGTTAAAATCTGAAAATAGCTTCTTATCGTAATTCAACTGTATAAGATGGAAATACAAGTTAAAGCATTTTGCCAATTTTTCCAGCTTGAGCAGACAGTTATGCTTTTTATTGGAAATAACGTTGCTGTAACGATATAGTAGCCTGACAATTAATAACAGTACTTGTATTACAAGCCGCCTAACAATAGGATCCATAAAATTTTCATATTTCTAACATTTCTTACATCGTCGATACTTCTTTCGTTTTAAATATGCAGTATTGTTCGCCGCCATTGTATAAAATCAACATACCGTGCGCTTAGCTTTCATAATAAATTTTCGTATAATGTAAACCATACGACCAACATTATTCTTCTTACAGGTTTACAGAACACGTTTTAGAAAAAATTGTAAATACTCAAATAAAACGTGAATCCTGTCACAAGTTCAAAATTATTCTTCCCAACCGCGTTCACTCAAAGATTGATTTATAGATCTATATAAGATTAATTTATCTTTGCGATTAGATTATAAACTTCGCAAGATTCGGTATTTCCTTTAACTTACTTAGCATAATATCAGCCATGTATGTATATCGTTTTGTGAAGGAATTTTTACATAGTCGACGAATGTTATAAGATAAACGAGTTAAATTGCAACAGTTATAAGATAATAAAAACAACCTATGATTTACATTATCATATTTCAGCGAGTTTGCTAAAAAACATTCCGTGAAAAAACCTATTATTATCAAACAAATACCCTGTGTACGATTAACGAAATTCGATCAATATATAAGTAATTATTCGTTAAATGAGCGTTAAGAATATCCCTTACTTACAAAGCCACTGATTGTTCGAAACACTGATTGTTCAGAGTTTTCAGAAAAAATCAGTTTAGAGCTGTAGTCGCGCTCATTTAGCGAACGGTTACTTTATATGCTCAGAGTGCACGTTTCTCAGGGTATAAGTCAAGAAACACAAATATTTTGTTTTTGCAGTTTTTGCATATTAAGACTTGTTTAAACTTATGTCTTTTGTATACTCTGTGATAGTTTACATTTGTCAATAAGATTATTTATAAGCAATTATTCCCTAACAATATAACTTGTTTGTTTTTACTCCAAAAAATGAATCGATTCATGTAAAACTCTGAACACAACCCTGCGAAATTTTCGTGTGCTTGACTAAAATGTGTGACGTCTACGCGTTGACTTACTTACTTTGAGGTACCTTTGCTTCTGTTGTTAACGATATTTTTATCGTGATACTGATTATAGATTATCAACGGATTTACATTCATTTTGCGAATTTTATCGTGGTTGATATCGACTCTGTTGTTGCATGTTTTTCGCTGGACGATTCTTCACCTCATTCGGGTTGTACATCATTGGTCCCTGAAGAGTATAATTTTTATTATTATTAATAATAAATCAATCGTAGAATCATGTTAAAATTAAATGACGTAATATTATAAATTCGATCAAATATTTACACTATCTTTTACACAATTCTGTCCTAAAATAAGATTGTATGACATTATAAAATTATTAATTAAAAGATCCTATCATTCTGTCTTATATGTATACAATATATTCATAACTTACATAACTGAGTGACACAAAGCATAAAAATGTTGTATTTGCAATTAATATGTAAACATACGTTGCGAGGCCAATACCAAAAATACATCCTTCACCAAGCTTTCCCATAGTTTTGCCATTTAATTTTCACAAAAATGAAGTGACTGATATAATGAGTTTAAGCTTGATTCAAGGGCGAAATCTATATGGCTATGAATTAAGAGAAACGTTTTATCTGGTATTTATTAAACTGTATAGAGTATCTTTTAAATGGTTCAAATCACGTAAATAGAAAATGAATTTTTATAAAATTGTAGAACATTCTTTTCTCGAAAACACGAATAAAGGATAATTATAAAATGAACAAAAGCACCAAGTAAAATATACTCTGTAATACATAATTATATTATAAATGTTTTATGCAAAATCACAATATAATAATAAAAAATTAAAATATCGATATACTGTTGAATAATACTTGTAAGTGGTCACCTCTGGGAAGGAAAATGTTTAATGCCACTGGATTACCTTGTTCCGTTGGAGGAGACGCGGATCCCTCATAGTGTAGCTCTGCACCTCTCGCGATAACGAGCTGGTTGAGCTCCATCGAGAGAGCTGTATGCCATATATAACACACAATCTTATCTCACTAACCAATAATCGCCCTGTTGCTATGATTAAGCATCAAAATATACAAGGATGCAACACCGACGTTTCTTAATGCAAAATACTTGACTTTTTTACAACATAAACTTTTTATTTTAATACAAAAGTAATAGTACAAGAAATCGCAAAATATCAGAAATGTAAACGGTTGGTATTGCAAATCTCTTGCAGTGTAATGTATAAGAATATGATAATCTATTTGATACGTACAATGTAATAAAAAAAGTAATAATGATCAAATAAAGTAATCATGCTAAAAATGTAAATATATAAATGCATTATTTTTAGTGTCCTGTACCATATGTTACACTGTGAACCTAATTATCCCATATTGGTATATTACTACTAAAAACTCGTGTACGTGCAAAATAAAAGATCTTGAAGTAGCACCAAGCCATAGTGTGATATTGAAAAAAAAGAAGAATCAAAGAAGAACAAACAAGTATCTCAACAAGCTATAAACATATTGAAAGTCGTTGCATCAAACATGCATGAAATTTTCATACTGCCACACATACTGCTAAATAAACATTGCAAACTATGCATGCACGATAATAAAGAACAATGTATACAATTATTAAAATAGTCCTTACTATCAGCAACAATTATTATTTGGCTACATCATTCTGCCTCCCCGACTGCTTGCAAAGGAAACATAAAAAGAAAGGTGGATTAAACACAGGTTTGCAAACAAGAGAATATCTATTGTGATCTTGGAAAATCTAGTTGGAACGACAACTGCTACAGTATGACATAGAAAGCACACAATCTTTAGACGAATAAAAATGAAAGTTTAAACATATATTTATTTTTATCGTTCGACCGTATCATGTGAAAGGAACAAGACCTACTTATGAATTCGATTACTTTCCATTGCAGAATTCAAATAGCCACAGGAACGTTTAACTTTTATACAAATGAACAATTAAGAAGACAATTACGATACTTTTGAATAAATAGAGAATGCACAAAACTAAGGGAAACTTAAGGCATATACAAATTCTCATCATGAACGTGGTTTTAAAGTACTTTCATGAGAGAATAACACCTTAACATTACAGTTCCAGAAACACGTTCAGAAATACAACTAAGCTGCATACGAGCATACTGCAGCCATAACATAAAGGTAACGAAGGGGTTGTGTACAGTGGGTTTGAAACTGTATTGTTAATGTTGTATATATGTTTGTGGTAACAAGACACGATTCAATGTGCATAGATGTTTCCGAATATTAATTTCAATGTCAAAGACTCACCCCTTGAGATGTATTTTCGGAAGCATTCGTAGAAGGTGCAACCGGTGTTGAAGTAGACGTTAAGAAGTCAACCGGAGCATTTGGATCATTGACTAAACAAATTTAAACACAATGATTTGAAGTGAACGATAGAATTATGCTGACAATGATAACAAAATATTGGAAGTTATTAAAAATTCACCTGGAGCAGGAATGAATAATTGAGGCGACGAAGCTGCCATAGGCACCAATGGAGATGTTACTGGAGTAGGTACCGCTGAAGGCGGTGCATTACTTTTCGAACTATTAGGATTCATTACATCTATGTAATTGGCACGCATACTTCTGCCTTTAGGTAGTTTAAATTTATTCACTGCTGATTCGTCAGCTTGCGAAGGTGGTTGAATCGGTTGAGATGGTTGTAGTGGCTGAGGAGTATGTTCAGTTACAGGTGCTCTGAATCCCATATCAGCAGCTTTTGGAGGTGGAGCTAACGTTGTAGAATTACTTTCCCCGTCTTCATCTTTATTCGTCCATTTTTTAGCAACAGGATCCCAAACAATCTATTACAAAATTAAAAGACAACGTGAACGAACGTAACTTATGTTCATTTGAATAGATAAAACATAGGGTAACACCATTTATACGAATTACAGGGCTCAAACAACTGTACTGTTCATTTTATATGTTAGAAATGAAATATAAAATGTTAAGTCAGAATATATCAATAATTCATTAGCTGTTAATCAAATGATCTGACACTGAGTTATACTAGCCTTTTCATCTCCCGTCATAAAAGACATCATAATAGACGTTCAATTACCAAAAGTACCCGCGTGAGCCCTTAAGCGACATAAAACATAAAACCATCTATCGTAATCCTTTAATGATCTAAAAGGAATTATAATACATTTTGAAGATTTTACCGTTGGATTACTATCATCTGGTAGAATCATCTGATTCCTTGGTTTTGGAGCCAGCTTGCTGAAAAGACCACCGAACCAAGAACTTCCGCTGTTGGAAGGTTTCTTCTCCGTTGATTTCTCGGAAGTTTTTTTAGCTGTAGACACAGGTTTTGAAGCTTGTTTCGGAGTCTCTAGTGCATCCAATTCTTCTAATGGGTCGTATTGTTTTCTCGTAGACGGTGTCATAGAAATCATTGGCTGAGATGGCTGAAATGAAATATACAATTCATCATCGCACAGTTGTTCAAGCAAAGTTAATCACTATTTATTGCGATAGTACAAGTTCATGTTCATAGTTTTGTTGAATTTTGTAATTTGCATATGATTTTAAAAGATCGAACTGCCACAGTAAATAGTGAGAAACTTTGCTCATATTACGTATTTATAATCAAGATATGTAAGCACAAAAGAGGATCAGCTATCAAAAATTCAAAAAAGTGAATAACATGGGAAACTTTATTATATATTTAACATTAACAGATTTATATACATAAATGATATCTAAAACAAAGAACAAGTACTATAAACCACGTTTTGTTCATCCCTGTCAAAGATCTGCGCTGTTAACCATTCACACATATTTCATAATAACACGAAATGTTATTTGTCAAACATGATTTTATAGCGGAAGAACTGCATTAAAATATTAATTTAACACGTTTTGCAATTACAACCACAAACGCGTAGCAATGTCATATCTAACAGATGTACTATCTACTCGCAATTTGTGGGACAATCGATATCATACGTTTTGGGAATGAAATTTTCAGTAGGAACATCTTCGAATTCGGTTAAACAAAGATCAGCCGTAGATCTACTAACTGGCAAGTCTATCGGATACGTGCCACCAAATATGAGTGGCTTATACCGACACAATTCATTGGTATTCTTTGAAGAACTAGAATGCGACCATGCATCTACCGTGTCACAAATAACATCTTTCCTTCGAATATGCGGAGCTACTCTCATAACCTTTTTATCCTCAAAATTACAATACTGTGTTAGAGTTTGAGTTTCATTCTTAGAAACTGCAAGCGTTTCGCTCTCCGAATTCGAACTGAACTTGGACAAAGAATCAAACTTTACTTTACTAAATTGAATATCTAAATCAGTGGTTGTCGACGAAGCGAAATCATTTTCTTCCGCTCCTGTTGACATATTTTCATGATTATCCTCAGTTTTCTTTTTAACTTTACATTTTAAAAAGACAGGGGGCTTCGAAGAGGGCGGTTTTATATATCTGCCGTCTAATTTCTTTATTTTATTTATATCTTTTGGATGGATTTTACCATTAGATAAAATTTTTGGATAATTTGCATTAATCTTTGGGTACGTCGTAAGCTTTCTAGATTTCACAGATTTTTCATCTAAAGTGGTAGATCTATAAGGATTAGAACTCGACGATGTTGTCGTCGAGGTATTAAGATTAGAAACAGAAGAACAAGAAGCGATGTATTGGTTTGAATTGGTTAATACTTTTCGCCGTCGTAATGAACTAACATTGGTGTCATCCAATGACCACTCAGGATCGAGATTACTATCCGGAGTAAGCATATAATTACTTACTTCAGGAGTGGGTGTTTTTTCTTCCCTTTCCGTCTGTCCATATGAAAGCATCAAGAAAAAGTTGAAAACATGTTATTTCTACATACTAATCAACGAAGAAAATAAACGCAAAACTTTTGGATACATAAAACACGCATGCAAATGAAATTGACAATGCGTTCATAATAGTTTTATGATAATGCACGTGTGATGATATAAAACGTATGAATACAATTGCAACGATTAATTTACCTCATAGTTCCATTTTTCCTGTGGCTGTGAATTATCGACGTCACCTTGTTCCGTAGGATACGACGTATGAGTTGATTGTTGTTGCCAATTAGTAACAGTGCTGTCGTTTCTTCCATAATTATTCTGATAATACGAATCTTGATTCCAATAATCTTGCTGTTGTGATTGTTGATATTGAGAAGATTCTTCGTTATTAGTGGTATACTGCATGCTTTGATCATAAGCATCTGATATATTGGACGGCAAAGATAAAGGCTGCCAGTCTGATTGTACATTGCTTGAAGCTACTTCCATCATTGATATTGGGCCTTCCCTGTATTCTGATTGAACGATATTCGGTTTTTGTTTCGTTTCTTGCATTACTGAATTTTCATTATATTTTGCTAATTTAGTTTGAGAACCATAATCTTCATTTTCAATCATTTCTCCAGACTGTAAAAACATAGAAATGTATAATTTTTCTTTCCATATGGCAAGAATAAGTTTTCAAAGAATTAATCTATTTGAACTTACATGGAATTTACCAACAATTTCAGCTAAATTATTAAACCATACTAAAGTTGTAGCTTCATCTATGGAATCTTTATAGACTGGATCATGATATCTAATTCTGTCCCCTAAGTTATACACTGCATCGATAAACGATTTCTTATACTTCGATGGTTCATTAGCAATATTTATTGCAATTTGTTCTATGTACAATAAAGCTTTTTCTATTAATCCATGATCCACCATTTTTACCGCTAGATCAAATTTAAAAGTTTGTAAATCCACCAATGTAAATCCTGGTTCACTGAGGTTTCTAGCGTACTCATATATTTCCGTGAGCATAACTGCTTCCGTTGAAAGAAATGAATTGTACGGTTTATGATGATTTGCACCAATTAACACAAGCTTCACGTTACTTGCTTCATAAGCACCAAAGTCAACTTGTGCAAGTATGTAACAAAAATGAGCCGCGTGAATGTCTCCTCGTGCGGAAAGTGTGTCTCCGAGAGTCGTGATCGAACGACGATTAATTTCAGGGTTAGCAGACGTATTTGATATAATCATGGCTAAATGAGGTCTCCAATCATCCCATCGTGGATCCGATATAGCGGTAACAACAGCAGGCACGCGGCCAGAATGAAGCTGATACAAAGTTTGCAATGGATCATGATACGGTAAACTATTTGCAAAACGTGCCATAACAGATGCATGAGTACGTTTATCCAATTTGCTAGCTAAGAAGAGTGCGTGTCCCCAAAGTCCTTCGTTCATTGCATATTCTATACCGAAAAAATAAAATATATACATTTAAATGGTTTTTATACTGAATGACACCCATAATACAGAAATACATGTACCTAGTGCTTCTTGAACTAATCCATAAAGTAGCGTATTTCTAAACTCGTCCGTAATTTGTTCGATACTTTTTCGTGGTTTATTTTCAACTTTTTCGGAAGCTGTCACACCATCTACACTACTTTGAAGACTATCTCCGATCGTGACACCAGATCTCTGCGATATGACCGATTCCCTTCTTCCCGAATCTTTTTGCTTATTCATATCATAAGGATATGAATCTTTGTTTCTGAGCAACAATGCTGCTATATCAACACCAACAACATTCTGAAAAAATACATGCAATTAGGTATAGAATTATACGCATATATATATATGCTTAAAAAGTATCTCTTACTCCATTTTGTTGGATTAACATAATCATTAGCTCATATAAAAGTATGTACGAAGCTCGATCGGTCATCTCTTCGTTTGATGCTGCTTTCTTAATTTTGTTCTCACAATATTCAATAATAGTTTTCTTATGAGTAACACCCCTGTATAGAAAAATAAACGTTAAAATGAAAACAGTGCAATTCTAACCAATACCTAAGCATGCATACCTATAAATATATTGTAACATTAAAAATGATAAGAAATTCAATTAACTAGAAAATATACATGCTTAGATCATAGAAGTACTGATTACACTTGCTTAATCAGAGGTCCGGGATAAGCTCGTAAATCTCGCGTTACAGGATCATACGACAGTAAGTTGTCTAATCTAATAATGTCTACTTTGGCCCTTTCACCATCACTCGGATAAGTTGGATGTACGTGTATCAGAGCTCCGATAGAAAAACACCCTAAAAATAAAATATTTTTATAAAACATGATAATCTACGAAAAAAATTTTTTTTAATTTTAAACTGTACCGTATACATGAGAAACCGAATATTTAGACGGTGTCATGCGCGCCGAAGTGGATATCGAATCTTCTAGCATAGATATATCACCTATAGTACGTTTATCTCCAGTCGTCCTGAAAAACAATGTTTTTCGTATTACGAATTGAACTCGATAACAATAAAATTACAACAGGAACAACAATAGTCATGAACCTCCTTTTAATCGTCAACAGAAAATAACGTATTCAAAGCAGTTACTATATTAGAATATTATTTAGCATCTACAGGAAAAGAAGACAGGATTTTTTGTTTTAAGAAAATTTACAAAGGTAAAAGAAATTGAATATATATCTACTAAAGGATTTACGCCTAATTCAGAAAGAGATATTTACGTTTTTAACTAAATTATTACTAGAAACAAAAAATTGGATGTCTAACGTTTGAAAGTGTCAAACCGAGAGAATTCTCCCGGTCTCACCTATTTAAATTTCGATAACTTGAATTCTGTCTTCGCTGTGGACTCCTGGTCCATCCAGGATACCCGAAATACGGAACATACAATGCTTTGTTTGATGAGTGGAAGCATGCACTTGGATTTGTAAAAAATCTAACACATAATCGATATTATAAAATCTATAGAAAAATAAAGTTAAAATATTCAGATCCAATTGCTTCCTTTCCCAATCACTTTTTTAACGCTTACCTTTCGTCGCAGGAGCTTCGTCCCGAATGAACACTTGCTCTATCTTCTGGATAATTACTTGCACCTCGAGATATATGCTGTTGTTGGTGTTGGTTAGCATAATATTTATGATACCATTCAGAATAAGCAGCAGGATTTGTACGTCGTAAATTTTCTATATACGCATAATAATTACTGGCGTAATGGGCACCATAATCGTATCCAGGATATCCTATATCACAATAATATATATTAATTTATTTGACAACATAAATTTAATAAAATGCCTGATTGACTTACATACCATTGTAACCGTAGTAGGGATCTCTCGTTCGCATATAATATTCTCGATCTCTATCATTGTAAGAAGATCTACTAGATGGCCTAGACCTGGAAAAAGATATATATCTAAACTAACTCTGTATCCTGAAATGTTAATACGTATTGAAGAAATAAGTACCCTCTACTATAAGGATCATCATAATATTCTCTTCTATATGGATCTCTTATATCGTAATCGTCGTATCGTCTCGATCGTCGGTCATCCCTTCTCCTATCACGATCAATATATTCACGATCTCTAGAGTATCGCGGATCATATTCCCTGGCTTCTCTGTCCCTGCGACGCATATCGTCTCTTTCTTTTCTACGGTCTTCAGGCCTTCTTCTTCCGTCTCTCTCGTCCAAATCTTCTTTAACTCTTCTTCTGTCGATTTCTTCCCTCGCGTGTCTATCCAGATCATCGCGACTATGATGCTTGCGATCATCTTCTCGATACGGAATTTCCCGACGGTCGAATTCGTCTCGTGTAGGGTACGTTCGATCGTTGTCTCCTCCTCGACGACGATCATAGAAATAATCATCGTCGAACTCCCGTTCACGATCGTAACTGCAAATAAATCATTACATAATTATTAAATAGAATATGAATCAGTACACATGTATAATTTATTAATACTGACTATGCGTTTTTTCGTTCGTATTCATATCGTCGACGTTCAGAACTGCTATCGCGACGTCTTTCTCTGCTATCGTCTCTACTGTTCGCAGAACCTTCATCATCTTCATCATCGTACGAGTCTCTGCGATTCGATAAAATGGCAACTCCTTGATTTTCGCGTATAGAAGCACCAACTGCTTCTTCGCGCTTATTCCTCGAGTCGTTCGTTTGGTCTTGTATCGTAGCTAAAACCAAGAATGAGAATTATTCGTTCGAAAACAAAATTCGCGCACATATAAAATTTTCTCTCACAGCCTGTAGAAGCAACTTCTTGAGAACCTGTAACTATCCTTCCATTGGATCTATCATCCGATGATTGAGTGACTTCGTTTGGAGATGCGCCTCCTGGTATTTGTCTTAAATTCTCATTGGTTTGCTGAGATGAATCTTCAGATTCGTTACCCCTTCCAGGTACTTCTCTCGTTTCGCTAGGTTCAAGCATGATCTGAGGTTGAGACTGATGTCTTTCTTCTCCAGAAGGATCATTGCGGGACTGCTGCGGAGGTAGAGATCGTTCTCTGCCGGATGGATCATTGCGACGTTCCATCGTATCGGAATCCGTTCGTGAAAGTAAAGGTACGTTTCGTTCCTGCCCTGGTGGAACATCACGACGTTCAGATCTATCGGACATATTTCTTAACGGAACACTCTGCTCCTGACCAGAAGGATCATTTCTTCTTGGATCAGGTAGTCTTTGACCGGATTGAATATACTGTTCCTGTCCTGTTGGGTCGTTTCTTCGTGGGTCTATGGAACTTGATTGTCCTGGTACTTCTCGCAAGAAAGGAATGTCATTAGGCACTTCATCATTTTCATCATCTTGGCTCGGTGGTGTTGGTTCATGTTCCTGATGAGAATCGGTTAATTCTCCAGTTTCCAAAAACGTATTTCTATCATTTGTTGCAAACTCATAATTATCTGGTACCTGTAAAACAATTTTTATTTACTTTTTACTTATATGAAAAATTGAATTATTACATTACCTGTTCTGACTGAAGGAGCGTATGAGAACGTGCCGATTGTGGAGCAGAGGGTACCTCGATATTATTTACTTCTTGTCTGAAATCACGCGCATTAGTTGGTTCCTTGACAGGATTCACAACTGGTTTCGGATCGTTATCTAAAGTTTCTTTGTTAATAGAATCTCTAGAGCCGTAGATATCGCGTTTCTGTAATGATGGAGTAACTACTTCTAAATTTACAAACTCTGAAGGCTGCTGTATATTTTCATAATTTTCTACGTTTTGTTCGGTAACCCATTCCTTGGGTGGACAAATATGATCTTTTGAATACCATGTATTTTCTGAAGAGAGTGGCAATGCAGCTTGACTGTACCACTGATCATATCCACTTTGTGCTATGCTATCCATTGGTTTAACATTCGACATTTGATATGTATTGAGCATTGAATGTTCCTTACTAATAATATTTTGATTTTCGTTAGAATGAGTGCTTTCAGTACCAGGTAAAACATAATCTGAAGGTAACCCAGGTATATTATCAGGTGTAGTACTTGTATGGGAAGCTGTATTTTGACTCCATGCATCCTCTGCCATAACAGGATTTATTTCTTTTGGTTCATTTAAATTTTCCAAATGTTTATTCAATTTAGTACCAAGATTCAACTGTTCTAATTTTGCAGGTAATTCTTCTGTTGCATTATTTTTTCCCCATTCTATTGATTCACTAACTAGGTTAAAGTCATTACTTTCTTGCATTGAAACATTTTCGGAACTGGCAACTGTTGATACAGTTTCAGGAGTACCAGACACATTAAGACGAGAATCTGATAACTGTGATTTAACGACATTCGTTTTTGTATGTATATTAGTATCCATAGAGTTTAAAGAATTTGCGTGTAACAAAGGAATAGATTTTTTCTTTTCATCGTCTGTACTGGGCTCTGTTGCTGTTATCACATTAGGTAAAGCATGATGAGAATGACTTTGTTGCCAGTCATTTGTTGCAAGAGTAGCAGTATTATCTTGTTTGATGCTTTCTTCTATTAAATTATTATTCTCTCGTTGTTCCTGTAACCACTGATTCGAATATGTATCATCTGTGTGTTTCCATTGCTGCAAAGTATCTATGTTTCCTGTTTGTGACCATGAATTAAATTCATTATTGGTATTATATGTTTGTGTTGGTTGTTGATTGGTCAATATGGTATCACGATTTTGACTATTTCTCTGAAGAGTTGATACATTAACTTGATTTGACCAATTATTAGCTTCATTTATGGAATGTTCTTTATTTTCAGTAGAGGGTAAAAGGTGCTGATTTGTACTAGTTTGCTGTAACGATGGTACACTCTGATTACCCATGTCATCAAAACCATGTGTTTCCTTATCTATTTTTGGATCTTGTACATGACCTGACAAATTAGTATGACTTTGCCAATTATGTGGAGTCATTAAATTTGTTTGATCAGGCTTATTCCAATTGTAATTACTACCAACTAAAGCAGGACGAGTTCCTTGATCTTTTTGCTGCTGTATATTTGATATTTGCTGTCCATAAGGAAGATTTTTAGGCTGTTCATTTGTCCATTGAGGTTGATCAAAATTCATAGATCCAGGTTTGGAGGAAGTTACTTGCGGTGGTGGTGGTAGCGTTGGATATTGCTGATATTGAGTATAATTTGAATAAGGTTTAAAGGTGTCCGAATGATTTGAAGTTGGTGGTCTATTGGCAATTGTTGCAGATGCATTTCTATCTAACATTAAGTTCTGATTGAGCAAGTCAGACTTGTTACCATTTACATTTTGATAACAATGATCTTGAACAGAATTAGATATAAGTTGTCCTTGATTCGTATATGAAGGTACATAGTGTTGCTGATGTTCTTGCGGTTGGGGCTGTTGTTGTTGATTTTCTGTTGTTTGCTTGTCAAAGTCCCAATTCCATGAATTATTCCAAGGATCAGTTGATTGTTTAGACTGATTTACAATGGGGGGCTGACGTTGAATGGAATCATTCGATGGCATATCTGATTGTACTCTAGATACTGGATTCCACACATTTTGATTATGAACTCCATATCCTAAATTGTGATCTACTCTAGACCTAGTTGGTCTGGCTCTATAAGGATTCTACAAATATGTTTAAAATATTAATACATAATATTATATTTATTTAACTTTATGCAATGGTTTTTAATGTATTTTACTTACACTCATACTGCCTTTAGGACAGTATCACTTGTTTCTTATTCGTATAAAACCTACAAATCATAAACAATGTAAATAATATGGTGTTTATTAGAGAAAGCATATATAGGCGATTCGAAATTTTAAGTAACCCCTTTTACGAATACGTAAAAACATGTACAAATACACCACAATTTTTATGAAAGTCGAATAAATAAAGAACCTCATTGACATTCGTGTTGCAACATGAAATCCGTTTAAGTTCGTTAATCAGTTCGATAATTTGTACTATGAACAAAAACTGTAGACTTTCGCGCGACAAAACTCAAAATTGTGATAATTATGTAACAAAAATCATGAGAAAGCAGCTTTTGTGTACAAATAACACAATAAGTATGCTGGAGAAAGTTAAAATATGAAGGATTGAAATCATCGTACTAAAAGTCAGGATACCAGCTGTGATATCTAACTTGGCGTTCAGGGACCTCTCGTACGTTCACTCACCTAACTATCGTTCTGGCACTGGTGTCCATACGCGAATATAAGCATTATGTTCTTTCACGGAACATTCGAATGGTCACTTTGGAAGATTCAATCTTTTAAAAATTATTGTTTAAAATTAGGCGTTTACAGAAACAACAGGAAAAATTGCAGAAAAACGAACATTTTACAAATACTACAAGAAAAATGTGGGTTAAGCACGTCACGAATTTTTCTCGTTCACTTTCCACGCGAGCAGAACCATAGACGCGCACAGCGCGAACGCGTTGATCCCAAACGTCAAAGAGATTTCTGTCAAAATGCCGTTAGATGGCATTGCTGTGTCATTTCAAAATTTTTATATTACATATTTTCGTTCAGCCGGAAATTATACTCATTATTCGACGAATTTTTGTTTATTTTACGTATGTTAATTCTGATTTGTTCGAATATTATTTGAACCAAAAGTATCACGCAAGCATTCTTTACGACGTTCGTGTAAACGCGTATACTCAGTATTCTTTTATTTTATATATTCTCTACATTAGGACTTTTCAAACTTTTATAGACTGAAAATCCGATTCCGAAAACGTTCCAGAATTGTAAATTCTCAAATTTGCAAAGCTTCGAAGTTCCAGCTTATGGCATATCAAACGAGATCAATATTTTAAAAATCTCTGCCCCGCATCATTGTCAGGATTGACGGAGAAAATAGACTTGAAAGTAGGGATGTGTGGGGTAGTCGGATAATGTCTTTTTAAATATTTTAAAATTATTAAGTCTTATTAATAATAAAAAGTTAAAATGATTTGGAAAAAATTTATACAATAAAATTTGATCAACAATATTGTATTTCAGTCATTTTCCTACAACATAATTTTTATTATTGGCGTCAACTTAATTCTAATTAATTTATTCTTTACTTCAAAATGCAGTATTTATAAATGGAATATAAATTTGTTTCCTTTATAGTATCATAAATAATAAATGTTCATTTATATTTGAATCTAATAGTTTGCTTTATTATTATAACAACTGAAAATTTATATACAGGCAAAACAAAATTCAAAAATGTTTTTCTTATACAATATGTTAAAAATAAAAATATCTGACTATAAAGTGGTAACTTTTATGTAGATATTTATTCATAAATATCTTCTTTGTCTGCAACATAACGTACTATATCTGCTGGTCGTAATAATTTCTCTGCATCCATATCTGGTATTTCAAAACCAAATTCATCTTCTATTGCCATTATAACTTCTATGTGATCCAAAGAATCCAGACCCAAGTCATTCATAAAATGGGATTCCAGGGTTAACTGTGTAAGATTTAAAATTATTAGTCAGAATATATCCATAAATAGTGAGATCAAATAACTGATATGTAATCAAAATAATATATATTTTTATATCTACAAAAAAAAACATAAAAAATATAAGATAAAAATTAAATTTACATATCAGTTTATTACAGAGACTCCACGATTCAAGCCAAGTGTTTATAAAAAATTATCTGTTGTAGATGCTTTGAAACAAGCAAAATTATTTTGAAATATTTTTTAAATAGGAGGTTGCTACATTATATAATATTTGCAAAACCAATTTCACACGCATTTTCACTATTATATCCTATTATGATGATCAGATACCTTGTTTTGATCAATTTTATCATAGAGATTGAGTACTAAAAGCACACGCTCCTTAATAAGCTCAAGTGATAATGGTGCCTTATGACTGTAGTGACGCACCTGCTTGACTCGTGGGCCCTGTAAAACAATAGTTTGTAGAAAATATATAATTTTACAACCTTGTCTGCAGATACTTTATCATAGGCTTTGATCACTGTTAGAACACGTTTCTCAAGAGTCTGTCTTTTGGTATCTACACAGTACAATCGTACACTCTGTGTTGTTACCTATGTGTACAAGACCATTTCTGTATTATTTTATATTGCTATAATATTTCTTTTTTTAACAAAGTTTGTGAGAAGTTGAATGAAAAGAATAAAACACGAGAAACCACTATTTTCTGCCTTTGATCGTAGAACAAATTCAGTGTTAAATAAAATAATATCAATATAAAAACAAAATCCGAATATCGATATCGAAAATATGAAGACATTCCACTTTATATGCATCGCATTTAATTATAATGTGACATGTTATATTAATAGTATTTGTTAAATTATTGCTATAAACATAAAACGATCTATTGTTTTATATTTTGTCAAAATACGAATTATTTCAGTTACATAATACGTAATTTTAAGTCCAATATATGAACCATCAAAAGGGAGTTTCACGGAGCTATAGAAAAGAGCAATGTTTACCTGCGGTAAAACTTTAATGGTACTTTGTCGTTTACAATGAAAATATTTTTCGTTTAACTGAAGTTGTGTAATAACACCACGTAAGCATGGTCGACTGATTGAATTTTTAAGAGTACTGGTATTTCTCATTAAAAAACGAACTCCTGTGAGAGACGCCATTTTCTCTACACAACGATCTATAAAATTGTGCCGTGTCTTAACCTAGGCACGTGCATGAACTTCTAGTGCAGATATTGTCGGGGTTAGGAATTGCAGCGACATCTATTAGAATAAATATGCATAAAACTAAATAAATAATACATATTGTTTAGGAGAAATTATAATCTTTTTTTTTACATTTAAGAAAAATACAATTTTATGTATTAAGATGCAACATATTATCAATCATTATTATACAAAAAAATATTCATTGATAGTAGGAACAACTTTTTATTTATAAAGTTGATTATAATTATTTATATAAATATCTATGTAAATAAAACCTATCCTACTGAACTATATTCTATGTTATATAATGCACTTGTAAGCGATATAATAAAATGTTTCAAAAGTCGTAACCTTAGTAACATTTTAATTTAAAGGAATGGCGAAATTGTTCGAATTTACATAGCTGACAACAGGCTACTTCGTGTTGGTGTTTATCTTTGGCAAGTATTTTTTTCTCAGTTCGATAGACAGAGAATTTTGTAAGTGTCTTGGATAAAGAGTGTTTGGATTTGTATCGTTAGTGCCATATGTGCTGGAACAACGGTGGTCAATATGTGGGTGAAGCCACAAGAAGTTCTACTGGCAAATGCTTTATGGTAAATTGATACGTGTACACAGAGATCCATGTTTTGTTATAATTACTGTTTACATCGTATGTCAAAGACAGCTGACAGTATGCTTCTTTTTGTAATTTAAACAAATTTTAAACGTTATACTACTATAAAAGCTTTTCTAATTTATACATGCTGTATTAAACGGATAGAATATTTCAGTAACAACCAACTAATGATTTTCTGGACGATGTTATTTGTTTACTTTCAAAAAGTACGATCGAAATTAAGTATTTTGCGAGTTTATTAGCTGAGCATGTTAACTGAAATTTTATGCAGCTTTTAAATTTTAAATCGTTGCATCTTCTTACATTGCCGCGCATTGTATAAACGTAAAATGTCATAAATTACAAACGTACGAGAGATACGGTTTATTCTTGATAAGAAACAATCACGCTATTGAATACGACTTCGATCAATTGTCTATACACATATATTTACAGTAATATATATTCCAGTAATATAAAATATTTGTATACTATTATACAAAATAAATTTCCAAACTTCTTTGGTATCTGTATTGTAATTAATGCACAGGGTGTCCTATTTAAAGGATTTATACAATTATTTCTGAAATGTTTGCTACTGAAAAAATCTATTACAGGAAGTAATCTGGTACCCTTAATTTTATTGTATAGGGTAACAGAACAAGCAACTGTATATTTTGTTTTACAACGTCGTAAAGGACATGGAAAGACAAAAGGTCTTACTTCTATTATAGTAGGAACATTGGACAGTGTCTTAGATACTAAGCCTCCACCTTTTAGAATATTACATCAAACACCATCATCAGAAGTTTATTGGGGTAAGGTAAAATGTAATGGTTATCTTGTAAATTTTTTAAAAAATAGCAGAAACAAATTTTGTTTTTAAAACTTGTGTAGAGATTGCATGTTCCTTGACCCATGAAGAAATTTTACAAGATTGGGAATGGCTCCATTCAAATTTAATGGACACTTTAAAGTCATTTGACACAGAAGAAGAAATTACTGAATTTGTTTGCTGTAAAATACAATCTATTATTGCAAACAATATTCCTGATAGCCAGTTTGCAGATGGTAAATTAATAATTATGCAATTAATTAAGAAATAACACTTCATATGATTTATAATACATATTGTTATTCACAGAAGATGATCCAGAATCATTTAAAACTGTATCCTTTAAATTTCACCAACTATTTAATGTACCAAAGGAGGATAAGTTGGTTAATTATTATTCCTGCAGGTGCTTATAATTACATTAAGAATACAGTTAGTCCAACTATAATTTCTAAGAAAGTATTGCATTTTTTTTAGTTATTGGAAATCTCGTTTACCTAGACAAGGATGGTTATATTTATCTGTAAATCATATGTGTTTTTATGCCTATATTCTGGCAAGGGAAACAAAATTAACTATAAGATGGGCAGATATTACTGAATTAAGTAAAACTAATTCCATCCTATTTCCAGACAGTATACGTGTTGTAACAAGAGACAATAAAGAGGTGAATAATATATTGTAGTATTCATTACTTCTAGCATTGAATTGTTGTGTAACAGGAATCCCACTTTTTTACAGCATTATTTTTCAATGTTTCTTCATAAATCAGAGACGTATTCATTAATGGAGCAACTTACAAATATTGCTATGAAAAGGTATTATTACTAATCTTTTGTATAAAAAAATAAGGAAGACCTGCAAAATAAATATTTTTTATTTTTGATAGACTTATAGATGAGAAAAGTGGTTTTAATGAAGATAGAGAATTATTAAACAAATTAAGGTATGTTTAAACATAATACTACATATGAAGAATATTTGTTAATAATATAATAATAGTAATATACCATTTTTAGCAAGAATGTACCTAAAAAACCATCTTTCTTGAAAAGAGATCTTGATGCACGAGCACATTCTGAAGCTTACAAATTACAATTTAGATTACCAGGAATTGAAAAGTTGGATGGTAGTATTGATGCAACATTATGGACACCATACAACAAAAGATATGTTTGGGGAAAGATTTTTCTCTCTCAAAACTATATGTGTTTTGAAAGCAGGGTAATATATTTGGATAAATATAAAATGCAGAATTATATAATAATATATTTGTATTAATTTAGGTAAGAAGATTAGTAAGTCTAGTTATCCCTTTGAGAGAAGTAAGGCTCATAGAACCTGCTGAAAATCAGTCATCTAGTACAGGAATAGACAAATCTATTTTAGTGACAACGGCTCGATCGTCATTTTTATTTGCTCAAATTCATGATAGAGATTTTGTTGTTCAAAAAATATCTGAATTATTAGCAAAATCTAAATTGTCAATGTAAGTTATCATGTATCTTATTTTTCTTTTAACCAGTATTTCACTCAGTGTACTTTCTTTTATGATAGGAGTACAGACAGTATATTTTTCCAAAACAATCCACATCAGAATGACAGTAATTCTGAACAAGCCAAATCAGCTCAAAGTTGGAAACCTCAACCACCACTAATGACTTTGTTTAAAGCCCCATTAAGTAATGAAGCAGCATTAAAGCAAGAAGCTAAAGAAAAACAATGGGAACTTCATTTTGGAGAGTATGGTAGAGGTGTTACAATGTATAGGACAACGGAAACGGCAAAACTTATAATTCAAGGTGTACCACAGGCTCTTAGAGGAGAAGTTTGGCTTACCTTTTCTGGTAACTATAAATATTTGTAATACTACGATTATGTGTATATTGTAATATTACAATTTCAAATAATTTCTAGGTGCTTTAAATGAAATGGTAATGAACCCAGGTCTTTATAAATCATTAGTTGACCAATCATTGGGCAAATCTTGTCAAGCAAATGAGGAGATAGAAAGAGATTTACATAGATCGTTGCCTGAACATCCAGCTTTTCAATCTGACACCGGTATCAGTGCGTTAAGAAGAGTTCTTTCTGCATATGCATGGAAAAATCCGCAAATTGGTATAACTCAAGTTTATTAGATAATCATTGTTTTAAAGGTTTTACAAGATTTTAAGACTTCTTTTGGGGCAGGTTATTGTCAGGCAATGAATATAGTCGCTTCGGTTCTATTGATCTATTGTTCAGAAGAATCTGCGTTCTGGCAATTATGTAACGTATGCGAATCTTTGTTACCCGATTATTATGACAGGAGAGTAGTTGGTGCTCTCGTTGATCAGGGCCTTTTGGAAGAGTTAGCTGCTGAATATTTACCAACTTTACATGCCAGATTACAGGAACTTGGTTTAATCAAAGTTATATCACTTTCATGGTTTTTAACCATATTTCTAAGTGTCATGCCAACCAGCAGCGCAGTGAATATAATGGATTGCTTCTTCTATGACGGTGCAAAAGTAATTTTTCAGGTATAACATTTTATACAAGTCAGTACTTTATTTCCTGTTTTGTTATTATCTTTCATTAGTGAGAATATTGAACTTTATTGATATGCTTCCTAACAAATGCAGAATAAAATACATACAGAAGAAATTTGAAGTAAACAGGTCTTTCTTCCTGTGTCAGATAGCATTAACAGTACTGGAATGGAATCAAGATAAGTTACTTAATTGTCGCGACGACGGTGAAGCGATGCAATTGTTAACTGACTATCTCGGAGGTGTGTACAATGACGAGGGCCCTATTTTTCCTAGACCAGTTGACAGTGCTACTCCTAATAGAGTAAGAATGCTCTCGTAAATATTATATATAATATAAGTGATATATACATATATATAAAAGTAAATATGACTTCAAGTTATATATGTACGTTTTTTATTTTAGAGCATATCTGTACAGACTTTAATATATGAAGCATATTCAAGATATGGAACTTTAACGATTGGTGGGATAGAAAGGCTTCGTTTGAAACACAGACTTAGAGTAGTTCAAAGTTTAGAAGATGGAATCGAAAAAAATGTAATCAGAAGTGTTGTTGTTGACAAATACATGACAATGGAAGAATTACAGGTATTATACAAAAATTCTATTGTTAATAAATTCATTTTATAACAAATTGATATTTTTAGGATCTATTAAGTTTAGTTAGGGAAGAATTAATGAGTCAACGAAAGTCGGAACCTGATCGTTATGATCCAACTCAACCACCATATGAAGCATATAAGGTAGACTTTGAATTGTTTAGGATATTATTTGGTGGTTTGTCGCTGTGGGGAAAATGTAGTCAAGCAGAATCTCTCGCTGCCCGATTGTTCCGTGTAAGTTAATTAAATTTTACAAAAAAGTCTTTAGTTTCTAATTGCAGTTACTTTAATGAAAGAAAACTATTTACATAAAGTAGTAGAGAATTAACATCTATGTGTATCTTAATTTTATTGAATAAGATCAAGCAAATACAGAAAATGTTTATAAGTACTATTGTACTATCAGTTAATGGATCGTAATCGTGATGGTCTGCTAAACTTTCGGGAATTAGTACAAGCTATTGGAATGACATCAACTGCCGATTTAACGCAGAGGTTAAAACTTTTATATACTCTACATTTACCACCATTACTTACACCCGTTGATTTCGAATCACCAACACATTCTGGTAGGTATTATTACTTACACAAATACAGTGACAAAAAACATAAATATTTATGATTAAGGTAAATAAGTTAAATACATTGTTAATATCAGATGGTGCAGAAGTAGCGGCAGAGGCCACAGATTTCTTTGATAGCATGGAACAAAGTGTTGCTTCCTTAGAAATGCCAGTCAGCTTAGCAGAAGAACCGACTATAGGTACTCTATCGCGTTCGACGAGTTTGAATAGTCAACAAGGAGATCAATCATGGGAAGTTCAAAGTATGGGTAGCTTACGTTCTATGATAGCATCCAAAGATAGTCCATTGGATTTGAAAACAGTGCCAAAAATGTCTCAACGGCACTTCATAGCACTATGGAAAACTCTTTATGATATGTTCCCTGCACAACCAGAAGAACAAGAAACTTATCATTGCATAGCTTCGATAGGTAAAAGAAACAAAGTGGAACCTATACTATAAAAATGGAACATGTATATGTATTGTAATGTATATTTCTTGCTAACGATAGGTACACTATTGCTTCAGTTGGGAGATGTTGGTAAAAAATTTTATGTTGATCGAGATGAATCTGAAGACAGTTTACTCTTAGCTGCTACTGCTGCGCAACAGTCATCGGTTGCAGAGCGGGTATGTATTGTTACGTTGATCAAAGTGTTTTATATTAATATATATTTTACGATAATCACTGTTTTTAGTCACCTGATCGCAATGGAAATCCGTCAAGTATAATTTCGTCTGCCGATCCTGATTGGTCAATAAGTGTTGAACAGTTCCTGGCATCTGCCTTAACAGGTCAAGCAATTGTAGACTTTTTTAGTAAAAGAGCAGATCTTATAGAAGCAATTGCAGCTTTGAAAAATCGCAGATTCAATCGCGTCCATTCCTTATCAGATACTCCTGTGTTAAACATATGATACACAGGCTTGACCATGTATAAAAATAGTGTAAGATACGTATGAAATTTATAAAGTGATAGATTGCCTTAAATGATTGACCAGCAATTTCATTTCTTAAGAAAATTTCTACATTTATTGCAATTAGACAAAGAAATTTTCATTTAAGAAATAGGTTGATAGTGTAAAAAAACGCTTTTGTAATAGAATAATAGTTACAATGAATTAAAAAAAATTAACAAATCAAATTTCAAAGTAATTGATCCAGTACTTCTACAATTTTAAATATTATTATTACTTTATCCTAGAGTTTATACAACAGAAATGTTTAATTACTTTAGCTACAATACTTGATTTTAGTAGGCATATCTATGAATATTAGATATACATTATATATTAGCTTATTACATGGATAAAATTCTTAATCGTGCATGTGATGAAGATGTAATTATTCTTTCCCAATGGGCAATTTTTAAATATATATATACGAACTTAGTGGCCTACTATGGTAATTACATATTCATTCAAACTGAAATAATATTCTATAGCATGTACTCAGGGTAATGTTTGAAAACAGTTTCATTACTTTCTAATATTGTTTATGCATAAAAGACAAGTTCCCAGCAATTATTACTACACATAATGAAAATATTTTATAGGATTAAATTGTCTCGAACCTTTACAAGTTACCGTACTTTGCCAAATATAAATGATCTATGCACAAAACGATATGGTACTTATGTCGTCATTTAATATTGCTTGATCATGTAATTCTCCTTCAACATTCGAATATGCAACTATAAATATTGTGAAAATAAATATATAATAATGTCTTTGACTGTCAGCTTGGATAAATAAGAATCAACAATTTAAAACACTAAAATTAGCTAAGACCATATTCGTATTATATAAAAGTTTAAACAGATACTAAATATTTCTTTAAAACCTTTACAAATTTTACTAATTCTTATTATTCAAGATGTTACATGTATAAAAGAAAGATCTATATATTTTAACACGCTCGTAATACATTTTTGTTGACTGCAGTTGAACATTACTATCTGAAACTATACTTTACATATTTGACATATGGAACTATATTTTTTAAAATGATTTTTATTTTTATATAACTAATACGCGCTAAGCATAATTTTAGAAGATAAACGAGTAAAATATATTGCTCTATTGGAAAAAAAATGTTCAAGGATATATCTTCCTGTATAATTAATATACATACATAATGATTCAGTATTTCATATGTGAAATTATATATGTACAAATCATGTAATAAATGGTATATACAATGAAAAGTATAAGGTCTTTGGTTTTTTATAATTTTATTTAAAGAGTAAAATATTTATCTTACATTAAAAATTTTTTGGTAATATGCCATCATTTTTTGCAAGGCGTACCAAACAGTCATCGGATTCACCCTAAACAAATATAAGAAATTATTATGCATAAACATATTTATTCTTTCATATACATTTACATGATAACGTACCATGCGACGAATAGCCCCACAGATTGCATACATCTTTTGGGAGTCTGTCATACGTCCAGTTTCAGGATCAACATCAGCAATACTTAACTGAATAGATGCATGATCCTTGGCATGTATTATACGGTTACTTGACGAGCTATAAAAATATATGAATTTTTATATATTTGCATACATTTAATATTTACTTATGGTTCTATGTTTGTTATACTTTTGATTACATTGATAAGTAACATTTCTAAATGCGTATATCTGTTATAAAATAAAAAATTTCCACCTTTCTTATAACCACATGCGACCCACGTGCATCACTTACCATTTCCTCGGAATATACAAGTCAACAAGTACTCCGTTGTCATTCTCCATTGTTGCGACTGCAATAAAAGTTAAAGTATCAAATGCATATCATTCTATATATAAATTCAACAACAAAATTTAGTAAATTCATATATTTCCTTACATTTAGTTCCTAGACGTACACGGTAAAATGGCTTCGCGATAAAAAGAAAGTTTTATGACAACACTCTTGCATGTATCGCAAATGTGCAAAGTGTGGCAACTTTATCGAATAAGTTTCTATAAATCCCTAGAAATTTAAATTTATTTCCTGATCATGCTTGGCTAACTTCAACAGCTTCCCCACTTGATGCTACCCCACTATCGTACATTTCCCACTCCATCAGTCATATACACGGTGAACAAAATTATGTGAATTGATAAAACAGGTGATGTAGGACAGAGATTTCCAGTGGACTGCTGAAAGTTAGGACTTCGGGATTTTGGAATTTTGCAACTTTGGGACAGCAAAATTTCCAAATTTTGCAATTTAAGAATTAAAAAATTTAAAAGTTAAAGTTAAAAAATGCGCGGCAAATAACGCCACCAAGGGGACATTAAAGGAAACATTCCTTGTCTATACCACGATCCCTACAGTTCCACCAGGCATTCGGTGACTTGAAGTCATCCGGACACTCATGATGCTGTTACATTGTGCCTTCGCGTTTCATAAACACGAAGAGACGTGTTAGTATTATCGCGCGTTTGAACAGGCTGTGATATGAAACTGTGTTTTAATTCATGTAACATTTTAAAAGCGTGTTGCAAATATAATTGACACGCGACATGTAATTAAGAGCATAATTAATGCATATAATTGCAACGTTAATGTTAAGTGCATTTGTTGTTCTCATAATAACAACAAAACATTGAACGCGCCGAAATTCTGCTATATATGCATATCAAATATGTCTATGAAGGTAAGTTTTTTATTTATTGAAATCTGCCTATAGGCACCAGCATGTATAATTCTCTGTATAAACACCTTTTGAATGAAACATTATATGTCACTCATCTGAATACAATTGAAAATGAATAAAAGCCATATATCATTGTAAATTTTAAGATATCGTTTGAATGTATTGTTATGCCGTACAGTGAAGCTCATTCTATGTTTGAACTACCGTTTGCATGTATTTATGGAAGTTCTAAACTGAAATTATTTAAAAATATTAAAATTTAAACATAAATTATGCTTGTAGAATTTAAGCAATTTTTTATATCATTTTATACATATCTATGTGTATAAGCAGTAGTGTACAACAATGCAAAATTAGATGAGATCAGAACAAATTTCTGGAAAACTGATGTCACTTGCCTGTGAACAATAAATTTGCAAGTGTCTTATCTTCACGATTGTATAGATGATTGCACAACGATTATCACTTGATTCTAATTTACAACAAAATATAACGTTTATGCGCGTTCAATAGGTTGTGTCCGATACACGTGATCGTAACAATTGGTTAAGATGCAACGACTTTTCTTTATTCGAGCAATCGATTCTCGTATTTCACGCGCGATGACCTATAAAACCTATTGTTGGACCAAAATAGAGGAACGCTGTTGACGAGGGAGAACGTGGTTTATAAAATTAAAAAATCCACGATTTCGTAAACAAAAAAGGGTTACAATTATTTGTATTAATAAATAATCTTGCTGAATTCTAAAAATATTGAAAAGTAGGGAAATTATAAAACACAGTAGTTCGAGAAAAATTATTTCAGCTTACAGTCAAGTAAGTTTATCCACCTTGATTACAATTGCTAAATCGATACATAACTAACGAAGGGTTGCATTGGTAAAAGTAGAAACCAAGCGGAATAGAAAGACGGACATTAAGTGAAAAGTATCAATTACATTGATATAAATATACCGCATAGGTAATTCACAGGATGTTAACCTATTATTTGTACTGTAAAAATAATACATGTGTGAGTGTTCATATAAAGAGGTATATTCTTAGATTCCTACTTACCTAAATTTTTATATTTCTGGATTTCTATGTACCCTAATTCTTACACTGTTGATTTTCTGTACTTTTAGGTCCAAATCGGTGGGGTCCCTAGATCTCCATGTCACTAAATCTAAATGCCTAGATCTTTATATCCATTCCTTGATTTCTCAAACAATTTTGTTAGGTCAAAATGCGCTTTAGTTAACTTTTACTTTGGTTTTTTTAATTTCAGAAAGAATCTCCTCGAGATGTGGAATTGCATTTGGCAGCTGCACACGGCGATACGAAGCGTCTTCGAATTCTTCTAGATTCCGGACGCGTTCACGTCGACTGTAAGGATAAGGTAGATCGAGGAAAAAGTGTATACCTTATTTTCTTCTTACGTCATGAATGACCATGTGTAGACCTTAGTGCGCATGAAGAATGAATTACGAAGTGGTGATCTGTCGTTGGGTCAGTCGGTTCATTATGCAAAACGACACGACGTTAAAAGACCGAGTAACGTTAGTTCTCGTCTCGAAAGTGGTTTATTAGATCACGCATGGATACTTGGTGTCCCACTTTGACCACGTAGAACTCCATCGACGTATTTTGGACGAATTCAGAATTTCGAACGAACATGTTCAACCTCCTTATCTACATTTCACGGCAAACATACCGTTCGACCGTTTCCAGAGTAAAATCCGTGCTCTTCTTCTTTACTTATTTGCAGACGATCAGTTGGATTAATGACATCATTAAGGACCCGGTCCCCCCTGATTGGTTGTTACGTCAATTGAGAAACCTTACTAACAATCGCCTCGTTATCGCAGTAAATTACCGATGCAACGATGACGTGATTCGACAAAGTATGGATTCGCGTAAAGGTGTTAAAAGAGCTGACCATAAAAAATCAAACGAATTATACAACAGACGTACGTTGATTGCCGTAGTGGTCATCGATGACCGACATTACAAAAATACACTTAACACATTTGCTGTGGTAATAGAAACAGCTATATACGTACATTCGTTAGTATATCTTGATACAAGTACCATAATTAATTACGCGATTAGTATGAAGATTTAATGGCATTCGGAATTCTGCTGTTTTCTTAATTATCTGACCAAATTAAATTCGTAATATCGGTCAACGGTGAATGTGTTAATTTAAAAAAGGAAAAGGGAATAATTAGGAATATCATTAAATTAAGTAACATGTTACACAAATAATTTAAAAGAAAATTCTAAAATTTATGAAATAAAAGCAAAAATTTCAAATTAAGTTTAAGTTGCGCATTCTTTTTCGCTGTTGAAGAGTTAAATGAATTAGAAAGCGATTCGATAGGGATTATTGATCACAAATATTTTTTGTCACCATGAATTTTATTAGGATATACAGATCAGTTATTACTGATGACTTTTTTCTGTTTTCAGGATGGAACTACTCCTTTAATATTGGCCGCCGCCGGAGGCCACATCGAGGCGGTCAACGAATTGCTGCAACAAGGGGCGGATCCTAATGCCAGAAGGCTGGTAAGTCCTTAGCATACGGTATACCGGACCATGAATGAATGGCTAAGAATGAATGAAGTTCGCTTAGCAGACTCGTCCTGGCAACCCCGTTACCCACTGAGCGGAAATAACCTTTGTGACGACTGAAAGTTACAGATTTACCTGATTTACTCTTTTCTATTAGAATGTCAAACTTTCTTTTATGGATCTGAAATTTTATCATTACCGGCCACATGTTATCTTTGACATATGGGCTAACAGAAATGGAATTATTCTGCTTTTTATACTGTTCTGCTCTTTATACACCATATGTTTGTACACCATATATTCATGACTATCATTACTATGTTTGCTTGTGGTATCTACTAAGATATTGCCTGTTTATAAGTTTTTATTACATGTGCGTTCTATGTCATAAATTAAAAAGTACCAGAAAGCTTGCGCGATAAAAAATGCAGGAAGAAAACGAACTAAGTCTAACAAGGCCCGCATCAATGCCAGTGTTAACTAACGATCTAGTTTGCCAAGTCAATCTAAATATAAATTGATTCTCGTCAAAGTCGCCGATGTTAATAATATGTTCGTGTTTATCCAGATAATCTCTGCTGTAGAGATACCGTGCAATATTAGCATCCGATAATGAGTCTTGTAAATTGCGCTGTATCTCCATCGATCTCGCGGACGAAAAAAGCGTATCAAACGCTCTCTCTTTCTCTCTGGCTTCACAATTATTTTGAATATATGTAGAAACAACTAGATTAGTGGGTTCGTTCATGAAGATCTCGTACAGTTTACGAGGCGTGAATCGTACTTTTCAAACTTTGAGAATTTTACGACTCGAGAAGTTGGTTCGTTCATAAAGAATTTGAAGAGCTTGGGAACCCCAAATAGCTCGTAACACGAAACACCAGGAAGCGGCCGAGTGGTCCTTTTTAAGTGGCCTGCGACGATTTATCGCCGAATCCACGTAGGTTTCGGTGTCCCGTGCCATCGAGAGTCTCCGCATTGTATGCAAATTCAAGGCACCATCGAAGTCTGCTGAATGCATTCTTCTTTTCGGAACAGAACGTCCGCTTAGCTTTCAATTACGAAGCAAATATCTGGCGCGTGATTCGTTAATTAAGTCGTCTCGGATTTCAGGTAAAAACATGCAATGACTGCAACAGTTTCTGTCGCTCCTTATCTTTTTCTATTAAGACGTTGATCATCCTTTCACCTGCCTTATTTTCTAGAGCCGAAGAAGTGTCGGTATGTAAATGACTCGAAACCTAGTAGCCGCGCGGAGGAAAAAGAAAAACGATCCGAAGAACGTTATTTCTGGTTTCTAAGACCGATTCCGAGCGATGACGCTCTTAAGCCGAGAACAAATTACGCAAACGTGCGTCAAACCTAAGCACGCGACGACCCGTTGCACAATCGCTGTTACTTGTGTTCCAGAATTATTTTTATTGACAGCGACCGGCTTTCAACGATCACCACTTATGCTCATCCTAGCGAAACACCGTTAACTACAGAAAGAAACGAAACTTTGGTTCTCGATGAATTTTTCAACGCTTCGGAGAGAGTCAACCGATGAAAAGTAGATATACGAATGTAGACGCGAGAGTGGCGTAATTAGTCGCGAATCGTTCTAGCGAACGCTCGATTATTCGAATGATAGGAAAGTTTCTAATTCGTGTTATGAGATTAAGAAATAGGTGGCCTCCTATTGAACGATCGCATGCTTAGGCAATTAGGAGGAATCCATTATACGAGGAATGCTGATAGACCTTTTCTATGCACATTATAGTGCATTAACGTTGTAATGATTTTTAAATAGCATATGTGGATCAAGTGCATATGAGAGGGCTTACGGGCATTGGGGTTCAGTGCAACGACGTGGACTAAAATAAATTATAAAATTCTACAGTTTTCAAATCTAAAAATTTGTCAATGTTCAAATTCTCAAGTTTAAAAGTAAAAATGTGGAATTTATTATACTTAGTTTTCACTGACTATAAAATATTTTAAACTAGGGTAGTAGCTGTAGTATTTAAAGAAAGAATTACGCCTTGGATACGCTCAAGACATATTTTTCTTGATAACTGCCGTCGGTGTTGGGATATAAAACGAGTTACGTATGTGTTCAAGGTTACCGAAGCAGAGCACGTTGGGTTGCACCGGCGGTGTAGGTACATATTCGAGTTCGCGTGATCCGAATGTGTTTTAATAGCGACGCCTACCATAATATGCAACTATAACCACTCGCGTTCGAGTGCGAACCACCTAAACCTGCCTTCTGTACAAATTGCCGCTATCGGCTTGAAAATCGTGCGTGGGCGTTCGTGACACACTGATCCCTTAAGTTTGGCCTCGTTCACGAGCAGACTTTCGACCAGTTTAAACAAACTTTTCAATGTTGCTACTGATGTTCCCTCAATAACGTACCATTAGCTTCGCGAATTTCGAGAATGTTATTATTATGAAAGTTGATTATGATTTGAGATAAAAGATAGAGTACTTCCTCGATTACGGACTACGTAATATTTCCTGAAAATGGAAATCTTTATCTGAGATAACTTATCAAAATTGTATATAATGTACGCACGGTTTGACACAGCTATCGTTTCACCATGCTTGAACGTTTTGTAAATATTCACTGAATGTTCGATGTAATCTATTTAAGAGATTTTAGATCGCGAAAAATGATCTTTTGATAGGAATTTACGAGGAAAACTTTTATACTAACATTTGTTTCTTGTATAAGTTATAACACGTCTGTATTTTTACTCTTCGGTTTATTGTTCGTAGCTGAACAATTTATGAAACGCGTAAACATTGGTACTAAAAAGCGGATGATTTCCACTTCTTGGATATCTATTTTTACACGGAACGAGCTCCGCTATATATGCGGTATTGCGAAAGAACGAAAGAAAGAACGTTCTCGGATTCCCAGGTGTCGGTGCAGCGGAAATTTTCCAAACTTCACGGTTGTTCATAAGAATTACAAATAAACTAGCTATCGCAGCACGCGAAAGCTGGTTGTATCGCATAAATGTAGCCTGTTAAAATAGCGTGTGTGCGCTGAAAAGCGGATTGCGGCAGGAAGTAACAAGTTCATTATAAATTGACGATGCCCAACCGACTATCGGAACATCCTCTTCGCGGTACACCGTGCATTAATTGATACGATCGTATGAGTTTGCGTCGGGGGTACGGGTTGCGCGGGCTCGCTACAGGTACCATGCACCATTTGCCGCTAATTACCGTGTTTGCCCACTTTCTGACAAATTAATTAAACTCCTGTGGGTTTTATCGGCTACCAAAAATAACTCTGACCTTTTGTACCGTTCCACTTATGTTTGCAAGTTGTGCAAACACGGTATTTGCATTTGGCAGCCGGTCCGTTAATAGTTCCCGAAACTGCCGTTAGATGTCTCTTCACCAATTACCGTTCTCGCAAGTACTCGATGGTTATAGGTTCACATTTTATAAATTTATTCTTTACTTCATTTTCATGAAGCATAACTTAATTGCAAAGTAATATAATGGTGTATAGGATGTCTTTTAAAAATTATTTTATTGAGTAATCTTCGAAAATGATCGTTACGAATCTATTGTAACTGAACACATTTTTAGAGCAAACGAGCCAAACTTTCTCGGTATCGGTATGATCGGCAGTATCAAGAATGAAGGAAAGAAGAAAATAAGGTTTATGACCACGATGGTGAATGTTACCCTGACCAGATAGACAGGTTGATCGCCGTTATAGAATTTCTGCGGTTTGTAATGGATAGGTATTAGGTCTCCCAACTTGACATGGTTCGAGGAACACCGGACTGTGGAACCTCTCTAGCTAGATAGCAGCGATCTTGACACGACTAAAACCGATGTACCCGACAAAGAAAGATACATAATTCGATTCGAAGGGACAAGTCGATCAGAATGACTTTTGGTCGACGATCACCGGATGCTCCAAGGCAGTCAGAGTCAGTGAAAGTGCATATGCCCGGTATTCGAACAGGTTCAACTGCATCGCACCGGACACACGCTGTACCTTTCGGGGATATTCGAAACACACACTAGCACTTTCTCTCCTTTACCGACCAATTGATGTCCAATTCGAAAGCTTATTTTTATTTATTTATTCAGGGTACGGTGACCATTCGATAAGCTTGCCCCCGATGTCCCTACTACCCTGCATCTTTGAGACTGCCAAATTTGTTTAACTTTTGAGAATGACTTATAATTAAAGATGACGATGATGAATGAATTTTTCATGGGACACCGAGTGAACATAGATCGATGCTTCGGAAATAGAAGACACCTCTCCATATTATAGCAGCAGACACCGTGTCGTGACAAAGGCGACAGGATGTCGCTCTCGCTGTCAATTACCTACAGATATTACCATCACAGTGGAAATTCTGTGTGGCAATAGCAGGGGACAAATTCAGTCTCCATTTTCATATCGGGTAGAAAGGCGTGTCTCATGGATGGGGAAATAAAATGCAAAATTCATGGCGCCTTTCAGCCAGACAGTCACACGAACGCGGAACTTAAGGTGAACGTGACATTTAAATGGCGAATGTTCGCTGCTAATTATTCGAAGACGTATTCATGCGTGACATTTAAAACAACATCGCCCGACGATAAAGTGTAACTCGAAATTTTTACGCATTTAGGAGTATCATGAATATTCAATCGTTTCTTTGCGTCACTATCGGATGCATTAAAGTGTTCCATTGGTCTTTTTAAGAGACACCTTTCTCTACGTTCTCCAGTTTCTTTGGGAATTTTTGTTCCTTTCCTTTTTTCAAATGATACTCTTCAAGATGAACTTTTGTTCTTGCTTTTTCTCATGGATGAAAGCGTTCGCTTGTAGCTATTGTAAAGCAAAATAAAACCGTTTCGTAACAAAATCTTTTCAATATGAAAGAAAGAGACTGCCGGTTTTGCATTCTATTCCCCTTCATTTTTTTTATTTGCGATCTCTTCACAGAATACACGATGGTCTGCGTCATAAAATCTTCTTTAGCACATTTGCACAATGCTTTAGAATTCCGGCGAAATCTTTGACAATTTATTGCTTGGTATTTTTAGACTGGTACAACGGCGCTCTTCTTTGCTGCCCAAGGTGGTTACATGGACATAGCCAATCTTTTGCTGGAACACGGCGCCGTAGTCGATTCCTGCAGCATAGTGAGTTCCACAGCAATTCTGTTAATTGAGTGAAAAGGAAAAGTTAACGATCTCTGGTTACGATTTCAGGACGGCGGTACTCCACTTTTTGTTGCGTGCCAGTGCGGTCATCTGGATGTTGTGGAAGGCCTCATAGAAAGAGGTGCCAATCCCAATGCTCACATGAAGGTACGTGCAATTTAGGCTTCCCGTAATTAAGGGGAAATACAAGGAAAAAATTATGTAAAAAGAATGTAAAAATAATGAATTGTTCAAATGTAACAGGACGGTGCTACCGCATTATTTATCGCCGCTCAAAATGGACACGTGCGAATATTGGAGGTCCTGCTGGAACACGGGGCAAAAACGGATGCGGCAAGAACTGACGGTGCCACGCCTTTATGGATAGGAGCGCAAATGGGACACGATCATGTTGTAAGGAGGCTTTTGAAAGCTGGCGCGAAGGTCGACGCCACCAGACATGTAAGTCTGATCGAGCAATGAGAAGAGACAAACATGGATCGTTTAAATGAACAATGGTTTTAGAATATTTTAATTCGTAGGATGGCGCAACGCCGCTTTTTAAAGCAGCCCACAAGGGACATGCTGCTGTTGTCGGTGAACTACTGAAGTATCGTCCATCGCTTGGCATACTTCCAGTAAGCTTTCGTATTATATAAAAATTAAAATGTTAGATTTCATGGGTTGATTCCTTGGCTTATTGTATGCGATCCTGAATAACTGAGAAAATATGTGGATTCGATGGAAGTTGATAAAAATGATACAGTTTGAAAATTAAAAAATTCCGTAGTCCATTTCGAGTTACAATTAATTGGTAATTGTTACGTTTCAGAACGGTGAAAGCGCACTGCACGCAGCAGCTTTAACAGGACAAATGACTGTTGCGAGGCAACTGGTAGGAGCGGGAGCGGATCCTTTACTCGTTAACCAAGAAGGTGTTACGCCTCTCCAATTAGCTATTATACATTCACAGACGCAGGTTGCTAATTATCTGAAGGATAAACTTAGAACGAGAACGGGAACATCTTAGCAAAGTTTACGTCCGTTATCCGCCCAACAAAATAGAAATTAAATTCGTAAATCGTTGGAAAACATCAGTATTTCTAAAGATATATATATACACATATATATTGTTAGAAACAATTTATAAATAGGATGATGAAATAAGTGCAATCTTATCATATTTCATAACGTTACAGGATTGTAAAGGTAAACGGGATGTTGTTTTTTGCAAATCACAAAACTGTGAGCAGAAATTCCGTTATTTATTTTTTGGTATATGTACATTAGAAAGATATACATACATGTATAAAGCAAATCTTATAGTATTGAAAGATACGCGGAACACATTTAGCGCATTCTATTGTAAATATGTTTTCACGACATCGAAATATTAGAACCATTCGTTTGATGCAGCTAGTATGTATCCTTCAAAGTTGTTTTTATGATAGAATTATATATCTTGTTGATGATGAAATTGTGATGACGTAAACAAAATAAGTATATGATGTACTTTTAAATAATACAATCATCCTGTGCTAATTCAAGGTTCTATAAGACTGATTAATTTGCCTTAAAAAGAAAAAAGTAACAAAATTTAATAATTCAATGATACATCTATTTCTTCCTGTTGGTTTGTATATTGTATTCGTATTAGTGTAACGTGCACAAAAAAGAGATATATTATTTATTGAAAGAGTAAGAGAAAATATATTTTAAATGTTAAAACTATGTTTCGAAGTGATATTAAGATATTTTATTTTGATGTAATATTAATACAATATTTTATAATTATTTGTTTAATGTTACTTTAATGTTATTTTTACAATGTAATAAACGCATTCACTGTTTTCCCAAACTGTTATCTATGTTTATTATAATCTAATGGAATAGTAAGCATAAACGCGTTAAATGGTGCAATTTATTAAATTATAAAAAAGTACGCTTTAGCAACCATCAAGTACTCTCGAACAGAAAATACACGATAACATATATATATTTTTATACATAAATAAAAAACATTTTTCTTTGCACAACATCACAGAAAATTGACAAAATATTTGGAATTTATCCGAATTTTAATTTCATTTTTCAACAAAAAATTAAAAACCTAATAATTTTTTAAATATATTTCATATAACTTTATTATTGCGCAACCCAACAATGTCAACAATTTTTTAAATAATAGACTAATTTTTTTAATTTAGAAAATAACAGTATTCTTTAGTCAAAATATACTTTTAAAAATTAGTTTGTATTTTACACCCTATATATTAATTACTATTCACTGCACAAAAACAATAGGCAGCATGTTATCAAAACAATAAAAAACTAATTACCATACTTTCCAAGGAAGAGTATTACAGTAATTCCAAGAAAAAAAAAAGGAATGAATGAAAGAACGAGTCGAAGGTGCATAATTTATATCAAAGCTGTCCTTGTAACCCAGCTGCTAAGTGACTATTTCCTATTTCATTTGAGATGCAAAGCATCTTCTAGGTAAAGTAATGCAGTTCAGCCGTGAACTAAGTCAAACAGTTTAGTAGAGGAGATACGTACGAATATGTTTAACTAATCTTCGTGAATTAAATCGCAACAATTATAAGTAACAGTGCCAACAATACACTGAATTTGATCAATTATCTCTACTGTACTGATAAGACAGATAACAAACTGTACTTTATGGATAAAATTATCAGTTGTATACCGATACTCAAACAATACTCATCATGGTTCGTGATCGAATGCCAGAGCTACGCGCTGTTAGTATTTTTTACCATTTATCAAATTTAAAAGTGAAGCTTATATTACAATCAGCATAATATTCTATTTAACGTTATATGTGAAATATTATGTTGTGTTTTAAAATACTATTTTTCATGCAAAATATATAATATAATGTACATTTCTATTTCTGTTTAGTGTCAAAATAATAACACTACATTTGGTAAAGGATTTTTACAGAATGTACATATTCAAATATCCCAAAATAAAAAATTGAAAGAAGTATTACAGGAAGTACGTATGTACATTATGTACATAGTTAAGTCGTTTTTCAAATATCACAGATTTCTACATTTACAATAGACATTTAAATATTGTTGATATAGGCAGAAGAAGTTCGTGCTTTGATTGAAATTATAACCGAAAATATCTCAATTATAAAGGATTTGCATAATAATGTTCTCGCGTATACCAATAAGGGTAAGAATAAAATATCAAATATTTTTGTTATTTTTTCGCTAATGAATAACGTGTTTCAGACATGCAAAAAGAACTTGAAAATCGAATGTACACTATTTCCCAAACGTCATTTCGTATTCAACGAAAATTAAGAGGTAGGTTTTTTGTATTTTCTATACATGCATCATAAATAGAAATAATTTATTTTACTTATTCTAATCAGACTCACTATCATACTGAACTTCTTCCATCGGGCACTGGAAATTATCGAATAGATTTTCAGCTTGAAAAAAAGTGGAAAGTCTTCTAGCTTTTGTAACGTGACCATTTGAGTCCAAGTATTTGAATGACTTGGGTGTGCTTGTACTAGGACCAGGTTGAGTAGGTGAACCTAATAATTCTGAAGGTGAAGCCAAAGGAATTGAATCCCAACCATTTACAGGAGTAGTTCGCGACGATGGATTTACTAATGCTCTCTTCCAGTTTGATAATTGAGAATCTGAAACACGTTCTATCACAATTGTGGGAGATAATTTATACGCCGTTAAATCTGAATTCTTCTCACTTATAATTCGCTTATTCGTTTCTGGCAGTGATGTTCCTTCTTCATTAGAATCCTCATCATTAGAATTGACATCTTCCAATTGCCTAAAATTCATTATCATTAATAACTGATCATGAAGACAAAATATTAAACATTTTACTTACTTCTTAAATTGCTCAATTTCTTTTTCCAAGTTAGGATATTCACTTAAGATATTTGATAATTGATCCTTATTGTACTCAGAGTATGTTTTAACTAATAGTTTTTTTACTTCATTTTCTAATGTAGATTTAGAAACTGATAATTTTATCCTAAGCTTTATCAATACAGGTAACAATACTTCTAAGCCATGCTTCTTTATTCCCTCAATGATGACAGCCATAGCATTAGTAGTAGGTGTAACTGTCTGAGCTATAGTTTCTTCACTCTCTTGTTGATCATCATCACTGTGTTTATTAAAAGATGACGGTCGTAAACGTTTATTACCAATTACATATAATGCATCCTTTAAAACACCTACACCTTCCTCTTTTTTAACATTGATTGAATCAACACAAGTTCCACCAAGTATTTGACTAGTTATTTTTACAAGTAATTTTATTTTCCCTGGTGGATCTAAATGATCTAACATGAAATCATAAATTATTTTCCGTTTCTCTTCATTCTTTTTGCCAGGAAGTGTTAAAGCTTTTCGTTCTTTTTCCCGCATCTTTAGGTCATAAACTTTATGTTGGGATCGATAATTATTATAATGATATATACTTTGCAGAAATTGTTGTGATATTAAAGTTTTATTCTTTGTTAAAAGTCTCTCTTCAATAAGGAAATTAGTTAATTCGCGGATCATGCTGTCTGAATCTGACAGCATTGTTAATATATGAAAAAAAAATGGACCTTTAATTTTGATATAATCTTCAAGAAGAAGTTGAATAAATATCACCATGATAGCTTCTCGTACTTGTGGACTTGAATCTTTCATGCTTACACACATATCCGATAAATAAGGTTCAACTAATGCAGTAAATCTAATGCAAATATCAGCCAGAGCTTTTGCAGTATTTATTTTCATGGCAATATGAATAACTGAATCTAAATTTGTTTCTTGTCTCATTAATCGACCAAATATTGGAACTATTTCTTTTGCTACTTCACGATCTCTCACTGCTTGTTGACCAAGAATAACAACTGCTGATGGTTGTAGTTCATTTATTTCTTTTATTGCTTCTGGTAATGCTTCCCATTCAAGTAACATCCCTTGTAAAATTCTTAATGTTGATGGTGAAATTTTAGAAGTACATAAAAGTGTAGCATTTCCCAATGTAAACATAGCTTTCAAATAATTAGGTACTGTATCAACAATTTCAGATTCATTTTTGAAAATTTTTGCAATTTCTGTTTCTGAAATCTTCATCAAATTTTGCATGTACAGCTCCAACAAATTATTACCTTTATCTGGATTTAAATAAAGTATTATATTGTATATAATATCCAAACAGATACTAATCAAACCATAGTTGATTTTAAATTGCTGTAAGCATTTATACATATAAACATGAAGATGTTCTAAAACTTCATGGTCCAAAGATTTCCAAGAATATCTTAAAACTTGTAAAACTAAACTTGTGCAAAAATTATTATATTCCAATATTTCCTTGTAATTTGAAATGTATTTGTTCATGTTGGGTAACTTGGTATTTTCAGCCAAAGCTACTAAAAATACCCATGCACCTATATTATTACTTGTCCCAATATGGGACTGTATATTCTTTACTACTGAATTAGTAATAATACCACCATTTTTTACCCACATATTACAAGCTTTTGATAAATGTTTTCTCATTTTCATATTAGCTAAAGTATTTAATATTTTCCATGGTAAACTATTTGTATCAGTATCAGCACTTGTAGAAACATCTTTTATTTTATTTAATAGTAGTTCTTGTAAATATTCTAGCACCTTTTCTTGTACTTTAATTTCAATATCAAATATTTGTGGTAAGACAGTTTGTACCCATTCATGTAATAGTTGAGAATTATCTGGGAATTGCTGTAAAAGTTGAGACAACACTTGTACTGCAAAACGGCGTACTAATAATGCTGGATCTCTGCATCTACGACTTATTACAGATACAACCTCCTTTATTAAATTTGGAAACATTAGAATTAAATTTTTCATAATTTGTAATGTGCTTCTTCGTATCATTGCTCTTTCATCTTCTATACGCTCCATGAGCATTTTTATCAAAACATTTGAACCTGGTAATAAGTCCACATTTTCAGACAAAGCATTCTTTAATTCTTGAAATGTTACAAATTTCTTATTTGGATCAGACTCATTAAAAATAGCTTGAAACATAGCCTTATCTATTTCACTATCAGATTCTGTGAATTCAGCAATTATTGCAATGGCCTTTCCTCTTACCATGCTTGAACAATCCATACATCTACTCAATACAGTTGCAAATAATATTCTTTTTGCCTTAATTTTCAAATTATCCATTAAATTGCAATTTATTAAAAAGGATTCAATCAATAATTTTCCAATAAGTTCTTGAGCAAACAACCTAAATGGTATTTTTGAATGATGTGACAATAATATTACATTTCTAAATACCTTTACTATAAGATCATGTTTACATATTCCAAGGAGCTTTACTAAAATACCAACTTGTCTTTGTCGTGCTTCCAGCCGATCTGGACAGTTTAACATTAGGTGTTGTATTAATGTTAAAATTGCACTTGTAGCATCTTTCTCATATCTACATAATAAATTCTTTAAAAAATGTATAGTATTTTCACGTATATTTGTAAATACTTTCATTTGTACATCCATATGATTGCATAAGAAACGTGGTAATATATATTTTGCTATGAATGTTATAGTAACGTCAATAGGTCCATGTTTGTTGCTGCATAATTCACATAAAGCTACATAAGCATTCTGTGACAATGAAACCACTGTATCATCTCTGTATCTAATGTGCTGAGAGAGCATAGAATCATCTTCTATTTTTGTAACTTCAACTAATCCATGAATGGTAATATCTAATGATCGTATGTGATCTTTAAACCAGAATGATCTTATCATTATAATAAATGTGGAAACAATTGTATTCAAATCTTTCATAAGAATTTCTTTCTCATCATGTGAGAGGACATAGTTTTCATTCATCAACTCATCAGTAACAACTAAATCGTCTAAGTTCATTGATTTCCTACGTTTCTTAGTAACTGGCTGTAATTGTTCTGAATGTATTTTAATTGTCTCTATCGCATGCTGATATAAATTTGGATGAAATACATTAAATGCATTACTACCAGGAACAGCCAGAAATATAAAATACAAATTAATCGCATAAAGACTTGATTGTCTTGAGTTCTCATCAGCTTCTTTACTCTGACCATTTTTTATTATATAACCCAATACAGCTAATATTGCACGCACCTTTACATCCATAATAATCAATGTGTTCCAAGATGTTTCGAAACAACTTTCAGGATCATTGTGATCTGTTCTTTCTAATAACCAGGCTTTTACAATAATATAACATTTGTGTAAAAGCAATCTCATGTCTTCACTTTCTATAAACATGAGATATTCATCAGGTGGTTCATTGAAAATCATAAACTCCCCATTCCAAATGGATTGAATCCAGTCTTCATCCAAATCACTGATTTTAAAATTATCAAATATTTTCAAAGATTCCATAATTACAATTACTTTTAGTTTAAATTTGTTTTAAACCAAACTAAAATTATTATCACATTTCTTCAACTGTATCTTACAAATGTAAACATAACCTTAACTTATCATTTGATAAAGCAAAATTATGGCCTCAGGTTATCATTTTCTGAGAACGTATTGATAACGATTTTATAATTCCATTGTGATGTAGACCAACAATAAACTTTTTTGAGGGTTTATCACAAAACATCTCTTTTAAGTAACAAGAAGTTCTATTTAGAACTTCGGCGTCCATTCGGAGGCGGGAAACTAACTGCCTACTTTAATTCGCTAAAAGTGCAACGTGAAATATATATATGTATATGCAAGCATATATATATTGTGCAACTCTTTAGAATTGAATGAACAGGTGTTTAGAGATTTATCATGGCCTATATTTTCTAATGCCCCGAAATAGTCACATAGTAAAATCTCATTTTTTAGTTTGAGAAATAAATTATATATTTGGAATGAGACATACATTGGAGAATCAACTTGAATGTTCTCTAAAGATTCATCCCTGCTGATGTTTGTATGCGTTTCAATTATGGTTTCAATTTTTATAGAAATGGGAAAGGAAATATCTCCAATTGACAATTTAACATTAACCAGTGTAAGGGAGGGACCAATACATATACGAGTTAAAGCATTACAATACACAACAATGCTACGATTATTTTCCGAAATTATGGAAGAATATAATATATCAATGTTAAGATATCATGATAAATGCCGTTTACTTTTGCAACAACAAAAAGTTTTAAGTATGTTTTTAGTCAAATATTTATTATTATAATTTCAATATTACTAATATTTATATTGTATTCTATTTATTAGTCAGAAAACATATTACAAGTGAAGAACTAGAGAAGCTACTGGATAATCAAGGAAATAGTTTATTTGTTGATAATGTAAGTGTTTATGTTCATTGTTGTTTAGAAAATTCCAATGAAAATAAACTTTACCATGTATAGATTTTAGAAGACAGTAGAATTGCAAGGCAACAATTATCAGACATTCAAAGCAGACATAATGATATAGCAAAATTAGAAAAATCTATAACTGAAGTTAGGGATATGTTTACTGAAATGGCATTCCTTATTGAAAAACAAGTAAGTGCAATAAACAAATAAAATAATGAAATTATACATTTTAAATATGTGTATAATTTTTGTCATTCCTTTTTCATAGGGAGAGCAAGTGCATAGTGTAGAATATTTTGCTGGCAAAACGGCAAATAATGTTGATAGCGGCCGCAATGATCTCAGAAAAGCAGAAAAACGCAGTCATAGCTATAGAAAGGTATTAATAATTAGCTACATTTTATTACTATTAAATGTATGGTTGTAAAGATACTAATGTTATCAAATGTAAAATATTTTTTCAGAAAAAAATTAAACTTTGCATCATAATCAGTATAATAGTTGTTGTTATCTTGCTGATAATGATTTTTGTATAGAAAAAACTATAGAACTTTGTAAAAGTAAAAATTTATTAATAAGTATAATAAACAGTATTTTTTTATAAAACCTTCCACTATATTCTGATAGAGTTAAAATAGTCATAGTATATCTTATAATAAGTATTTTAATTAGCATTATATCACTTTTTAATTTTGAATATACAGTTTTTAAAATAATTATCAAGACCTTTTGCACTGGGCCTTATTTTGTAATCTATAGTAGTACATGCAAAAAATATCTCAAGTACTGATTGATATTCTTTGCCTAGATTAATAGCTGGTAATGAAGGCCGAGTACCTATGATATTTGATGTATTAACTCTCTTGTAACAATTCAAACATACTAAACAATATTATTTAAATACTTACCATATTTACGTATTTCTGCACAAAATATAACACTATCATCCATACTAGTATTCTGTTCATTTATTTCTTCTTTTTGTGGTATTTCTATTACTGAATCATCTAAACCAGATTCATCTAAATAAGATTCGTTTATCTCTACATGAGGTGGTGACAGAGCTATCATTTCCCACACAACCAGTCCACATGCCCATATGTCAGCTTTATTTGTAACAGGACCATCCTCTAAAGAATAAGATTTATGATTAGTCACATTTCTACTGAACTCAGAAATAGCTTGATACCACTGCAACAATATGAAATAGAAAAAGAAATTAACCATTTATAATTTCTGGTGCACTCCAACATTCTGTTCCAACATATCCAAAATTTCCTTTCGAAGTATCTAGCTCTAAAGACTCATTAAGTGGTAAAGATACTCCAAAATCACAGAGCTTAACTACATTGAAATCGTCCGAAACCAATATATTATAACTTTTTATGTCACCATGTAAGATATGAGCAGTATGGTGGAGATATACTAATCCTTTTACAATTTCATATGCTATTTTTAAAATATCCTTAGCAGGAAATGGTTCGTCATCATTCATGATCCTCTCTTCTATTTTATCACCTAACATTTGAAATCTATATTGTGAAATCTGTAAACTCTTAATTACATCGAATTTGTTGTAAAAATTCTACTTTTATACCTAAGGATGCATCTAATTTTTCCATTGCGAGGCATGGCTCTCCGTCTGTAACTTCAGTAAAAGCCCGAAAACCAACAATATTCGGGTGATTTAGATTACGAAGTACATCTGCTTCGAATCGAATGCGTTCATTGTATTTTTCACTTTCCTCAATTTTACGATTCCGTTTCTTTATTGCCCATGGTGATCTAATAAAACCAACTTTCGGCGACCGTTCCAAACTAAAAACATTAACTCCTAACGAAATATTTAAAGTAATGTTAATAAAGAACAATGTTAATAAAAGACAATATAAGTTTCTTACCACAACCATAACCAATTTGTTCTAAAAATGGTGAAGCTGGTATTTTGATAGGTGTTTGCAAGTTTGGATTATCTTGCACTCTACTTCTGTACTTGTTACTTGTTGGCGTCTTAAATTCAGTCATATTTTATAATAATATTTAACGAAATTTGACTTACAGAAATTACTCTCCTTTATACGTTAATTTTCAAACTTCCACAACATGAACGCTTAATTGATACCAACTTCATGTAACTTCATTATAAAAAAAAGATAACTGTATTTAGTAAATAAGGGTTTATATTTAAACTTCAATTAATTTCATTCTAAATTGTGTGCAATATTTAATACTTACATGGACGAAAAATAATTTTAATACACATTTATAATACTTTATTGTACAAATTAAATTTGTGATATTGGTAGTAATGTAAGACTACAGAGACAACAGGTCGCAACCTGTTGATGCGAATTCAAAATTCAATGCAGAAAATAAGAATAGCACAAATAAAATGTATTGTCTACTTATAATTGGAATTGCAATATACTATTGTAAAATTTAATATATTATTATTGCAACATTAAAGCTCACATTCATAATCAAATTGGGTACTGGCAACAGAGGAAATGTGGCGGGATTGTAAGGTATAAATTAGTAAATTAATTTAATAATCTGAAAACACATTTCTACTTTAGATGCATAATAACAGAAATTTAAAGGTATTATATGATGTCAGTTGTCTAGGTAAGTATTTGTGAATATATTTTCCTTTATTCCCTGACTTTGTCAATAATTTACAGGAGTGCCGCCATAAAATAATACTCTTATGTCATCTACCAGCAAAATGCTAAATTATAATTATGATAAATATGTATATCATCTACTATACCAACTGAGTGTGACACTATATCATAGTGCTTTTAATGGTAAGATAGTAAAACATTTATTACCATCAACTATCTTTCACTTTAATAAGAATATGAAAATACAGAAATTAATTAAAACGATAATGAGAAATTGCATTCGTAAGGATGTGCGGATGAAGATGCGGATAGTGAATTTCTCAGTTAGAAAACTTTAAAGTTTAGGAATTTGATATTTAATTATAGTAAGATACCTGCAGAGTAGTTGAAGTATTGTTAACCGTTTCCGGATATAATAAATTTCTAATCGACGTGACGTCGTTTCAGAGTCTACCAAGTTTACATGCTAGCTTTGCGTTTTTGTTGGTCGCCCCAATGAATACTCAATCGAGTGTAAGGGATATCTCTAATGACGTTTTCCACTTGGAAGAGTTCCTCGTTTTTTCAAAAACACTTTTGGGTATCGATGGAAAAACTTCATGTTTATATTAGCACGCCATTCTTCGTTTAAAATTATCTGACTAAGAAAAAAATTATCCTTACAAGCTTCTGTTCTTTCAGATACATCGGGAGATGAAAATTACTTGTAAATGCATATATTTTGAACGTTGCTATTGGTCTTAATATTGCATAAGTACTTTTATTACTGTTCAGTAATATCTTTGTTAATTTCTTCATTTAAAGTTAGATGTTTAATAATTTATACGTCATCTGTAAACTCCAGAAGTTGATTTCAGAAACTGAAGAGAGAAAATAGCACAATAAATAGAAAGAAACAATTTAAAAGTAATTTCAAACTTTCTCAATCATCAGTTAATTTACCAATATAGCGCAACTGTCATTCGAGCGGAAGCGAAAAACCATCCACTTTATCGTTGTACGCGCTTTTACTGCATTTTCAATCGAGTTAACCCGACGAAGGGTGCTGGAATATAATTATAATGCACAAGTAAATATGTATACTTCGGGCACAACAATAAGTCAACCTTGGTGAGAGCATGCGCGATATTGGCTTTTCTCAGGAATCAGCGTGGTGAGTTCATCGTGGATGAATTTTGCAGAACTTGTTGTGCTCCCATTGTGTCGGCTTCGGCTAAGTGATTAAATGAAAATAACAAAACAAGTGCAATCAAATTATTGATAACAATAGATATCTTTAATTGCCAAATTCTTAATGTAATTTTTAATATTTCGAGTGTCTTTAAAATAAATAATTTTCGTCATGCTAACAGGAATACTTAAAGGGTATTTTTTAAAGCTATTTTAAACTTCAGCGATGAGATTTCCATGTTAAGTTTTGTAATATATTTTTAAAAATATTTATAACATTTTTTTAGAACGCTCTTATGTTGCGGGGGTGAAAATTCTACCTGGAACGTTATAATCGACACGAACAAAAATGTTCTTCACGAATCCACGTCCTTGTTGAGGATTATTCATAGAATAATGATTCCAACGATCGTGACCACCGGCATTTTTGGCAATCTTTTAATTCTCCTGGTGTTATCGACACCGCAGTTCCGAGGAATCGCGTATTTGTACCTTAAGGGACTCGCATTAGCGCATATCGGTGTTCTCACATCTTGGATACCCATTTGTACGTAATGTAACAGTGATGGATACCGATGGGTAATTTGCAGGCTACTATATTCGTTACCGAGACGATTTTGAGACTTCGGAATTGTTGAACAATATTTCGAAACATTGGAATTTTCAAATGCCTCAGCCCTCTCTAGATCCTCTTTAGACTCTTCTTCTGCTTAGACCCTCCGGTGCCCGCTCTTTAACAAACCCATCTGTCCATCATTGTATCACAACATACACAACAAAATCGAAAATATAACATTGTTATATTTTCATCAAAATATCAAAGTAAAACATCAAAGTAAAGTTAAATATTCCGTTTCAGTTGTTCGACTAGGATACGGTATGAAGAATAATTACCCGTCTGTTTTTTACCATGCATATTTGGAATTAGTGGCTGTGAACACCTTCGCTATATCTAGCATCTTAATTATGACCTGCTTAATCGTCGATCGATATATTTTTATTTTCTTCCCTGCGCGTATCCGCAGCAGAAATGCACGTAAAAGTGTCCGCTCTTTCGTCTTGTGTTCCTTCATTGTGGGATTTGCGGTACAGACACATCAATTACTATCAATGTACACTACATGAATATAAATTACAATTTTGATTGTAATACAGGCGAGTGCACCGTTAACTGGTATGAGAACAGTGTACGAGTTACAAGAGAATACCGGTACTCTTTTCACGTTACGCGAAAACATTTCCGTCACCCAGCATACGCTATGGATCGCTTACATTTGGATCATGGAGATCACGCTACGTCTTGGTCCGACGATCATTCTTTTTCTGCTGAACAGTTTCGTGGTGAAGAGATTTTTACATCTGAATGCTAAGAAGAAAGAATTTCAGTCGGTCTCTGAGAAGTTTCGTACTGCGAATGTTCCGGAGACATCCTTGTTAAGCCGCAATCGGGGGTATAGGTACCGTATCGAAGAAATTTTTAAGTAACTAGGACACAGTAAAGTCGAAGCAATCATATGCATTAAATCGCCATCCACCAGTTTATTGTACGAATTACTTTACAGGGAAGAACAACATTTAGCTACGCTAATGTCAGTGATGGCGGTATGCTTTATACTGACGATGATACCATCCATACTACTCCCATTTTTATATCATAATTATGACATTGCGGACGTTGGTTATCTCTTGTTTAGAACGTTCGCTGCAGTTACTGAACTTTGCAACTTTGCTGTCCATATTGTTATATACTTTCTATGTAGTAAGGAATTTCGGGAAGAGTTTTTGAAACTTCTTCAGGTAAATAGAATAGAATAATGTTAAATAGAATTAGTTACGAACATTTGAATTTGGAATTACAGAATAGATGCAAGAAGAGGGTGGTTGAAGAAGAGTTTGAACGACCAGTAGGAGAGATTGAAGATTACAGTCGACATGGTACAACGGTTCGATTAACACCTGAACAGACGAAATTAAATTCTCCCGGTTCTGCAAGTAAATTAAATGCTATGGAGGAAGATAAAGAGTCTGAAGTATTAAATGCTTCTGATATTATTTAAACAGATTACTTTACTGTGAATAAAATGGTTTTATTTAAACGAATTTGTTAGTTTATTATTCCTGTATCAAAGATCCACCTTTGCATACGGTAGTTTTTTACAATGTGACATCGCTAGGTGGCATTAGTGAATCATGATCACACAACCATCATTGAATAGCATCGACATATAGCAACATAGTTCTGTATGCTTGCGTTAAACATGGTTGAACAGTAATACATAACCTAAACTGTCAAAGTACAAGTTATATTGAGCAGTACAAAGTAGTTTTGTACGCTATATAAATTTTTATTTAATAATTTTGTTTTCGATGTAGTTCATTGAGTAAATAATTAGGCGTATTTGAATAAATGTAAATAAATATTAGAAAAAATTTCTAATCAATAATAGAAGTATACAGTGTTTATAGTTATTAATCAAATTATTCTACTTTCATTTCTTTTGCAGTGAATCTTTAATCATGTTTGAGTTACCAGTAGAACTAACAACTAAGCCATTAGCTCTTATTGGTTTAACTGGCTTGGATATTACAAATAGTGTACACCGTTCTATTTGGGGAGCATTTAGTAATAACAGAAGATTAGACAGTTCTGCAATACAATTTAAATTGTTAGGTCCTTCACATGAGTTTCCTACAGTAAAACCTAAGGTATATTACATTACATCTGAATATACCAGTTGTAGGACATGTTAATAATAACTAAATGGACTTATATATTTTTCAGCGAAATTCATATGATTGGTATACACCTAAGGGAATATTAAAACGCAACTGGATGAATAAATACCTCAATGAAGTTCCAGCAGTTGTGGTTGTATTTTATGATTTGGATTGGAATGATCCACAGTGGAATGAAAAGAAAATGGAATGTGCTTCTAGAGTTCAATCATTTAGGTTTGTATTCTATCAGATAACATATATAGTGGTGAATATTATAACTATTTTACTAGCTTATCATTTTAGAAATGCTTTGGATGGAAGGACCACTAAAATAGCTGTGGTACTCATACAACAATGTACACAGCCTCTACCAGGCTCTGAAGATACTACAGCAACTGAGCGTGCTACAGCAGTTTGTGGTGCATGTGAATTATCCCCAAAATTATTATATATTTTACCACATGGAGATCACTTATTAGGCTACATATCTAGGTAGCTGCTAAATTAACCATATGTATCTACTTACTTTTTAATTACATGCTTTATTATATGTATTTAAATATTATTATAGGTTGGAAAATGCATTGTATGATTTGGCACAGACATTTTATCATCATGAATATCGCATTGTTAAAGGTCACAAGGATCAAATTAATAAAGGAATGCATAAAAGAGAACACAAACATTTATTCGTACGTCATCAGTTTAAAATGGCCTTTCTGAATGAATTAAAACAGGATCAAAATTTAGCTTTAAAGTAAGTTTAATAATGTTGATAAGTGATATGTTTTTAACTAAGAGATCAAATTATTTTGTAGGCACTATAACCAAGCACTTAGTAGCTTGTTGGAATTACAAATAACAGATACAAATGTAATGGAAATTAAAATTGTTGCTTCTTTCATAAATTATAAAATATGTAAAATAATGTTTAATTTAAATGCTCCTAAAGATGCAGTAGGACACTTTAGATATCATACTGACAGGTCAGCAATAATAAGTACAATGAAGAATATATAATAAGAATATTACAATAATATAGAATTGGTGTTGTAGTTTCAAGTCATGGACAGGTCCAAAGAAACTAATGTTTGAACATCATGCCTGGATGTGTAGTCAATTTTCCACGTTTGCAGAATTATTTGATGATTTTATTCGGCAAGGATTACCCGCTGTTCAAACTCAACATCCTGGGTATTATTTTCAATCAGCTGCTCATCATGCAAGTTTGAGGCAAGCAAGTTGCAAAGAACTATGCCAGGTATGAGAATCAATATGTTTAATAAATAAAACAAGTTATAAAATTTGTAAATATAATCAATATATATATGTATATATATCATAATTGTTTTAGAATGTTAATACTTATCCAGAACCAGATCCCTTAGCTGGTGAAGAGAAGCTAGAATTCTATGGACAACGACCATGGCGTCCGGGAAAATTAGGTACTGAGTCTCCAGATCCAGTAAAAGAAGCTGTTGCTATACAAGCCTTGCAGTATAAAGAAAAATATACAGTCGATCATTCTGTAAGGAGAATTTTCACTATTTTTTATTTTTAATATTTAACTCTATTTATATAATTCATCTGTTTTCAGCAAATAATTATTAGCTTGTTAGGAAATGCAATTTCCCAATTCAAATTGTACAGATGTCCAAGAATGAGGAGAGTGTTAGGTATAATATGTTTATCTATTTATTATAAGAAATTTTTGGTCATACATTATATACAATGATTGTGTTTCAGTTGTACAAATGGCCGACGAATATTATAATTGTAAGGATTATGGGAAAGTTTTGACGTAAGTCGAAATTTTAATAACTATATTTGTCAACACTTGTCAAAGCAATCAAAAAAAAATTTTATTATTCGTTAGTCAAATCATTGATCCTAACATTATTTCCTCTAGACTTATTTCATAACTTAACATCAAAATCATAAAATTTGATTGGCCAGATTATTGACGCACATGTTGTGGGAATATCACGGTGAACGGTGGCCCCTCTTAATCACAAATATCTTAAAAAATGCCTTGCGAGCAGCGTATCTATCGACAAGCATTCAAGAATACATCACATTAGCGTTTGAAGCTTTAGGACCTTCCGCTACATTTTCAGAAGATTACAAAATTGCCGTTTATAATAACATTATCAATATCCTTCATGTAAGTAAGTTTATCTACTAATTGATAATTCATAAAATAAAATATTAAAATGAAACCATAGAAACAACCTCCAAATCCGGAACCTGATTTGCCTGATGACATGAAACATCTTGCATTAGAAAAATGGGTAGTGGAACTTAATAAGTCAGAACCACTTGTTTTTACAATTGATGATAGCAACATGAGTTCCTTTATAGAGGTCAAAGCAAGGTTTTTACAACCAAAATATGCTGTTAATTCTATGATTGATGTAGAAGTTATTATTAGGTAATTATATTTAATTTTTATTTCAAATATGAAAGGAATTGAGTTCCAACATGATTTTATGCTGTAATTTTTAGAAATTTGTACAGTGGTAATGTTGAATTTTCCAAAATATCAGTAACAATTAGTAGTCCAGGGTATAATTCAGAGTTGAATGTTACTGATGCTAAACAGAGCGATCTCACATTTCATGGGAAAGAAATGAAGAAATTTCTTCACCAATTTCAAGCACCTCAACAAAATGATAATATCGAAATACGCATCACCACTATCTCATTATATATGGGTAACGACGAATCTTGTTGCATTCTTTTGAGGTTTTCTGCTATGGAAAGAGAAACAAATTGTTTGAGTCTGTTGTGTCCTGAAATTCAACAACTTCGGTACGTACAAGACGTTTCAAATACTTGCCAGTAAATTAATGCATTTTATGTCTATAACAGTAGAGGAGAATTTGAAACAATACAACCACTAGTCAGTACAGAGATTAAACAAGAAGAATCTAGTCTCAGTATAAGTGCAGAATCAAATAATCCAGCGCTTGTAGGAGAATGGCTTCCCATTAAAATAACTATTACTGCTAATAAAAATATAGTGTCGGCACTCTTAACTGTAGCACTTATGCCGGATGGAACAAATGAACAGTCAAGTATATATATTCCAATAAAATATTCAAGATTATACGATCATCTACAGTAAATTTAAATTTCATTATATTTTAGCGGAATTAAGTTTAACAATGCAGAATAAACAATCTACAATATCAATGTCGATTGATAATTTAGGAAACAATTCTAGTACACATCAAATTGTCTACTTCAGAGCTCATAAAGTTAGCGATCGAAATATTCACATAAAGGTATATTTTATCATCTCATAACTACAAATAAGTAATATAATAATTTCTGTAACCTTATTATTATAGGTAAAATATTCAAGAGCTGAAAATATCAAAGGAACTAAAGAATTAACATATTCGTTATCAGTGACAAAGCCATTTGAAATATCAACGTTATTTTACACTATGCTCTTTGAACCATTAGCAAAGGGTTTCATCGATGAACCATTTATAATAATGCCTCACATTTCTTGTGTTTCTCCATGGCCTATAGATATTATAAGTACTTCTATAGAATTGGTAAATAATATTATTCTTTATTTAGTTCTTATTTTATGTCATATTAATAACATATGTTATCATTATTCAGGGAGATTCTATAGAAAGAGCAAATGCAGATCCATCAAGTTCTATTTTAACTGGTATTACCCTTTCTAAAAATGAAACAGCCACAGACTCGTACTGTTTGATACCAAAAGTAGCTGGTGAGCAACCTGCTAGTACAGGAGTCTATACTATTAAATGGAAACGGTAATAATTTATACGAACTTATAAGATAATTGAAGCTTTACAAATAATGTACGTTATTGTAGTGCAAACGATGAAACTGCGTTAGAAACCAGTAGCAGCGTTACCTTAGCTCCTTTGCGGGTCGAAGATGCGATTATTGGCTTAGAAGCTAAATTACCAGCTCATGGTTGGGTTCGCACGCCATTACTTGTATCGTATTACATAAAAAATCATTCTGATTATATGCTTACATTACGATTGATTATGGAAGCTAGTGATGCCTTTATGTTTGCTGGACAAAAACAGGTAATTAATCGTTTAAAAATACACAAACTAAATATATCCCTGGTGCCCGTTATTACTTGAGACTATTCGATTTTGTAGGTTGATATATACATACTTCCACAAAATGAAAGAAAGGTTGAATGGATTCTACGACCGCTGGTAGCAGGTTTTGTACAACTTCCCACGTTATCTTTAGCAGTTCCTGCTGGTAAGAATTTTGTGTATTAATAAATATTTAATAATCACATAATATTTAATTTTATCTATACTTTATACGTAGACGAAGAATATAAGTTAAATAAAGTTCGACTTTCGGAAGTAGTAGAGAGGTCAATACCGAGTCACATATACATTCTTGTAAGTATTAAAAGTTGTATTAAATTTTGTAATTACACTATTATAATTATAAATATTTTCCTTCATAGCCAACATCTCAGAATTTCGAAGAGTAAGTGGAATAGGGAATATCACAGGGAAATATTAGACAGAAAAATAGAAACAAAGTTTTGTTTTCTTTCTTAAAATTCTATTATATTAAATCTGATACATTTTGCACGTATTCTTAAATATATAATAATTTCATATGTAGGAATATGAATATTGATTTTGTTAAATATAATTTATTTATTTTAAAATGTAATAAAATAATCCTTTATCCTTTGAAGCACGTGAATTTATTACGTATGTATTTTTTGAGTGAGTGTCAATATCGATTACACGTTACATCGCCGCACCATATTTCTATAGAAACCAAATACACTACAGTACATTATGACCATATATTCTTCCTTAAGTCTTGCACGAAAGTTAAATGAAATAATTAGTTAGAAATACAGATCATAAACAATGGCGACGTCGGCACAAGTGGACAATATTGTTTCTTCGGAAGAACAAAACAAAAACAGATTTTTAACGCCTATTTTTCGTATAAATTTAGAAGAATCTTTGATTCGTAATACAAAATTTCTAAAGGTATAATGATCTTTATATTATGCATGTTTTAAAATAAAAGTGCAACATATTACGTAATCAGCAGTTACCATAACGAAACTCGTTACATTAAAAGCTAAAAGGAGTTTTCAAAATTAGGACTTGGAACTCACAAAAGCACGATTAAGGACTTACGCTGCGTATACGCCAACTGATCAAGAGTTACAGCAACGTGCGGCAGATTACCGTAAATATCTGCAGAAATATGTCCAAAAGTCCAGCACCTCTTAATATATAATTAAAATTGAAGTGTATCCTTTCAACCTGATAACTCGAGCCGAACGAACAAACTTTCAAGTGAAAAGTTTGTTGATCGTTAGGATCGATGGATCAGGCTGATAATTCAAACGTTGGCGTTAGTTTGACAATATGAACATATTGATTGACAGTATTCCCGAATAAAATTCTTTTATCTGAACAGTTACGTAATTTTATACAATAAAAAATGTTGCATACTTACAATAGAACGATGATATTATAGTCATTTCTATGGCAGAAAACAATAGCTGCAACGAGAATAGAGGAAAAAAAGAACACGTAGTCAAGTACGAACGGTATTCACCTGTTGAAATGGAATATTCATGTTCATTTTCTACGTGTGGCGACATTATCATCGCTCGTAATTACTGACACGCAGACCGTATATGTACGATAGGATAACTTCGTTCAGGAGTTACCTGATAACGACCTAAACTAATAATTCGACGAAAACCTATATAATACCTCTGCGTTAAATTCCATCCACGCGTAAATCTATGTTTGGCCTTTGCGAAGACATTAAAATGTACTATTATTATTTATCGCTTTTGCAGATTAAATTAAATGCGCGTGACAAGAATCATGATATAAAAACGTATAACAAAGTATAACACGATATTTTAAAAATATTGTAAATTACTTCAATAAATCTTTGTCTTAATCACTCTATACTGATCAAAAATTTCAGAAGAACTGATATGTAACAGCTGTAACGAATGAAGTACTGCTACATAATTTTATATTTTTACGTGGCATCGGCTCGCCAATTGAATAAACAAATTAACATTGATGTTTTCTAGATTTGACCGTTATAGATAATCGAAGAACATCTGTATCAATACTGTTTTATCTTTCTTTTGTAATTTAGTCCGCGCGATATCGTTACTTTTCGTAATTCCAACGAATGTTATAATTGACAATACAATTCAGTGGGATAAAAGAAGTAATAAATTTTGTTCATTTCTTTTATTATAATAAATAATTTATTTTAATAAATAATAAACAATTATGTTACGTTTAAACATATAGTTACACTTGGTATTATTAAGTACAATACATTTTGTCAACATATAAAAAAGTTGCAACAAAACAGAACGCAATGATAGCAGGTAACGCGTTGGTATCATTTACTACCGAATTATGTATGGAAGCATAAACTGATACATACTGCTGGTGCATTATCATTCTTATCAACTTAACGGAATACCCATTAAAACAATTATGCATCCATAAATATTATAAAAATGAGGTTCATTGCTTTTTTGAATAATAACATTTATTTTTGTTGAAATATTTTTAACTTATGATGCATATATAAATTGGAAAATAATAGATAAAAAAACCGGCATTGATAGTAAAATATTCTTAAAACTCTAATTCCAAAATTTATAACATAGTTACTTTTAAAACTATTGTCTTTTAAAAATAAAACAACTTAATACACTTAAAAATACTTCTATTTTATTACTAATTTAAGTAAATAGTTCGTATTAAATAATTTTTAATGTTCAACAATAATTAATGTATGCATGAAACATTTCGTTATAAATTATTATACTGTTGCTAAATTAAATCAATTCATATAATGCGTGTGTACTGGAAGCACATAAAATGTTACATGGTGGCTTTTCAGCATTTGTACATAATACAAGTAATACATACAAAATATATAAATATACTAAAATAATTAGTATTTAAATTAAATATTTCAGATTACATGCAGCTAATATAGCTTGCACCAAACTAATTTCTGTTACAATCGCGGTCTAGTTTTATAATTTGCATCTAAATTTCTCTACCATTAAGTACTTATAAAATTATTAATTATAGCTGCAATTCTCTCAGGATTATTTAAATGGACATGATGCGTTCCATCTACTGTATGATACTCAAATTTTCTAGCATTTAATTTTATTTGATTCAAAACCTGATCATAAGATTCAGGCTTATCAAATATTAATCCAGATGTGGCACGAATATTAAGATAACCACATTTTATTCGAGCTGCATATGCAAGTACTAAATCCATGGATAATGTACCCAGCATAGAAACCTAAACATTATTATAAATATATATAATATACATCATTATATGTACCGTAAAACAATAAAACAATAAAAAGCTTAGTACCTTCAATCTTGGATCGCGTGAAAAGTAGTATCGGTCTGGTTCAGAGGATGGTTGCATGCCGCGTTTCATTAGTATCTTTGCACTTTCCTTGGTTATAGAACCTTTGTAAGCATCTTCTACAATATCAAGCGCTTCTTCGTATGTGTAAGACGGAACATTTTCAGGTTTCAGTAACTCATACTTTAAAAATTTGTCAATTAAGTCACCCGTGACGGCAGGAGTTTTTGTTACATCTTTTACATTGGGACTTGCAATATCTAAACTTATTATAAAGTCCACTTCGTCAGGGTATGATGCAGCATAGAGAAACGATATTGCACCTCCCAAAGAATGTCCAATTAATTTTACCTATGTTAGTAACAAATAACTGTATAGTAAGATATCGAAAATTGAGACAAAAATAATTAAGTGTTAGTACAAACACACATGTTATGCCTATATTAATTACGTTACATGACTACACATTTGTAATACAAGAAATTTATAATTTACACTTACAATAGCATTTTCATTGCATATTAGTGAATTTAAAGTGTGATTGCATATTTTAATTTCATTAAATCGTGCATAATTAAGCAGTGCAAATTTTCAAGGGTGACTGTTACATTATTTTATTACAAATCTTAGTGCATTTATATTATAGGACAAGGAGTGGTAGAATTTAATCCACTCGCTAACCTTATTCCATTTGAAATACTTGATAATTCTACGTAGTAGAACAATACCATCCCAGTAACAATAATAGTATTGACCATTTGGATAATGGGAAGAAAAACCATGACCTGGCATATCCAAACAAAGTACTGAAATCTCATTGGATAATAAGGGAATCAAAGAGTCAAAACTGCCAGCATTGTCTTGACGACCATGCAATGCCACTATTGGTTGCATCCCACTGGGACCCCACCATTTGCCTGCAGGTGACAATATTATGATGAAATGGTCACTTGAAAATGTTAAATTAACAATAATTACTGTTTAAGTATGTCAGTGTCAACATTTATAACACCTGAAAGGAAATATTTTGAATAAAAAATTTTAAAATGAAACAAAGTTGCACTAGGGTTACAAAGATTTCTTTTCAATTTATAGGTATATGATATTTTAGAGTTATTTTATAGTTATACAACGATATTAAACAACCTGTACCTTTAATTTTGAAATATAATATAAATAATAACAACAATGAAATATTCAAAATCCATAACAGTCAACCTTGTACACAATAAATTTCAAAATGTCTTTTCAATTATTGTTACATGCAACTGCATTAGACTTTTAATCATTATATTAATAATAGAAATTTTTAAATAATTATTAAAATTATAATTTAATTTCCTGATTGTATAACATAAGCAAAGTGATGATTGATGTATGACTTATGTATAAATTATGATGTAAATTATATTACAAAGTAAGCCAAATTAATGGAAATCAATTGCCTTGTTATATAAATTAAAAATGCAGAAGAATCGTTGTATAACTCTTAATTGTTAGCTAACCTTGTTCCACTTGAAATAATTAACAACTCTACGGAGAGCTAAAAGCCCATCCCAAAACATGTAATAATATTGGCCTGGTGGTTGGTGGGAAGAGAAACCATGGCCAGGCAAATCTATGGCTAAAATAGACACATTTGATGGTAATAATGTAATTAAAGCATCAAAAGTCCCACAATTATCTTGCCAGCCATGTATCGCCACTATTGGTTGTATATCAGCTGAGCCCCACCATTTGCCTAAATTCATTAGTATTATACCACGGTAATTCATACAATTGTTCAAAATCCAAGTATAAAACTAATATTAAAAAGAATACATTGAATTATAATATTTACTGACCACTTATGTGACCCCATGGCACTGGTATCTTTATTTCAGTCATATCTAAAAGTGAATATATTAAAATGATGATTAATCAAAAATTTGATGTAATAAGTAATCAAAATATAAAATGCTGACTTACCATGGATTGTGTGACCATTTACACTTTCAGCAGAAGCATTATTACTATTAACTGCATTCTGTTGGCTCATCTTGAAATAGTGACAACAGTTTAAAGTTGTTCCTGAACTTATATTCTGTGATAGCTGCGACTTCCCGTTATTCTATAAATTTATTCGTGTTTTATTAGTCGATGAAATGTAGAAAAGTGCCAGTCATTCACGTAAAAAAGAGATTGATTGAACTTGTGAATTTATAACCTTTTATACTGAATTTATATTATATTTCATGCACTACAAATTGTTTTTGAAAAGTTCACTGATATATTAAGACTTCTCAAATATTACATATAAAAAAATTTGTACTATTACTAAACATTAGATTCATATCACTGGATATATACGATTTGTATGTTTTGATACAACTTCAAGTACCTCTCGAGAATATGTAAAAATTTAATTATTCTTATGCAATAAACAGAAAATATGAATTATTAACTATTTGTAATAATACAATCTGTATATGAATATAAATGTTACTGAATTGCGAATAATTACATAAGGTTCAATTCAAGATAATTTGAAAAAAAATTCAGATAGATAACTTACTGACAGTACGCTTAATATGTACTATTATTTTATTTTACAATTTATGTATTTTTAAATTATTTTCGGTAATAAAATATGTACTTCTTCCTTGTATTCGTGTTAATTTATTATTATAAAAATGAAAGAATATTAAATGAAAATAGCAAATAATCAAATAGTAAATAATGACTCAACCGGTTATAAAAGAATTGAAAACGAAAACTCAAAATTGGGGGATACTTTTACATAATAAATTCTATAAGAAAATGTATTATATTCCAATTTATGAATTAATCAATTTATGGTGTCATATAGTACAAGTTTTTGAAATATAAATGTAAATAAATATGAACTCCATGACTCATAACAAAGTTGAAATTTTATTTTGTTTTATGTAGTATAGTCATTGACTAATTAATCAATGATGTAGTATACACATTAGTAGCGACACCAACGCTCCTATCGATGTCTTCACAATATTATTTTGAGCTACAAGGCGAAATAAGGTAGTTTGTTGTTGTCAGTATACAAAAATGGATAATAAAGAATATATAGTAAAAACTGTGATACATGCAGGAACGAAAACTATTAACTTTATACCTGGAACCAAAGTATACATAAATTTCAGTCCTTATATTTTAATGTTTCGTATATAAATTTTAATGTGTTAATAAATTGTTGGTCATGAACTTTTAGGTTGTATTTCATTTTAAAACAACAAAATGTGATCCAGAAAAAACAGTAATAGATGATAGCAGAGTTATGGGAAGAGAAATGGAATTGGTTTTAGGCAAAAAGTTTAAATTTGAAGTTTGGGAAGCTATTGTTCAAAAAATGGCATTAAATGAAGTGGCATGCTTCAAAGTCGATAAAAGTGTATGTTTACTTTCATCAGACTACATATTAGTAGCTAAAGATATACTTTAATGATACTTGTTGCTTTAGCTAGTCACATCATACCCTTTTGTGTCTAAAACCTTAAGGGAAGTTGGAAAACCACAATCAGAGAAACGCAATCATCATTGCTGTGGTGTAACTTTGCAGAATGAAGGAATTGGGTATGAGGATTTAAATGAACTTATCAAACATCCTCAAGATTTAGAATTTACAATTGGTAACCAATTCAAAATAATTATATATTAAATGAAACTTTTTCAATTTTAAAATTATATTTTTCTATATAGAACTTCTTAAAGTAATTCTACCAGATGAGTATGAGAAAGAATCATGGCAAATGACTGAAGATGAGAAATTAAAAAGTATTCCAGAAATAAGAAAGAAAGGGAATGCATTATTTCAAGAAAAAAATTATGAAGCTGCTTGTGAAATGTATGCCAAAGGCATTGGAATGTTGGAACAACTTATGCTCGCGTTAGTATTTAGCATATTAATATATCTTTTATAATATTTATTAACAATTACATGTATGTTAAAGTGAAAAACCAAATGATGAAGAGTGGCTTGTTTTAAATCGGTTAAAAACGCCATTGCTTTTAAATTATGCTCAATGCAAATTGATTCAGAAAGAATATTATAAGGTCATAGAACATTGTACAACAATTCTCAAACATGAACCAGGTTTGTTACTTATATATTTACCTCTTTTTGTGCAAAAGAAATGTAATATTTATACAATTTGTAGATAATGTGAAGGCATTATATAGGAGAGGTAAAGCATATATAGGTGCTTGGGATGAAGAGAAAGCTGTTAAAGATTTAAAAAAAGTAATTGAGTTAGATCCTACACTAAAAAGCACAATTGAAAAAGATTTACAAGCATTCTCTGCAGCTATCAAAGAGAAAAATGAATTAGAAAAAAGAAAATTGTCCAAATTGTTCAGATAAACACATATTAACTGCAAGTATGAGATTAGAAATGTGTTTATCATGAAAACAATAATTTTGATGTTATAAAATTTTAGCTTGTTAACTTTAATGTTTGCATTTGTTAACTGAGAAAGTACGGACATTGTTATTTATTTTAACTATAAAAATGGAACATGAGTGGGTGTCACAATGTATATATGTTACTAAATTTCTAGAACCCTGTATTTTTAATTTATAGTTAAACAAATTTTATTAAATGTTACTTTTATTGAATGTACAAATTTGAAATGAGGTGTAAGGTATGTAAATAATAAATAATGAAGTAAAATGAAGACAATTAAATTACATAAATGCATGTATACGTATATACTCTGCTCCACGAGAAAAGAAAACTGAATAGACGAGATTTCATTCTTTCTGCGTGTGTGACTGAGATGGTACTACGTACTGTATAACCCATGATAATTTACCAGCGCAGTTTAGACGATTGTGATATATTTATCGAGCTGACAGAAAGTTTCATGATTTTCAATGCACGTTGATTTCAGTATGTTACGCTTATTACATAAATAACTTTTTATAATATTCAAAACTCTCTAACAAAAGTTGAGTACCAAAAGATTTTCGAGCAATTGACTAAATAAATTGACGGACATTATGCCGAATTCATAGGAGGTACTTTTGAAGTCCGCAACAAAATTCTCTCGAGTAAATATTTACTTTTAAAAACAAGCTGATTTATTTTGTGACAGGTAAAAATATTCGTTTGACATCCGTTTCTCATCGGCAATTGGCAGAAATAGAGGAGGATAGACTTTTAAGTCTTATGACGGATGATGAGGACCGCCTTCCCTCAGCCGGTATTTTTTCTAGCGAAACCAGATTTACTCTCGCGTGTTCATCGTCTGTGGTGTAAAGTCTAACCATAAATCTATATAATCGTCGATATGTTTGGCATATGGCACGTCTTCTTTTATATCATTCCAATTAAGCGTAAAACATGGAATGTATGATCTTTTTAAATAAAAAGCAGTGCAATTCTTTGTAAGGTAATTACGTGTTTTTCGTCGGTCATTAATGATACGTTATTGGAACGTATCATGAACCTAACCACTATCAGTGTTAATTTTGATATGTATATGTACAAATAATTTGTAAGAATGATTTGTTAAATAAATTTTTTCTCTCTGTTGTATCCTTTTTTGTTTTCCATTTAATGTTGTTTATGATAGAGTTAAAAAGCTGTTTATGAAAGAGTATTGAAAGTTGAAGAATTATACCCCATTTGCATAAATGATGCAGAAACTGATATATTTACATTTTATTTAAATTCTAGTAGTAATAATAAGTCCAACCTTTTAATTTTTAGACGTAATAAATAAAAGAAAATTATAAAAAATGAAGCTGATATCAAAAAACATTGATAAAGATGGAGAAGGGTAAGTAATTCGTTTTCTTTAGTTGAAAATAATGTTAAAAATAAGATATAATTAAGAGGACAATAAAAAATATTATTAGGAAAGTGTCCCTTGTCCCTGAAAATACTGAAGATATGTGGCATGCATATAATCTTATTAGCGAAGGCGATTTTGTTAGTTGTTCTACTATAAGGTAAATAGGCTTATGTCATTAATTACTTCAGAATATTGAGAATTGTATGTATAATTGTTTTTATTAATACATTTTATAGAAAGGTGCAAATGGAATCTGCAACTGGGAGTTCTAACAGTTACAGAGTTAGAACTACGCTTACAATATGTGTAGAAGGTATTGATTTTGATACACAGGCATGTGTTTTAAGATTAAAAGGTAGAAACGTAGAAGAAAATAAATATGTTAAGGTAATTTGACTTAGACTCATTGACTGAACTACAAAGAAAATGTTTAATACAAAATTCTTTATAGACAGGGGCATATCATACATTGGATGTTGAACAGAATAGAAAGTTTTCAATTACTAAAGCAAAATGGGATTCTGTTTCTTTGGAAAGAGTTGATATGGCATGTGATCCTACACAGGTAGAATTGTAAAGATAAGCATAACAAATATTGTTCAAATTTAGCAAAAGACTGTTTAATTTTAGAATGCAGATGTTGCTGCTGTTATAATGCAAGAAGGTATAGCTCATATTTGTTTAATAACTACCAATATGACAATAGTCCGTGCAAAAATAGATCAAGTAATTCCTAGGAAAAGAAAAGGAAATGTCTCACAGCATGAAAAGGTGTCATTTATAAACTATTCTTTTATTGAATTCCAATAAGCTTTTGTTATATTTATATATAAAACATTTGAAGGGTTTAACAAAATTTTATGATAGCATAATGCAAGGAATCTTAAGGCACATCAATTTTGATATTGTGAAATGCATTATTCTTGCTAGTCCTGGCTTTGTTAAAGATCAGTACATGGATTATATGATACAACAAGCCATTAAATCAGACAACAAAATAATATTAGAAAATAAGAGCAAATTCTTGCTTGTGCATTCTAGTTCCGGTTTTAAACACTCACTGAAAGGTATATTAATTGCTTTAAAATAAGTTATGATAGTGTGGTAACTCATGGTCATATAATTTTTGATAACAGAAGTTTTGGCTGAGCCTGCCGTTGTTTCCCGAATTTCCGAAACAAAAGCAGCAGGTGAAGTAAAAGCTCTAGAAGCGTTTTACACGATATTACAGACTGATCCTGCAAGAGCTTTTTATGGAAAAAAACATATTCAGAAAGCCAATGAAGCTCAAGCTATTGAAACCTTACTTATCTCGGATAAATTATTCAGGTAAATAAATTTTCGTTTAATTCAGTTTATCTTGCTTATTTATTAATTTAATATTCCTATTTAGATGTCAAGATGTTCTGACGAGAAAGGAGTACGTTGAGATAGTCGAGAACGTTAAAGATTCTGGCGGCGACGTAAAGATATTTTCCAGTTTGCACGTATCAGGTGAACGTAAGTTAGAAGAAGTACTTTAAATTCTAATTATTCGAGTACCGATGTTATTAAACATATTTATTATACATTTGATTACGTTTTATATAGAATTAGATCAAATTACTGGAATAGCAGCTATACTACGTTTCCCTATGCCAGAATTAGAAGACGAAAGCGACGGAGAAAGCGATACGGAAAAAGATGATTAAAGTGGCAACTTAATACATTAACGAACAACTTTGTATATATTTGTGCTGTGCGCAATTAAAAATATATTAATAATAAAACTGAAAACTTATTTGGTTGAATTTATTTGATCTTTTAGAAGCAAATGGAACAATTTATCGATGCGCGCAAATTTTTTATAATTGGTCATAATGTCATCAGGTGGCGCTATTCTATGTTTTCATTTTTGTCATTTAGCAGTCTTCACAATTCTTCTCGTTCTAATGTTATTCCTACAGAGAAGCACGTGGATTCATTTATAATTTGTTCACCAAGTGTTCATATATTTTTACATATTTTTAGTCATTAAAAGTTGTAAAGCAAAATGGTTGTAATAGGAAAGAAAAAGGTATTTATATGTATCACTTCATAACTACTTTGACAGCGATTCATTCATAATGTCATTGAGGTTAAAAACATTTCATGTACATATTGCAATGATAAATTATGCTTTTCAAATTTGTAGTATCAATCCGGAGAAGGAGCACAATTTATGTCAAGAAAAGCTGCTTTAAAGAAACTGCAGCTTTCTTTGAATGAGTTCCGCAGATTATGTATATTAAAAGGTATATACCCTCGGGAACCACGTAATCGTAGGAGAGCACAAAAGGGTGAACCTGGTATTAAAATATTATACCACAAAAAAGATATTCAATTTTTGATACATGAACCAATAATATGGAAATTGAGAGATCAGAAAGTATGTCAGATCAGTTTATAACCATTACAACATGAACTACGCATTACAAAACAATTAATATATTATTTTTTCAGATCTTTAATAGAAAAGTTGCAAAGGCAAGATCTTTAAAAGAATATTCAGAAATGAAAAGATATTTGAGTAATCATCCCACTATAACAGTAGATCATATTGTTAAAGAACGATATCCAACATTTATCGATGCACTTAGAGATCTGGATGATTGCTTGACTCTGTGTTTTTTGTTTAGTACTTTCCCATCTCTTCACCGTATACCAAGAGAGCAGTCACTGTTATGTAGAAGATTAACAGTTGAATTCTTACATGCAGTAATAAATGCTAAAGCTCTAAGAAAAGTATTTGTGTCTATTAAAGGTTATTACTATCAAGCTGAAATTAAAGGCCAAACAATAACTTGGATTGTACCCCATCATTTCTGTTTTGAGCCCCAAGCAAAATTAGATGTCGACTTCAAAATCATGTCTACATTTGTAGAATTTTATATTACAATGTTAGGTTTTGTTAATTATAGACTTTATCATACTCTTAATTTATATTATCCACCAAAACTCACTAATGCTGGTAAGATAATTTCCTTATACATTTATATAAATTACGTATTTTGTTGTGATATAACATACATGTTTAATATGTAGAAAACTCTGAAAAGGCACTTGTGGATGAAGAAGTATATGTATCTGAAAGGATAGCAGCACTAAATGTATCATTGGTAAATTTAGATCCTTCTACCCAATTTGTAGAAGATGAAGAAATGGAAATGGATCAATTTACAAATGTATGTATAAGTTTAATAATTTTATGTTTATTCAGAAATGTAAGTCCAAAATAAAATAAACATATAATTGTTCTAGGAAGGTGATGCAACAAAACTAGAAGAAGCTAGGTTGGAGGCAGAAAAGGTTAAAAAGTTAAAAACATTGTTTAAAGGGTTAAAGATATTTTTAAACAGAGAAGTACCAAGAGAGCCTTTAGTTTTTATTATACGTTGTTTTGGTGGTGAAGTATCTTGGGACAAGTTACTTTTTGTTGGAGCAACATTTGATGAAACCGACGAAACTATAACGCATCAAATAGTGGATAGACCTAGTATGAGTAAACAGTATATTTCTAGGTAATATTCAGAACTTTTTTAAATTTTGCTATCAAATTGTTTTCACTCGTTTCAACTATTACATATTTTTGTAGATATTATGTACAACCACAGTGGATCTTTGATTCCGTAAATGCTAGAGAATTGTTACCCGTGGAAAAATATTTAATGGGTTGCATACTCCCACCACATCTTTCACCATTTTCGGATAGTCGTCAAGATCAGACATACATTCCACCGGAAGAACGTGCACTTATGGATCTTGAATTCAAGTTGACTGATGGTATGTATTGTTTGTTTTTTTTAATCAAATAATGAGATAATTAACAGCTGAAATGTTCCGTAGATAAAGAGGAATCTGAAGAGGAGTCAGAAAACGAGAACGAAGAAGAAGAAGAAGGGGAAGAAGAAGAAGAAGAAGAAGATGAAGACGACGAACAAGAATCGAATGAAGATTCAGACGAAGAAGTTGACAAGCATGAAGCAGTTAAAAAGGAAGTAGAAATAGAACTACCGTCAAAGGTGGAAGATCAGAAGGAACAGAATCGATTGCTCAAGGTAGATATTCACCGATGGCATACAGTTTTCTGAAATTACTACGTTTCTTATAATTTACTCTTGTTATTTCAGAAAAAGCAAATGAAAGTAAAAACTGGAGAAGTGACGAAGGAAGATCCATGGGAGAGACAACGACAAGAGCGACAAGAATACCGGTTACGTGAACGAATGGTTAAGAAAAAGCATAAGAATTTGTACAGGAGTATGATGAAAGGTCGTGAACAGAGAGCTAAAGAAATATGGCTTCTTCGTAAGAAGAGGCGCATTCATGATGCTGCAGAGAAACAAAAGCGCAAAGAAGAGCGCAAACAGAAGAAGGCTAAATCCGCTGAGTAAACATGGACACAAAAATAGGAAAAAATCAATAAATGGAAATTGTGATATCTTATATTTTCTTGTTCTATTTACCCACATGATTGTATTTAAAAAAAGACTACACTTACACTTAAGTGCACTTAGGTTTTTTGTATTTGAGGAGAAATGTGAAGGATGGATCTACCGCTCGCCTTATTTGATGAGAAGAGGTTCTACTCTCCCGGGTGTTTCTAGACGTTCCCCAGATTCTATGCATATTCTATTTAAGTTCTGACCAACTTCCCAGGTTTTCCACAGATTAGTTCTTATATTTCTTATAAATCATTGTATGTTCCACTCGGTTGTACCCGAGCGTATAAAAGTATATAAATAAGCGAAGATTCGAGTATGAAACGTGTTGACTTTCACGGCGCTTGTAGGTACAGTTACGTATAATGGAGAGATGCCTTTAATCCAGTCCTCCCACCTACCGGAAGCCTACGCATACGACCATCCTGGTCCCTACTTTTCCAGCGAAGGACTTTGAAGGCCAGTCTACCCACACAAGTTGGCCTACGCAATCCGGGCGCCGTACGTGTGCATACTCCCATGAAAGTTATTCGTCGTAATCTTTTCGACTTGATATGCATTCGGGAAAAAGATCTCCGCAAATTTTAATACGACCACCCAGCAAGGTCGTGCTTTTCATCTCGACCGGATCCGATTGAACCATGGAAAACCGATTTTAGCAGTCTGCCCGTTAATGCGTTTTTGATTAGTCTCGTGACTTTCGCTAGATGAATTAACATCGAAGGACAAACTCATTGAACGCCGGATAAATTACCATCGATGCATCCGGTCACTCGATTGTCACCTTGAATCGAACATCGGAATCGGATGCGGGCGAAATACTTGCGTGGAACTGCGTGTATACGAATTTGACGTTCGATAATTTTCCTAGCATTCATTTTTAGTATGGTAATGACGCTATGAGAAGATTCCCGTAAGAGGAATTCCTGGATTTCAGAGACAAATAAAAATGTTTGCTTAACGACATCATCGCGGTAGTAAAAACTGAAGTACACCGCAAACGCAGTGGCGTAACTAGGTATAGATCAGTCGCTTTGTATTTGACGATCTAACGCGGAATCCTATTGTCATGTTTCCCTGGAGTACTCGATGTACGCGAAAGTAAATGATTTGTTATTCGTAGGATTTCTACGGGGTCATTGTCATCGCCGTTTTCACTGTTCAATCGTCGTACAATTTTAATTCCTATTCGACTCACGAAGCTTCTTGCTTGCGACGCCGTGCGATCGATTGTAAGTTTCTGATAATGACTGTCGGTCTGGCAAATTGCTGGCAAAGGAACGAAAGATGGTGCAAATAAACCGTGCAGCTCGGAATTAAGTGACGGATATAATAACAGATACATGGGGGTTTTTGCGTAACTCGGGGCGCAAAAAATAAATCGGCGTGGAATTAACTCCTCTTCGAAAAATCGAACAGGCGCGAAATTGCAACGTCGAGTAAAAATACAAGTTCAGTTTCCCTGTTAACGGTTGACGACTAACCGTTTCTTGAAAATATCGACCGGTAGCATTTCTCTTTTGGCCGACGTTTTTCATAAGAACCGGTGAACGTGGTTCCGTAGCTGGAACGGCTCGCATCGATTTCTTCGGCTATTTGCAGTGGTGACTGAACCAATGTGTCGTCGGTGAAGTCACCAACACCCGTCTATCGCTCGTGTGCAAACTCGAGTGCTTACGTCACCCTTGCTATTCCTGTTTCAGCCCATCTCCAGCGGCTATCCTTAAAACGAGCAACCTTTCTCGAAGCTGCAACCTGCGATCTAATAACGTTTTAATCTATCGCATCTCGACTAATCCCGCTAATCGCGAAAACGTTGCTCTGCTTCACCGGATCCTCGGATTTCTCGCTATTCCCGCGGAAATCAATGACGATCTCTGCATATTTGATCCAGGTATGCAAGTTTAATTACACGAGCAAGATCATAAACGTTCGAGATGCTAGAATAATTCCATTAACTATCATTCTTTGGATTACTTGGCATTTTCTTAAGGGTTGATTAACCCTTGTTCCTCGATTGCAGATTATCTATTATACGTTTGCCATTAAAATTCCTGCGGTTGGCGTGTGACTTTTTGCGAGGAGGAGCGGAAACATTCCCATGGGCAGGGCTGGTCCTATTTAGTCCGACGTTGGATTTGGCGCGAAACCGATGGTGGAGGCGTAGGATGTGTGGAGAACGTCTACCCACATGTTCAGTATCAGAGTGTAAAATATCAAGGTTTTCGAAAACGATTTCAAAAGAAATGTTTGCACGATAAAATCATTTGGGCAATGCAACCAAAAGGAGAACGATTTCTTGGATTCTGATTCGACGAGTGAAATGAGAAAAAATGTTAACAATAATAATTCGTGTTGCCAAGACTATAGTTGGCGTGGATCAATGGCGCCTGTAGTGGACGTGTCAAAATGTCGAACGACATGATGCTGTCTGGCATCATAAGTTTAATATCCACCGTTCGCATTCTATCACAACACATTCTATTACTCCTTCCTGTTACTATGTATTGTATGACCGCGTGCTCTATCGCCACGCATCCTTATCACGATGCGATCTACTACCCGTTCACTACGTCTACCAAGTAGGCGTTGTATGTATCACATATTTATTACCACGCATCTAATTTAATCTAACCTACGTCGTCTAATGTATCGAATAAATGAGACAAAATCAAATAACATGTAAGGTATATATAAATCAAGTTTAATGTTTAATCAGGAATTATAATCCTCACTCATTAAGCTTAACGACGTCTTAACGATATTATTGATATGTCGTTAAGCATGAATGAGATATCGATATTGTGTCGATAATCGACAACGCTTTATCGCCATCGGTATTGTAATAAATGATTACAAACGAAGTTACGATTGTTGGAGAATACTACAAGTATTAAAATAGCCGCAGTGTCAAATTAATTACCACGGAAAATAAATACAAGTTCATGTGAACTCATCCTATTGACACGCAAGATTGATTCTGGAAGAACGGCCTTGGTTTTCATCAGCGTTCCGTGTAATTGCGATGTAGTGATCATCAACGTTGAAGTAGGAGGTTTTCCTTTTCGCCACTGAGCGCAGGATCGTTAGGTATCGAGAAAAAAGTGTAATAAACGACGGAAGATGCTCCTCGCGCTATGGCGAGCGAATAATTATATAATCAAGGTTATTACAGCATTAGATAATCGATGTTCTAACGTGATAGCCGTAAGTGCATGGAATCGTTGCTTGAAAATAACTAGAAATTTATAATGACAGCGTTATTTAGAAGCAGACGCCATGCAAAAGACACAAATCGAGGTTTTATTCGAGGTTCAATGAATAAACGGTCGGTCGTTCGCCTTACGAGTAACTCCGGTGATTTCAATGCCGGCATGAACCGCTCGCTTTGAAGTCGATCGAATTCGATCCTTCGTTTCCTATGCAAGGCTCTTCGATGCTGCATTTTGATCACGCTTATTAAATCCGCAACGCATGAAAACGTTCGCTTAATGACGTTTAAGATGGCGTGACATGGCATTTTGTTCGATTACACGTTCCTCGAGGTCGAAGAAATGATAGATTTTATCTCGTTTCAGGAAAAATTTAGTTCATCAATCTCTAGAATTATAAAAGACTGGAAGTGGACTAAGTCACGAAACTTTGAAGAAACTCAAAATCCTTCGGAATCGGTAACAACGTCTTTCAGACAAAGAATCCACAAATGGACCGCGCAAAACAAACCTCGTTTTTACCTTCTGTCACGCATGTTTGCGTTCGGTTTCACGTGAAATCGGCACAGAAAGGAAAATCGAAGCTGCGTTAGAACGCGGTTTCATGCTTTCTATTAGGCTGTGGAATCGGTTAAAGCGATCGTTTCATTCGGCGGACAGACACCCCGTTGATCAAACGGAACGCTTTTAATCAGCGGGGTATATTCTCGCTATAAATCGAGAGGCGCGAGATTACGTGACCTCCAGCCAATCTAGGAATTCCTGTTACACGAGGTCCGACGGAAATGTACATTATCGAGTGTCGCACAGACCTTCGAAGCGTGCGGTTGCATTGTGATGTAACCGGTGATGAATCAACGGGGAACGGCGATCATTCACGTCGGTCAGGCGACACGTGCCTGGTGCGCTAGTAAATTGTTCAATTACCACGACTATATTAGATGGCGATTTTAATTGAACATTTTGCACCCGTTGTATACACCTGTTGATTAGTCTTATGGGAATGGATTCAGGCGTATGTGGGAATTGACATTCACATTGTACTGAAGTATGTGGGAATTGAATCGCGCCGCACTGAATCGCTGTTTCGAATTGCGAAAATTGCGTCCAATTAAATTACACCCAATTACTTTAAACGGGAAATTATATTCAATTAAATAGTATAGAAATTTCATCAAATTAATATCAGAATTGAATCGCGTGAGAATCGCTTAGAGGTGCATTACATCAAATTGAATTAAATGCATATTAAATTGTGTCGAAACCACGTAAATATTACATCAAACTGAGTTTGCATCACATGAATGTTCAATTGAAAATCTTAAATTCTTAAATTAATTCTCAAACTTGTATTCGTTCTACTCACAGTCGGAGTCTCACACGAAGCAAAGAAAAAGAGTAGCTCACAATTGTTCGAAGACAATGGCCAGTAAACGGATCAAAGAGATAGGTTACCGAAGGGTCCAGGTTCAGCAACGGTGTCAGAGTTCGTTCTCGTCATCCGAACAAGAACGGGTCGCTGTGAACTTGTCCGAAAAAATACAAGATGTTCGGGGGGTTAATTACAAGGTGGTTCGGTCGGGCGACGGTGGAGCTTTTGAAATTTGATCGAGCAATCGATCGCGCCCCAGCCTGGCGATCGAAGTTATCCGCAGTTGGCCAAGCGGATGACGGCATCGTCGAAAAGAATACGAAATGAACGCGTGCCCTCACGAACCCGTTACCTATACTGTGCCCAGCTCGAGTTCCAAGGTATAAGGTGTGTTTCCAAGGTATCTGGGATCCTGCGCTGCCAGCTGGAAAATTGTAAGACACCGCAGTATCGAACGAATAACTTTCGTATCGAAATTGCGGTGAAATTACCAATAAATAATGAACCGTTTGCAACTCTTGCAATTTATTTACCAGATGTCTTAGCTATAATGTTAAAACAAATAAAGAAAATTAAAATGTATTTTATATTCAACGATCCTTTATTATGCAAATTATTGTTGAACCTAAATTTGAAGTTGGGTGAAAAGTGAGACTTGCCAAAGTAGGGGGTTAATTTTAATTTTCAAGTTACCGATATGTTCGAAGTATTTCATAAACAACGAATATCGAGATATGGGTCAGAATTGACATTGCATCGCCTACGACATTGTGATTTACAAGTGTCTACTTGTAAATTAATCGCGAACGTGCATTATCTCAGATATCCTCGTGTTCAGCGTGCAATCGTGAATCCCAAGTTAACGCAACACTCTTGCGCAATCTCGTTACGGACGAGGCAAGGATAAACAATGAGATCTCCGTGAAAGGCGAAGTTTACTCTTTTTAATCAGCCAAAATCGTTTCGTATCGCCTAAGGGATCATAGGCTGGATTTACGGAAGCCAGATTGCTCCGGCAGGATCTCATGGATCGGTGCCTGATGCTTTAAAAGATTGCATCGTGGCTCCACGGATCGTTGCTCCGATCTACGGCAGGAAAAATTTCATGGGATCCGGGAATCTTGACGGGAATTGTTGTGCGTCAAATACATGCAAACCGGAGACAGGAAGAACTTAAAAAACTCGATTGTTCGGAGGAAGTCGATATCTTATCTGACATTTTGTCGAGCGAAACTTTCTTGAATATTTGCTGTGTAATTATTGAACGAATGGACAGTAAAGATGTCTTTCGTATTGACGTCTCTCATGAATACACTTGAGCTTTAGAAATTTGGGACTTTGAGCTAGGGTTCCAAAAAATTGACAAACTTCTATCAAGACGTCCATAAACGCGATACCGTCATTTTCCGTGTCAGAAAAAATTAGAAGTTTAATATCAACGATGAAACGATGGAACATCTTATAAATGACATTAATTCGTATAACGGTAGAGGAAGCAGAAGAAACGCATCGTTCCTGTTTTATTATCACGAGCATTCATACAGCTGGAATATTAACGTAAATCAAACGCTTCATATTGTATAACTTCTTATCCGCATTGAATGACCCGGAAAACTATCAAAGAGACGTCCAACCGATTCCGTGAAATCACGTGTCGTTGAAGGAAACGTTGAAGCAGGTACACGCGTTTTGCACGAGTCTAATGACACTAGGTACTCCTTAGCCGGGGTACATCGGTGTCGCTGAACCCCGCTGCCTCGAGGCAACTTCACAGGCGGAGGCCACGAGAAGAATCCACGGACGTGCAGCTCTATACTTTGCACCATTACGCTTAATCTACGGCCTGCCGTAGCATCGACGATTCATACGGAGAAAATAGCGCGCGGAAACGAATCGAAGCGTCACCAGGAACGCGGTTCCCGACGTTTACGTTGATTTGTGATACGTCGGGGCGGAAAAATCGCCCGGGTATTTCAACGGCGCTCAATGTGCTCGTAAATCGATCAAACACGAAGCGTCTTTCTTCTTATGCAGGAATTTACACTTTGCGCAGATTTGGACATCGTTTTTTGCATTCGAGATTCGTTAATGGAGGTGAATGTATAATTATTAGATGGAAGCAGTTGAGAGCAGAAGTTGTTAGGGGAAAATTGTTATCTGCAAAGTGCTACTGTTTGATAAGAGTTAATCTGATGCATCCGAGGGGAATGAGAATGCATATCTGAGGGCAAGGTCGCTAGAGAACATCCGAGAAAAGTGAACATTGCTACCGGCTGCGCTATCAGCAACGAGTTTCATTACCATCTCCTTTCTACCCGCTTGAAACGCGATCAACCTTGAGGAGAGTCAACGCATCGAGGTCCTCGAGAAATTCCAGTAGTTTGCATATTTCGGGAATTCAATGTAGGAATTAAAAAATTTTGAAATCTCCCGGTTCAAAGTAGCAACTTTCCAAATCCTTTGGATGCACTTTAAGATCGGTGCACGTGAACGTATCGAATCCCGTGAAATTCCAGAAGATAGCGGCGTGCCAGGTTAGATTGACCCCTGGTAAGAGGATCATCTGTCCTCTAAGATACTTAACCTACAGCCTATCTCTATACAGCTTATAGGAGCCGTTCCAAGGCAACGAGAAGCAGGCTAGGTATATCGGTTCCAAGCGTTGAGCTCTCCGGGACGTACTCTACGTGTGCGAGCTGTAATCCGCGGAGCGTGGAGTCGGAGCGAGCGAGGGAGCGTGATCGAGTCGAAAGACAAAGACGGTCATAAGACGTTGGAGGCGAGGGCAGATGAGGAGAAGGTGAGAGAGGTGTTCGTTGAAGGAAAAGGAGAGGAGGGAGGCTTGTAAAAAGAGAGAGGCCAGTCGAGCAAAGAGAAGGATCGTCGACCAATGAGACAGCAGGCCGGCGATGACGTCGCGGTTGTCTCACGTCGAAGTCTCACCAAAAGTCTTCACCAGCCACCAGTTCGTCCGCGGTCTCCCGGCTGGACGAGAAGTTCGTCCTTTTCACGACGTCTTCACCCGAGAGGTGCTATTTATTTATTTATTATTTCTTTCTTTATTTGGTGGACCGACCAGTGAAATCAGCCAACATTGGACTACGGATACAAGCAGGGATCCTGGCTGAAGGAGGAGGCTGCTATCAGCCATGGGGACGGGTAAGTGCTCTGGTGGTCCAACCGTCTGCTTCGAGGATTCGAGCCTTCAACGTCGTCCAATGGATTATTCGTCTCCCTAATTTTAACCGTTTCGTCGATTAATTCTTCTCGCTCCTCTCGGTACCATTTCTCCCTTTTCGGGACGTTGAAGACCACAGCAAGTACGACCACGGTTTCTACTTCCGTTCGTTTGGTCGTTGATCTTATGGAATCGATAGAAGGTATCAATTTTAGTCGATAAAGACGAGCACGGTGGGATTGCACGGGATGTTGCTCCGTTAAACCGCCGGATGCTGGACGGGTTTGGTCTGCTCCGAAGTCAAGGTCGCTCCGAAGATCATTCGCTAGTGTTCACCGGCTTGAATCACTTTGAAACTATGCAGTGTTCAAGGATGTTCCGAAAAGAGCGCGTCGATTAACGCGATCGGTTCTCCAAAATGGACGACCTCCCGAGAAAACCTATCACCCGTCGCTTAATTCGATTGCACAATGAAACAAACACCGTTCCTTTTTTATCTCGCGGGTATTTGCCAGGACTTTCGTTTCGTTAAAAGGCGTTCTTCAAGGATATCGAAAGTCAGTCCACGATGTTCCGTGCAAAAGTGTAACGCCGTTGCTGACGCTGCATCACTTTCATCTCGCGTTCCGTGGACCGAGACTGCAGTTCGATATCAGTGAAAACGAGGCTGAAAATATTTGCCGAACGATGCATGGAACACGCAGTTTCGAAGGGAATGCTTTTTATCGCAGGATCACGCGTTATGTCAGAGCGCAATGATAGCTTCGACCTTTAGCACATCCTTTAGGCAGATGGTGTCAAGGATATGCACGAGGTGTGCGAGTGTGCCGATCAGAAATTATGCGACTACCTGGGCGTAACGCGAACCGGTTGCGTTTTTGCGCGCTAAAATGAATCCTCCATTTTCGTTTGCCCGTCACGTATCAGCCTCCCGTTCATCGAGCTTTCTTCTTTCCTTTTCGTTTCCTACGTGTATTTATATTGTGCCGATCATTCGCTCCTGCCAACTTTTTGATACGTTCGACGGCCAACTTCCGGTTTCGTCAGCGTCGGTGTTAACTTTAGAAAGTACACCGAGTAAAAGTCCATAGTTACCTTAAAAGGATCAATGCCGTTTGAGTCAATTATGACTCAAGAAATATTAGTTCAGTTTACAAATTTCATTAGATATCTAATTTAGAAACATCTCTTCAACCTTGGGCATACTGTGCTTTCGAACGACCTCACAAGTCGCTAAATAGGCACCTCGAGGCAGTAATGAACTCATGCCTGTCTTATTAGGTGGTTCCAAGTGTTGTACTGGTTTTTTCTATCGATACTCGTTTTCATTGCTACGTGTCGTTGTATTGCTCTTTGTATTACCACATGCTCTTGTGTATCACATGTCGCTGTTGCTACACTTTGTATCATCTTTATTGCTCTATAGTTCTCTATTGCTGGCGTTGTATTGGTACAAGTTTCTATTGCTACGTTAATCACTATATTTTAGTACTGCCAAGCGCTGTATTAGCACACGTTGTTACTACGCGTCGTAACACCATTCGTTCACATATCCACGTGTTGTATGGCTACACGTTGTGGTACCACGCGTTATATTCCTAAGAGTTGTACCATCACGCATCCTTATTTCCACGTGTTGTACTGCTATGCATTCTTATTTCCACGTGTTGTACTGCTACGCATTGTACCGCCACGCAACGAAATCTCCACGCGTTGTATCACCACACGTTCATACCGTCACACGTTGCATCGCCATGCGTCTCTACCTATTTATTATATCGCCACACATTCCATATGCAACCTCTATCAAATATATCCACCAATACTCGAAAGTAGAAATAGACCTCTCAAACCCATCACTACCTCACAATAACCGAAAGCTAATACGCTAGAAAAGTAGATGCAAAATATGAATAGGAAATAATTGCGGTGAATCAGTCGAAGCGCAAACTCATTATGCTTTCTAAAGTTTAAACGATAGACGCGTAGATTGTCATGGTATGTTTTGCAACACGGTAAAATTACCGGAGGAAGTTTCACGGTACAAATCGGTCGATTGAGAATACATCGTGATCGTACGTGATCCAAGGTGCAGTGATTTCGAGCGAACACTTTCTGTGACAAGTATAGAACTTCTTCGCTGGTTGGAATCCGGTTTTGCGACGCGAGTGCTTTCACGGGACGTCGGAACCGGGAGATGTGCAAAAAGTATTCTAGGAGGATTATGCGGCGAAAACGGGTCGCGAGTGCGGCGAGTCGTGAGTGAGTGAGCAGTTTGACGGACCGAAAAAAAGAAAGGAAATAAAAAAAATATATAAGGATACGACAGTGACAGGGGAGAGTGTTGCATTGGTGCGCTTTTATGGACTTCGTCACCGTCTCTGGATGTAACGCAAGTACCTATTTTTACCATCGATCTGGCGGTCATTGCGTAAGTGGGCAAAATATGGATGATTACGGGGTTCCAGAAAATTTAACTATTTACCGGACTTCTTAATTAAGAAAATGGATTCGAGGAAATCGACAGGTGGCAATTTGCATGTTTACTTTGCTAAGTCCTTTTTCGAGCTTATGAAGCAATCGATGATTCATCCGAAAATGTTCTAATCTGATTTTATGATGTGCAATTGAAATTGGAACGTGAGAGCCTTTCACTTATCTTTGAAAAGCGAAGGTTTTGTAGATGAAGATCGAAAATTTCCATGTCCAGACAAATTTGAAATAGGGTATTATTTTCAGATTATAGAATATTTTCTGTTACTAAAGGAACAGCTTTGGGAATAGGACAGACAGATAAATAATAAGAAATTTAAGTCTGAAGATGTTTCATTGTAATTTCTTGATTTTCTACATGTATTGGCTTGTATACAATAGAATTCTATTACATGTTTCTAACCAGAAGCACATTAAAATAGTTGGCAATATTTAAGAATAAATAACGCAAAAGTAATTAGAAATAATTAAACTGTCGTAACACAGTAATCACCCCAGAAACTTTCACCGTCATAACCCAATTAAAGAGTTTAGCGTTCGCATTCGACTTAGAGTAGCCACGCAACGAATAGAAAATGAAGTACCGTCGAAAACGTCTCCGTCAGGCTTTGCAAATTGTGTTAAGAGTGTAACTCTCGCTTTCGAGAACTGTTCGAAGAAGGTAAACGATGAACGAGCAAAAATATTCTTTCTCGTAGATGCATAAAACGTGGAATTCGCTGGGTGAATCGGCACGGAAATCGTCTAAAACAGCGATCGAATATAGCTTCATTGTACGTCATCCTCGAGGAGCAGGAATTCCAGGAAACGAGTTGGGGTAATCGATTCTAGTCGGTCACGAAACGTGAATAGATCAGATGCGATCGTGTAATGTATTCAGAATGCATTAGCAAGATAATGGCGGAGGAAAATGGATTCGGTGCCGTCCGAATGGAACTTAAATCGTGAAATACCGTTAACGAGGAGTGTGGCCAATCAACGTTTGGTTGCAAAAAATGTTCGGAACAATTGGCGCCTTTCACGTAACGTAATCAACTGAGCGGAAATTGTATTGTTTGATAAAGTTAAAGTATTGTGGTTGATAGGTGACTTGAGCTGCAATTGTGATGTGTTTAATAATTGAAGATTTTGGGTGGAGATTTGAAGGGTGGGTTGGGAAGTTGAGGAGTTGGGGATTTGAGGATTTGGGAAATTTGGGGATTTGGGAATTTGAAGGGTTGGGAAATTTGAGGATTTGACATTCGAGAATGTGGGAATTTGAGAATTTGGCACTCGAGAATTTGGGAATTTGAGGGTTTGGGAAATTTGAGGATTTGGCACTCGAGAATTTGGGAATTTGAGGGTGTGGAAATTTTAGAACTTAGGAATTTGAGAATTTGGCATTTGAGAATGTGGGAATTTGAGAATTTGGGAATTTGAGGGTGTGGAAATTTGAGAATTTGGGAATTTGAGAGTTTGGGAAATTTGAGGATTTGGCACTCGAGAATTTTGGAATTTGAGGGTGTGGAAATTTGAGAATTTGGGAATTTGAGGGCTTGGGAAATTCGAGGATTTGGCACTCGAGAATTTGGGAATTTGAGGGTGTGGAAATTTGAGAATTTGGGATCCATGGGATCCTGATACAGTCAACGTGTTACAGTCAACCCTCTTCATCACACAACCCTCTTCATGTACCAAACCAGTTACCAAACGTCAAACGTGAAACTTTGTTATTTCCCCCGGTGACTGTGTCTTATGTCACTGATCGAATTGGTGCGCGACGTCGTATCGATAGGGAAAGGCATTGTCGAGGTCACGGTGCACAGGTCCGTCATTTTCCCCGTTACACACTGAAAACGATCGAAATTAGCGCAGCTGCGTGGGTACAAACGATTGTAGGTAGATGCATTACTCAATCTTTGGTTACCATGTGATCTAAATAACAGTTATAGTACGCAAAAAACGTATCCTGCTAAATAACGTATGTCATCAAAGTGAAAAACCTTTCATTGAGATCTCATGTTGAACAGCGACACTAATGCCGATGACGTATCAGTGTTTTCATCTTGTAGATTGTAGAATCTGATAAGAGTCGAAGATTCCCTCACTTAAATCGCTAGTCATTTACTTGCCGTTAATTAGCAGTAAAATTGCCACTGTCTATAGCACAGGTTGCGACAGTAAATCAAAAAAGCATTGGGACATAAAACATTATTATTAAAAGGGACTTGATTTATTATTAAAACCTTATCGTATCTTGATGGGAAGCAATCAGCTAATCATTGCTTCGAGCATAGATTAAAAAGCGAGAGCAGAGAGGAAAAAACGTCCGCAATTTGTTCATCCGTTACCTACGACCTCGTTTGAACTTTGTGTTGACAGCCTTTCCTATTACGCAACGAAAATATCGCGAGCGAAGCTCGTTCGCATTCTTGCCTCGTTTCTGCTGGAAATAATTAATAAGTGCAAGACGAAATTATTCACGGTGTTTAAAGTCCGTAATATTTGA